GGAAGACGAAAAGGAAGGAAATGGTAGAGCAGCAGGCAAGGAAGGCATGGGCATGGGTATGATACCGATCGCCAGTGCTACCACGATTCCGCCAGGGTTATCTGATCGGATCAAGCGCTGATATCATGTCATATCGTATCGCACTTTGTTTCCCCAATATCAGTGTGACGGGGAATACGACCTGATTTTTGGCAACAATTTTTTTTTTTCCTCGGCAGTTCTGCTCCGGACCCCAGCCCTCGTCCCAACTTCATTTACCGCCAGGCTGGGTCAGTCGGTCACGCAGACCGACAGACCAAGGTTCAAAAGAAACCAAAGTGGAAACATCAGGTTGCTTTTCTGATGCTTACCTCCAATACGGAATGCTTTGGGCTTGTTGACAAATATCTGCATGCGCCTCCGAAGATTTGGTTCCTGGCCAGATGCTTACTTGACGTCCAATACTCATTTCGTTTAAGCTCTCGGCAGCATCTGTCAATGCCGCCACTGTTCCTGGCTATCCGCTCACTTGGGTCGTGTGGCTGGCCAGGCTGTAAGTAAAAGCTGGGATCATCGCATTCAGCTGCTCCCTCTCGATGGTCTCAGCTTGATCATACCCCAGCTTACCCTGAAGGGCGTTTGTCAGTACTATTCGGCAACACCATATTGAGGAGCTCCGATTGCTGCTACTTCCGGGGTCTGTCGACGTGGCAAGAAATTGAACGACAAAAGCCTACCTATTGTCATATTTGATATTCCCCAACTGATCTTGTTACACACGGATGCCTGTTGCCGCCAACGAGTACGAACAGCAATGCCATTTATTGTCCGCTTATGGCTCGGCTATCGACCTCCATCCTTTGGGGTAGCATTCACTGATAGTTCTGCCTGCTGGTTGACACCCTCGAGCACTTCGTACTGACACTTTGGCTTAGCTGCAGCTTCGCCGAAACTTGCTTCTGGCCTGCAGCCTGCAGCTTGATTGCAGACGGGCTTAGATCTTACATTGCTGCAAGCTGACTGCCTGGTACGGGGGCATGCAGCCTTGTGGCCATCCACACATGTGTCCATCCCTACATTAGGGCACGGATTCGAATCCATGCGCGTCTTGTGATACACGTTCAGGAACCATGATTTGGAGCTCTCTAATTTGTCCTAGCCGCCCGTCAGAGATGAACAACGGTCTCTGGTGCTTTTGCACTTGGATACCGTGGGCGCAAATCCCCTGCACGTTTTCGGGGGCAGTGTCCAAGTTGCTGGGAACTCTTGCTCCAAGTCAACGATACAACATCAACCCAACTGCCGGTGCGTCGTCGCCCACGGGCGCGGCGAGCGAGTCAGCGCGTCCCGTCACCGACAGCTCGCTCTAAGCCCTGCATAGTACAGAGTATGAAATTGCCTGTTGCGGCCGAGTGGCCTATAGATGCGTCGAGACCTCACCGGGAGATGGTACGCCGTTGGCAAGACATGAACGCTAGCAGCAAAAGAGGGAGAGAAAAAGAGAGGACTCATCCCATCCATCCCATTCACAGCCCATACCAGAGAGTCCGCGTCCTTGGGACGACGCGGACTATCACGCTTGCGGAGAGATGGTTCCCAAGAGTCTGGAAATGGCTGGCTCAGCTGCAGGCAATTTCGCATGGGGGTTCGGCAACGCACCAATCACGAGCCCCGTTGCCGTCGAAACAGGCTGAAGGAGGTCCCAAGTACAGTGGTACCAAGGGGGAAAGGCCACTCTCAGACCCCTCGCATCACTCATCTCCCACGTGGAGGTCAGGGGCAGCAAGTCGCTCTACCCTTGTCAAATTGCTATTCATGATAGCCAAGTGTTTCCAGTACTTGCTTTTCGTATTCCCCGTATCCATTGTTAAAATGCTGATGCCTACCTGCTGCGTACCTACAAAAATATCATCGTCATCATTTTCTGTCAGGTACCTGACTAGCGTTGCCGGCAATCCGACATGCCATTTATGGGCTCCCCATGACTGCGCTGCTCAGAATAAACTACCATAATGGCGAGAAAGTCAGATCTATAGCGGCCAGCAACTACAGGGCCACGCAAGCCACCCCATCTCCATCCATATGTGACCCCCGGATTATTCGATACGTTGTTGGGGCCAATTGGCAACGTGACTGCCGGGGGATGCTGCATCGTGTATCACAAGCAGGTGCCACGACAGCTTCTCCTCACGGTTAAGAGTGGCACAGGGAGACAAGAAAATCGTCTTATCGTTGATGCATGATGGTGCCCTCTGGCATAATGGATTGCAATATCGTGCTTACTCTTGCATCATAGACATGTTATCCGTACAGTAGTACATCATTCCGTAAAAGTGACCAATACATCCATATATTCCCGGATTGGTGTGGTGTGGCTGCACACCTCCACAGTACAATTAACGGGCGGGGCTGTCAGCTTGCTGTTATGATAAGCCCATTTCAGCCATTCCACCTGTGCTCCAGCTCATGATGACAGGTACAATCGCTCAGAGGATTCCCTTCCGACCCTCCATATCGGCGCTGATTAAGCTGTGGGAACCACAAATTCCAACACATAGCAGAAAGGGAGGGTGGTGATGGTACTCGTTTTGGGCAAACGCTGATGGTCGCTTACGAGGCCAGAGGACGACTTGTAACGTCAAGATGTCGTCAAGACACTCCAAACCAGAAATGTTCCTGTCAATCAGTATGGCGCCCATCGATAAGCCACATGCCGCTTTTCAGGAACCGGAGGAATTCAATTCATCCAAGTCATCGTCCTTTCGGGACTAATGCCTAGCAACACCATCCTTATACCCGGGAGGAGCTAGCTAGCTTGAGCTGGCCGATTAAGCTCGACACTATCCGACACGAAGAGTTGGACGGGCGCCCAGGCGACCGTCACAGCATACGAGATGTATGCAAACTAACAATAACAAGTTGGAGCTTGCCGGCCACCATCAATTATTCCCTCCGAGCCCAAGGTTACCAGCCTACCAGCCCACGATATGGTAGTTATCCCAAAACGGGGTGAAACATGGATGGATTCATTGACAACTCATCAGTTTGCCGGGGTCGCGGCCGGCTGGGACGACCCCAAGGAAACAGAAAACAGAGAAAAGGCTCAGATGTACTCTTTACTTTTACAAATTTCCCCACGCTACTGCACAAGCTTCATATCGAGCTGATAAACTGACTACCCAAGGGATTTGGAGATGGGGCAAATCTTGGTCCATGGCCGTTAATGTTGTCAAATATCAAATGTGCCCAGTGGTGAGTAATACTGGGGTGGTATTCTGTCCCTGGTCAACATGTCCAGCTGACCAATTCTCCTACACACCCACTTTCGTCTCACTCTGCCCATGCATGCAAGGTACAACTTGTACCTAGATAACGGCGTGTAGGCAGACCAAGTGTGATTTGGCAAATGAATTTCTATTATGGTAAGCTTGAACCTTGGCGGGCTGCTGCCATGCAAGCTCTTTGTGCCCTGCATTTTTTGTGGTTATCAGGAACCCTAGGAAAACATGCCAATACCTTTTTGTTGCTCTTGGCCCTTCATGAGAGGGGTGGCTTTTTTGGTCTCTCCCTCTCTGCCAAACCTGCTGAAGGGAGGGGGGGCTGAACACCCATCCATCCGTCATACGACCATAGTCTGTTTTGATCACTTGTGAACACCGAGTTACTCATACCTACCTACTCATACCTGACGCCGATGAATTCCCCAGAATGGAAACACAGCTGGTCGTCAGGGAATCTCGATCCCCCACCCTACGTCGGAATATACTAAAAGGACCAGGAAAACGCAAGTGCCATGATCGAGCCGGCCTCTTAAGCTGTTCAATATGTCTCGCACTATAGACCCGCGTGGCTTGAATCCTTTGTCCTGATCTACGAAAATAAATGCTCGCGCTGTTGAGGAGGAAACGTGCGCCATGGGCAAAGCACTACAAGGCAAAAATGATCCACCCCCAACCCAACAGGTAAATCCCCCCATTATCATGGGTAGGGTACATACGTGATCATTGGTATGGGATTGTTTGGTCGCTAGGTGCTTGTGTAGCTGTGGGGTTCAAAATAGCTCGGTACCGTATCACGATTCACCACACGGACATTTTCCCTCTCCTCAAGTTGTTCCAACATTGAAACTCTATCCCCATTATCTGCAACTGGAGATGCGTGTAAGAGAGCAAATCATCAGACGCAAGGTTTGCACGTAGGCCCCCCTCCCACCCCATCCCCGCTCTACAGTAGGTACACCAATGCTAGGTATCTTTTTCTCCTCTTTTTATTTTCTTACCATTTGCTGGCGTAGGATCATCATCAATGTGAAGCCAAGATTGATGAGCCCTATGCCTTTGAAGTATGATAATCATATCACACATCCTGGAAGAAAATCAGTGGATCGGGCTGACGGAGAGGGAGGGGAGGGGGGTCGCGCTCGCAACACTTCAACCTGGGCAGCGGTGGGTATGGAGTACGAATCATGATAATGTATTCGTACATACGACGGGAAAACCCTTGAATGGAGACATCAATAGACCTTGGCTTTTTGATTAAGACGGGCTACTACAAAGTACCAGGCTACGAATGAATCAAATCGTACCTCCTTCGTCGCATTACAGTAAAGACAATGCCTGCCCGCCTAAACGTCACCAAAAGCCATATGTTTGACAGTCGGCGGCACGGCAAAGTTAAGCTTTTGGCAGCTCGCGCACTATCGCGAGCTATTGTCAATCCCCACATACGGAAAGGGTGATCTTCCCATAGTCGCGACTAAGAAAGCAGCCCAGTCGGCCGTAACATGACACATTAATGGCATTAAATGTAATCATTCCGAGCTCATACCATTTTTTTGGTTGCTGCGGATTATCGTGGTACGGATACTACAGGGGTTTACGGGTTCAGCTGCGCCTTTGCGGCTCCAATGATCAGCATTCCTTATCCTATTTCGTCCGGGGTAGTCTTGGTTGTTAGTTGTAGCATAAGAGTCATGAATGGAAGCGAGATTGTTTACGGGTCCAGCGATTCAAGTGATCCGTTCAAACTGGACCTTCCTCTTCGCCCGCAGGCATCTGTGTCGAGATGATGAAGTTCTCCAACATGGCCTGACCTTGGCCTTGGCCTCTGCCGGTCTTGTTGTTGTTGTTGCTACTGTTGCTGCCGCCGGACCCCGATCCTACCCTGCTGCTCCCCGCAGCTTGGGGGGCGTCACGGCGCTTAACCACCAAACATAGTACCCGTCCGTAGATGGAAAACCCGTCATATGTGATGTCCATGGCGAGCTTCTTCTTATCGTCTTCGCCGGTTCCATCGTCGATGGCGATTGTCGCCTCTTTGCGGCGCTTCTGCGGGGGCGGGCGCTCTGCACCATCGGATTGCGACTCTACAGCGTCTACATCTCCATCATCGTCTGAAGAGATGAAGAGACCTTCCTCTTCGTCGCTCCCCTGCCCCGTATCTCTCCGCGCTCGCTTAGGTCGTCTAGCTGCAGGCGCATCCGTGTCCATTGACGTTGGGGCCGGCGGTATAGCAGCCAAAGCGGCCCCAATGCCGCCGGGCTCGTCGTCGTCGTCCTCCTCTTGTAGGATAATGGGGGCTGTAACGGCCTCGATGTCCACGTCGATTGGCGCCTCATTGGATGCGCCCACCAGCCCCCGACTGGAGGTCGAGGTGAGCTTGGTCTGGGACTTGTCGTGAAAGTGCTTGTGCTTGGTGACCAAGGAGTGGCGCGTCGTTGTCTCGGTCAGGAATATCGAGACCTCAAAGTCATCTGCAATGCGACCACACCGTTAGCCCCCCAAAAGTCAATGATAATGCTGTGCAAAACTATAATTGCCCCATGGTCCGAGCCGACGTGAGGCCGCATACAACAGGCAAATGGCCTCTCGAAATCTTGTTTATGTGGTACAACGTGCTAGTGACAGGAAGGATAGATGGTAACCGAATGCACCCGAAACTTTGGCGTTCCGTGCACTCCGCGTATTCGTGATGGGTCAACTGACCTTCCACAACGACATCCTTGATGTTCTTCTTCCTGGTGCTTTTCTTGCGGGCGCGCTCCTTCTCCTCGCGTAGTTTCGGCAGGACCAACGGTCGGACTGCCTCAATAACCCTGGGCAGCACATTGTGCCTCGGATGCAAGAGCCATGTTTGCGCAAGTCCTGGATTGTCGAGATAGATGCGCACTTCCAAAACCGAGTACTTTGTAATTCGCAGGTATCGTCGAATCGGTGCCATTATACGTTTTCAGGGCGGACGGCAGGATAGATTCATGACCATGTCTGCTGCGACATTGCAGATACTCTAGGTAACGTTTGGGCAAACAGCGCGTCTCTGTGTTTCGAGGTTGGGAACAGGCAGAAGGAAAGTTTAGTGTTGGAATGGACGATGACGACAGCTGAAGGTGGGATATCAGCCTCGCATTAGCGGTCTTAGTGAGCTGTAGCTGGACCTCTTACAGGGGACGAATGGCAGATCTTTAGTGCAGATCAGTGAACCTCGTAGCCTTATCCGAGCGCTGATGTGCCTGCAGCGTATCAAGCTCCAAAGTGGGAAAAAAATTATTGTATGCACTTCCCAAAGTCGCGACGCGTCGAGGAATCGGGGAATTTGGACCAAACTCCCGTCATGGTCTCATGAACGACCATGTCAAAATCATGGACGTCAACTCTACGGCTGCCCAAGTCCACATTTCCGTATGATTTTCTAGACTCATCCTCCTAATTCGACTTGCAAAAGCTGAACCATACCATGTAGACCAAGAGCCTCGGCCCAATTGCGCGAGCAGTACATTAAGCGGTCCGCGGACGACTTCTACGAATGGCAAAAAGCCAACCGGCCGAGCGATGATACCTTTGTCATTCATGATGGCCCCCCTTACGCCAATGGCAACCTCCACGTCGGCCATGCACTCAATAAGGTCCTCAAGGACATGATCCTGCGTGTAAAAGTGCAGCAGGGACGGCGCGTTGACTATATACCTGGCTGGGACTGCCACGGCCTACCCATTGAGCTCAAGGCCCTAGGCAAGGCCGAAGATGGGGGCAAGCATCTCACGCCTGTCGAGATCCGCAAGTCAGCGAGGAACCTGGCAAGCAACACGGTTCTGAAGCAGATGAAGAGTTTCCGGAGCTATGGCGTCATGGGCGACTGGGACCGTCGGTGGACGACCATGGATGCTGCCTTTGAGATGCGACAGCTGAGACTCTTCCAAAAAATGGTCAAGAAGGGCTTGATCTATCGTAGATTCAAGCCAGTATACTGGTCACCCTCTTCGAAGACGGCACTTGCTGAAGCCGAGCTGGAGTACAAAGATGACCACGTTTCTACTGCAGCCTGGGTCAGATTCCGCATTGATGATTCTTGGAAAGATGTTCCGGAGCTTGCAGAGGCCGCTGGAAGTATGAAGGGAGGATTATACGCCATTATCTGGACCACGACACCATGGACACTTCCCGCCAACCAAGCCATCGCCGTCCATGACGATATGAACTATTCCATTGTTATGGACGGAGAAGATGGATACATTGTCGCAGAAACTCGATTGGACCAAACTCAAGATATGCTTCCCAACCAGACGTCTTCCGGCGCATCTTCCATTGCTGGCAAGCACTTCACAAACCTGAGTTATCGGCACCCTCTAAAAGGCAAATCCGCACCATCACAACCAATCATACATGCGGATTTTGTCACGGCAGATTCAGGTTCTGGTCTTGTTCATCTGGCCCCTGGACATGGTTTTGACGATTACGAAGTCTGTCGCTCGTTGAATTTGTCCGTCACGGCCCCCATTGACAATGAGGGCAAGTTCACAGCGGATGCATACCCGGATGACCCAGATCGACTGACCTCGGCACCTTCTATCAATCACGGTGGTAGCCAATCTGTGATTGACCTTCTTGGCAGTGATATTCTCCACGTCGAAAAGTACAAGCACAAGTACCCATATGACTGGAGGACAAAACAGCCTGTTGTCATCAGGGCTACGGAGCAGTGGTTTGCCGATGTATCCCATATCAGAGATGAGGCGCTGAGTGCCTTGGAGAGTGTGCGTTTCTTTCCAGAAGTGGGACGGAAACGTCTGGAAAGCTTTGTCAAGGGGCGCAGCGAGTGGTGCATCTCAAGGCAACGTGCTTGGGGTGTCCCTATTCCTGCTCTATTTGATAAGAATGGGGCCGCTGTTGTAGATGAAGCGACTGTTGAACACATTCTGTCCGTCATGAAAGATCGAGGCACCGGGGCTTGGTGGTCTGATGCACCGGATGACCCAGCCTGGATTCCTAGTCGCCTGTCTGGAGAATACAGAAGAGGCACTGACACGATGGATGTGTGGTTTGACAGCGGTAGTAGCTGGAGCATGATGTCTGGCCAAGCCGACGTGTACCTGGAGGGATCCGACCAACATCGCGGATGGTTTCAGTCGAGTCTGTTGACACGAGTTGCAGCTGGCGCCGTTGAAGACACTGGCTTTGTCAAGGGCGCACCCTTCAAACAGCTAATTACACATGGGTTCACCTTGGATGGTGAGGGCAAGAAGATGTCAAAGTCTCTGGGTAATGTTATTGAGCCCCAACAGGTCATGGACGGGTCCCTGCTGCCACCAGTGAAGAGAAAGGGCAAGGCGGCACAAGGGCCACCAACGTATGATGCTCTCGGAGCTGATGCACTGCGCCTGTGGGCCGCAAGCAGTGACTATACCAAGGATGTAGCTATCAGTGAGACGGTACTCCGGGCTATTCATACCGCGTTGCTCAAGTACCGCACCATTGCCAAGATGTTGCTGGGCTCTATGCATGAGTCTGCTCGGTCAGCGCCACTCTTCACTGCAGACCATATCGCACTCATCCAGCTGCGAGATACAATGGAGGAGGTTGGAAAAGCCTTTGACAAGCACGAGTTCTACAGAGGCTTCAGCATTCTTAACCGATGGATCACAAACGATTTGTCCGCTTTCTATTTGGAGGCATCAAAGGACAGGCTATACTGCGGCGACGGAGGCGGTGTCATTGAGCCCATCTTCTATGGCTTCATGAGAATGCTGGCACCAATGACTCCGTCACTGGTCGAAGAGGTCTGGGAGCATCGGCCGGAGTGGATGAAGCAGGACATGGCCGTCGTTCACCCTCTCCACCAGTTGTATGCGACTCCCGTGATCTCGGAAGATCGCCTCACGTTGGATCTCCCGGCCGTACGAAAAGATATTCCGACCCTAATGGCTGTGCACTCGGCCATCAAAACAGGCCTCGAGAAAGCCCGGGCTGACAAGGTCGTGGGATCCTCGTTGCAGAGCTCAATTGTAGTGTCGACGTCTGACGCAGGAGTAATTGCCGTCCTGGAAAGATATGCCGATGAGCTGGCCAACATGTTCGTTGTCTCGTCGCTCGAGATTACTGCAGGAGATGCATCCCCCAGCACCCCAGGATGGGAACAATACAAGCAGGAAATCGATATCAATGGAAGTGGTGTCAAGGGCACCATTGCAGTCCTCCCACCGCACGATGCAAAGTGTTCTCGCTGCTGGCGGTATATCGCCCCGGTCGAGGATTCCTTGTGCGGTCGCTGCGAGGAGATGGTCAAAGAGTAGGGCTACGAGATCTGGTGGCCAAGGTTCATGAATGCTTGCTGTGTATGATTATGTAGAAAATGTCTAGAAATGTAAAGTAGCGGGTATCCCAAGGATGAGGAACGTGTACAACACCGGGCAATACTCATAGCCATAGACAATATTGTATACTCGACTCATTATCACTTTATTTGTCCATGCTGAAATGGAATATCAATCGCCAATCTCATCATAAATCTCAAGATCTCAGTTGGCAGGACTATGCGGCTGTCTTTGCTCTTCTGACAATACTGATACATGTGGTCTGGCACGTACATGTGTTCCAGTTTCATAGATGCCCAGCGCGCTGGAAACTATACTATCTATGGCTTGTCCCACATAAGTGACTAGACGTGTCCCTAGAGTGGAAGGACTTGAAGATTGGCGATTCGGTCGCCTTGTATCATTTGCAAGGTATCAAATCTGCCTGATTTCCTTGCCCTTCATCTCGGGCCTCTCCACCTCCCACTCGTCTCTCAGAGCAGCAAAGGCAAGGTCGCTCACGAGCAGACTCTGTCCCAAGCTCCAGACGAGGGTGATGGCGTAGAAAAAGTTGGCGTTTCCACTTCCGGCGTATATCCATAAGTGATAGAATGCTGGTCCCAAGAACGTAGAGTACAGCACCACCGAGCCGGTCAAGAAGCTATACCGCAAGAGTGGGAAGATGTGCCGGAAGCAGGAAACCATGGCCAGGAACAGCGATGTATCGGCAACGCTGGGGTAAGGCTTGAAGATGCCAAAGATGCCAGTGAGGAGGGTGAGAACTACCAACGGCTGGTGCCGTATGCGGATCGAAAGCGCTGGGGCGTACGAGGACAAGTGTAGCCAGAAGACACCGAGGAAGAAGGAGCGGAAGGGGTCAAACATTTCCACGAAAAAGTACCACCAAAGGCCCACATTTGGGGTGAGGTCTGTCAGAGTCAATTGGATGCCGTAGGTCGAATAAAGAAACTCCCATGAACCAGTCACGGCAAAGGACGACAAGAAGAGGATCGCCAAGCTTATTGTGACGGCGAGAACATTGACGCCAGCAAATTGCACGAGTGAGGGCCCATTCGGTTTGTATGTCCGGTCGTACGCCAGTAGTACTAGAGGTGGGAGCAGAAGGATGGGGTACATGGATAGGTAGGCGGCAAAGGACAGAGACAGCATCGACGTAAAAATCTGACCCGAAATAGCCTTTGAAACAGCGTGAAGGATGGCGCATGTCGTGAAGACGGTTGTTGGGCGCGCAAGACAAGTCGCTATAGTAAAGGGGTTGAGTAGGAACAAGGCGGCCACAACATATCCGGACCACTTCCTCTCTGCCCGCGGCGACTTGAATAATCTCGAGGTGCTCGCCTCGCCCGACTCGGCGATTTTATACAGCGCATTGGCGCTCAGGATGTCGATGAGGATATATAGGGCGTATGTGAAGATCGGGTATGCTGCCGTGTCGGGGAGCAGCGAGAAGAGGGGCAGGAGTAGGGGTGCTTGATGGTAGACACCGCCGTCGTAAGGGGAGACATTGTGGTTGTAGAGAAAGAGACCCTCTTGTACTGTTTTTCAGTATCAGCAACCCTCGATTCGATCCGTCTTGGGCACGCGCAGTTGCGTTTGGAATCAACATACATCTCTTGAAGCTGTTCACTGGTGTGGATATTTCGACACGACCCGTCAGCAAGTCCGGGAGGCCTGGGAAAGCCGTGAAGAGAAGGAGACGAAGAGCGGCGGCAGCGACAAAGAGACCAGTTGTCCCCGAAGTCGCTTGAGAGCCCATATTAGCTTGGGTCATATCGCAATTCCATCGTCTAGAAGAGAAAGAGAGGAATAATTGCCCAGTTACAAAGCACTTCAAGGTGGCCCGTATGCCTTTTCTTTGGCTGGAGCTCTGCCTAGGTTCAGGTACGGTACAGTGGGTAGGTAAGTACTACGTACTGCTAGCAGGGAGAAGTGGCTGTTTGTCAGTTGCTGCAAGAGGCCAGCGGACCCCTGCTGGTTGCTAGAAGCTCCAGCGCGCAGCACTAAACCTCGTCGGGTTTACCCCAGAAATAAGGTGGGCGGTGAAAGCATATCGATAACCAGGCGGCAGAAAAAGTTCAAGCTGGGAAAAAGTTCCCAGTCTGGCGGGGCCATTGGAAAGAAAAGTCAGAGAGGGCCGTTTTGTGATAGGCGGTTTGTGTTTTCCTGCGCAACTCTCTTTCCATTTTCTGTCTGCCATTCATTCCTCGAGCACATTCGAGGCCACAGCAGACCAATCGCCAAAATGGGTCGGATAAAGAAGAAGGGCCAGGCCGGTGCCGCCAAAAACTACATCACCAGAAACCAGGCCATCAAGAAGTTGCAGATCAGCTTGCCCGATTTCAGAAAGCTGTGCATCTGGAAGGGTATCTTCCCGCGCGAGCCCAACAACCGCAAGAAAGTTAGCAAGAGCTCGACCGCTTCGACCACCTTTTACTACTCCAAGGACATTCAATACCTGCTCCATGAGCCACTGCTGCAAAAGTTCAGGGACCAGAAGGCTCTGGAGAAGAAGATTTCTCGTGCCTTGGGAAGAGGAGATGTGACGGACGCCTCTCGCCTCGAGCGCAATGCCGCCAGACCCGAGAAGACTGGCAAGCCGCCGTATACTCTCGACCACCTTGTCCGCGAGCGCTACCCGACCTTTGTCGACGCGCTTAGAGACCTGGACGATGCCCTGTCGATGCTGTTCCTCTTCGCCAACCTGCCCTCGACCTCGAGTGTCCCCGCCAAGATGATTGCCCGCTGCGAGCGGCTATGTCTCGAGTTCCAACACTACCTCATAGTCTCGCAAAGCCTGCGCAAGTCCTTCTTGTCGATCAAGGGTATCTACTACCAGGCGACCATTCAAGGCGAGGACATTCTCTGGCTTGTCCCCTACAAGTTCAACCAGCGCATCCTTGGCGACATTGATTTCAGAATCATGGGCACTTTTGTCCAATTCTACATGACTCTCCTCAAGTTTGTCAACTTTAGACTGTACAGCTCGATTGGTCTTGTCTATCCGCCAAAGTTTGATGCAAAGAAGGATGAGCTGGCCGCCGAGTTGGGCGCCTTCACGATTGAGGGCAAGCATGCCAGCGCAATTCAAGACAAGCCCGCCGAGGAGAAGCCTGCTGAGGAAGCCTCCAAGAAGGCCATCGACCCGGCAACTCAGGCCGCCGTGAACAAGGTCATCAAGCAGCTCGGAAAAGTTGACGACAAGACCAGCAATGGAGACGCTGCTGGTGCTGATAAGGAGGATCAGCCAACAGACACAATTGACAAGTTTGAGCCGGCTGCCCCTGGTGGCGATGTTCTTCCCCAGCCCACATACTCTGGAACTGACCCCGGAACGCTTTTTGCCAATTGCACCTTCTTCCTGTCGCGTGAGACACCCAGACAACCTCTCGAGTTTCTGCTCAAGGCCTTTGGGTGCAAGCGTGTCGGTTGGGATGCTGTCCTGGGTGAGGGCGCTTACACCACGGATGAGCGCGATCCTTCCATCACGCATCAGATTGTGGACCGCCCCGTCGTTGCTGCCATGAACGAGGAGAACGGCGACGGTGAGGACAACCAGACCTCTCAAAAGCTTGGCGCCAACCAGAGACTGCCTGGCAGAATCTACGTGCAGCCTCAATGGATATGGGATAGCGTCAACGATGAGGAGCTCAAGCCTGCAGACTTGTACGCACCAGGCGCGCAACTCCCCCCTCATTTGAGTCCCTTTGTCCAGTCCACGGCTGGTGGCTACGACCCCACCATCCCATTGGAGGATCAACAGCCTGAAGAGGAGGCACTGGCTGACAGCGATGATGAGGAGGACGAGGATGAGGAAGATGATGAGGAAGAAGCCGAGAACGGTACTACTGCCAAGAAGGGAGAGAGCGCTGCTGATTCCATGGATGTGGATGACGCCGACGAGGATGATGAGGACTTTGGTGGATTCTCTGGTGATGAGCAGGACGAGGAAGAGGAGGAAGCCGAGGATGATGCCGAAGAGGAAGAAGAAGAGGACGCTGAACTCCAGCGCCAACGTGAACTCATTGCCGAAATGACAGGCCAGGCAGTGCCGCAAAAGCCAGCACAAAATACTCGTTCCAAGGCAAAGGCAGATGCACGAAAGAAGCTGGCAGCACAAGCCAAGGAAGACGCGGAAGATTTGGATCGTGCAAGAGGCATGCTGAGCAAGAAGAAGCGCAAGCTGCATGACCAAATGATGTACACCAACAACAAGAAGAGTGCCGAAGACCAGAAGCTGCGGGAAAAGAGGAGGAGATTGGAAAAGCAAAAGCAAAGAAAGGCTCCGGCGTAAAAATGGTTTACATAGATTCTATTTCAATTGGCTTCATAATACCACAGGTCGTTTTCTCTTGTTACTTGACATGTATACATTCCTGCAACTTGTAGAAGGACTGCGTACTAGACAGTGACGGGCAATGTCTTTGACAAACGTGACCTAGAAAAAGCAACTATATAATGTCTCTTTTCAGTACAAAATCATGGGCATCAATCCGTTGGGATGTGTGCACTGATTTCCTAGCTGGAGTAAAGGGTTGCTTGCTTTTGCCCCACTAAAACCATAGTATTTTCCCAGTAGGCGCTAAAAGCAAAGCAACATTGTTCAGACTTTATTATCATCGCTCAACAGTAGTACTACTCATGTAAACACGACTGGGAGATCTTGGCAAATTTCAACTGCCATTGCAAGAAATGCCAGCAGAATCAGAAGATGATTACGAATCATCAGGCTCTTCTGGGTCCGAGAGCGACCGTCCAAACCGCTGGGACGGGCCTCCAGCAACATGGCAAGACATGAACCGGGAAGAAATCAGTACGCTAACAGCGCTGGACGAGTTGAAGAATCGAGACTTGTCAGTCCATCTTTACAATACATATGCTCTAAAGCAGCGCCATAAGCAGCCAGACAATGAAACTGGTCCAGAGCCTGAAAAGGTAAAAGAAGCGATCCCCGCTGCTCTGGCATTGTTCCTTTTACTGAATCAGTGACAGGATATAGATGCTGCTACTGGAGAGACGATTCCCCAGGATAACTGGCTGCCTCAGCGCTCATGGACAGCATGGCCCGTGAGCGTGGACAAGGTGCCGCCAGATGATTTCATGCGGTGCAATGAAAATGATCCAGACGACGTGTATACCATTGCAAATTCTCGGCACAGCAACCCGAGTGCGCCTTTGGAGGATGCGGTGGCTGCGGCGGTTTTGCGATTTGCAAAAGCGAGGTTCTTGGCGCGCCCATGGGAGAGTGCACCAACCGGGCCAGAGACTGAGGACGAAGATGGCATATTCAACGATGACGATGATGATGACGGCAACGATGACGATGGCGATGAAGGAGAAAGCAGCGATCAAGAATCGCTTGCTGGACCTGGAAGTAGAACCTCGAAATTTTCACGGTCACGATCACGTTCACGATCAAAGTCTATCAAACGTGCAGCTAGCAGCTCAACCCAGGACAAGAGACATGATCCAGTGGATTCGGGGGATGAGCCTGACGTTGACAGAGATATTGTCCATCCTCTGGGAAAGCGGCCGCTCAAGCCCACTGTCGCTGAAGACGACGACTTGTCATACAAAATCATGCGTCCTGCGGTAAGAAGCGTCTTGACGAAATTGGATGCAACCCTGACGATTTTGCACCATTCAAGGAAAGCTGCTGTCGATTACATGTCAGACTCATCCAGCGACACGGAGCCAGAGGTATCGGATCGCACCAAGCGCTCGAGAAGTCGTGGCTCAGAACCTCCTGCAAAAAAGAGACGTGGGCGTCCCCCGAGAGCTAGTCTCGCGCTTCGGATGCGCTCGCCGCCACCGGTGTTGCCAACGAGCAACAATGAAGGCGCAATAGAAGAGCCCGTGCCGAAAGCCATCACAGAAAGCGGTGTCGACACAGAGGATCAGTCCAAGAAACGAAAAGTCGGCCGACCTCGCAAGGTTTATCCACGTCTCGAGGGAGAGACGGACAGAGATTTCGCTATTCGAGTGGCGAGACTCCGCAAAGAACCCATTCCGTTGTTCAATGATGCGCATACGCTGGACTCCGACAACCCTAAGAGTAGCGGCTCGGAGGCGTCACCGCTCAAACCTAGCAAGAGAGGTCGCAGGACTTCAAAACCCCGTGAACCATCTCCAGGCACTATAGAAAAAAAGGCCGCCCAGAGACGAAGAAAGGCATTGCGCTACGGTATCAGGGACTGGAAAGATGTGCTGGGCGCCGCCGCCTTGGCAGGGTTTCCCCGAGATGCTCTCGATCGTGCAGCTCGGCGCTGTGCGGATCTATTTCAGGACAGCATGGAACTGCATTCGCTGAACGAGACCCTCTTGGACAAGGACGATCAAGATCAGCGAGTTCAGTACCGTCCAGGTATGCTTGCCGATCTAGCCGACCTAGACGATGAGGGCGAGGATGATTATAGCAGCGGAGGAGAAACGCAGTCCCAAACGGCAAGGCATATTCGCGCCACGAGCACCGCCGTATCTGCATCTTCAGACGGTCGCGGCAGATCGAGGAGCCGGTCGCGGTCTCTCAGCCGGGCAAGGACCACCTCTCGCTCACGGTCCACGTCGGTCGCCGGTACACACTTTTGCAATGTCCGGGGCTGCCCGAGAAGCGCCGAAGGGTTCTCGAGACGGCAAAACCTGCTTCGACACATGAAATTGGTGCATGGTATAGAAAAAGATGAGGCATTGACGGACATTGACGTTGACAGCGAGGACGAGGTCCATGGGGCTGTGCATGTTGATGGCTTCCTGAAGCCAATCAGGATCAGACCAGCATGGAAAAATGAAGATCGAGCGGCGGCTAGAAAAGCCTCTGGCATACGCCGTGGTAATAAGAGAGACAGACTCGGAAGCGCAACGGAGACGGGGGCTGATGACAGTGATGTGGTGATGGGCGATGATTAAATATGAGGCAGGTACAGGACACGAGAGCAATACGATTGGCATTTACCAGCTGCGTTTCCTGAAGCTCCAAGGCTCGAGATGGACTTTTGATCATATTGCAATTACTTTTACTTCCCCTGGTTCGCTTGGCTGGTATTCTATCGTCCTACAGTTATATGATTTGGTCTGGATAGCATGTTTGAGGTCAGGGCATGAACAACATGTCTTATATAGTATCATTTCCAGACCCATGTATCAAGCCGACTGCTTGGCCTTGAATTGTCTCTCCACCTCATCCGCAAAATCCCCAATCGAGTCAAACCTCCACTCAAAGCCCACGGAATCCTTGAACTCGTTGAGCTCATCCTTGACGATGCCGCCGTGGCCGCCCTGGTCGGCGCCCCGCGAAATCCAGACGCTGCGTAGATTCAGCGCCTTGCACGGCACGTGGTCCACCTTGAGACTGCGCGCCACGTGCAGAAGCTCGCCCTTTTCGGCGTCGATGCCCAGCTCCTTCCGGGCGTGCCCAAAGAGGTACTCAAAGTTCTTGGGGTCCGGCTTGTAGCTGCCAATCTCCTGTGCAGTGTAGACGCCATCAAAGTCGACCCCTTCCACTTTGTGAGGACGTTCAGGTTAGCCAGTCATTCTCAAGATGATGGTGCTTATGAACCACTGAGGTGGCAAGTATTACTCTGCTCTACTTTCTCGTAGTTGATCGTCTAGGCAATAAATCAAGGCTGGCAAGGTGGGAAAGAAGAGAGAAAAACCACAAACTTACACTGCCTCTCAATGGTACTCTTCATATTAATATTGTCAATATTACTCAAGATGGCCAACTTGTAATACTTCTTGAGCCGGCGCAACCCGTCGACGGTATCGGGAAACGCGGGATATGTCCCCGGAGCATTCCCAAGGGGCTCGGCAATGGAGTCGGACAAGGCCGTGATGCCGAGCTCGTGCGCCAGCCGCGTCGCTGCCGCCACCAGTATCTCATTGTACAAGAGGTGCGGCTGCCTCTTTTGTATGTCCACAATGGCCAGGTCAAACTTTTGCATGGCCGCGACGGGCGGGTCCTCGTTGTGAGGGTCTGACGCTGGTAGTTGCGAGGTCAGGGCACCTAGAGACTTGATGAGACCGGCTTCCCAGTCTATGAGTGTGCCGTAGCAATCGAAGCTGTTGCTTGGTTTAGTTTTGTGTTCCTTGCTAGAAATACAAAGACGCGCTGCTTACCTCAGAGCTTTGAAGCTGGTGAGGTCTGGATATTTGGTTGGAGCCATAATTGTATCCTATGCTTCAGATATTTGTAAACAATGATGGTCAAGTAAATTGTGTTGTATGGGTCTTCTATTCGTGAGAGCTAATCCGAGTCAAAATTGACGACAGTTATAAGTCGGGGGAAATGACTCCAAAGTGCGACGTCATAGTTGCATGAATAACATTTCTTTCCCCAATTCTCTATGAAATGCGCGCCTTTTGAGTTTGTAGCACAAATAACATGAGAAAAGTGGTCAGTACCCCTCAAAAACATGTCAAACTCATGCATCATTTGCATACGAGCTGTCGAATCATAATCCATTACACACGTAGTAAAGCTGTGGCAACTTCCCCACGACGGCACAGAAGGGCGTCGTCAAGGGCGTGGCTGATGGCCTGCAGGCCTCGGATGCGCAGCTCCGGCAGGGTCAACGAGCGAGGAGATTGGATATTTTACAGATTCTATATCATTATATTTTTCAAAATATCTCATTTGTGATAGACGGCTGGGTCAATGATTACGATTACGCATCCGTTCGTATTGGTTTGTATATGATGGTATCTATCAATACATTCAAGCATCATTGTTGATACAGCCAACACCAAAAGTATAGATTGACATTGAAAGATGGTCTAAATCTATGAAAACTGAATGTAACAAACAGACATTACAAGTCTTCGCGTGGTGTCACCTGAGCGTGCCACATTGCTAAGCCATTATGTGGCGCATCAGTATACTACAAATGAAATAGTATAATGTATACCTGCCAAGATAGGTAATCTTGAGATAGTGATAAATATAGATAGCGAGCTAATTGCGGTACATCTTTGTGTTTAGCTTAGCTTTGTAACTTGCTGATTATAGCTTATAATAGCTGACTCAGGGAAGGGGGCAACTACATTGTATCTAAATATCCAAGAACAATGTTTAAATTGGATTGATATATCTAATGTTTTATGACAAGTACTGGTCAGTGAGTATTTGTGTACTGTGAATATCAGTCACGACCAATCATTGAGCATTGGTCAATATTTCCACCGATGATACGACGGAATAAGTCAAACTTGTCTTGTTGAGGCTGAGAGTCATATTTGTTGCCACTGATAACAAGCTTTGCTTGGTGTCTATTACAGGATATATAAACGACAGCCAGACAACCGTTCTCTTGGCTTGATCATCTTCTCAAACTTATACTCCATCTTGAAAGGGCTGGACTGCGACAATAGATCATAGATCGTAGACTGTGCATCATGGGCACATCTCAAAAAGGAGATCAATTGCAATGAAGCCATAGACGATAGCATGGCCATATGGTTCAAATAAGTCGGGCCAATAGAAGTCACCAGTTTCCAATATCGTCCCATATGTATAGGTCCTGGTGCTGGACGAAAGAAGCAACTGCCAGACTTGTTCTAGGCTTTCCATTTCATCCTATATATGATCTTGTGATTCAGAGCTCCCCTGGTCAGCTGGTCCAAAGTCCTTTGGAGTGCTTGCCGAGCCCTACAATTCAGAAGCTCTGACCGGCCCAAGCTCCGGTCCGCAACAATTATAAATTCTGCCGCTGATTCAATTCAACCCTTCCTTTCTTTCTTTCTTCTTCCTCATCACTACCGACTGGTGACTACAACACAACAACCACACATCGTCAATCATACTGACAGTATCCATCCATACCATACGCTCTTAAGTTCGCCTATTGAACCCATTCCCCTTCCGATTTCCGGTATCCATAGTCATCAATCAAGACTAATTGACGACTTCAATTTGAAAACCGACGATATCCCCCACCAGTCCCTCTACCTGTTCGCCGACAGAACATCGTCATCGTCCATCAATCTATCTCTCTTATAATTACTTGACATAGTCAAGTAAGCCTATCTCCACTTCCCTAATCATTTATTTCTCATCATAACCCATCCAATATACATACACAATGGCTGGTGGACGCAAATACAGACCGGCACAGATCCAGTTTGCGCTTGAATGTATTCTGGCCGGTTTCTCGAATAAAGAAGCCATCGCGCTCTTCAAAAACCGCTTCGGAACCCAAGATTGGGGTTTAGCCCAGTTGAAGTACATGAGGGTCACATACGGCGACCACCCAGACTTCGGGTTAGTATACTCTTCAGCGTTCCTCTTCTACACCTGCTTTTTGCGCCTGTCGTCCATGACTTGATAATCAAGTTATCTTGGTGGGATTGACTGCCGATTGAATGATTGCTGACATCGCTTTTCGGTAGTTGCTGCCTAGTAAACCGAACAAAGATGACCGAACCCGAAAAGGCGGCTCTTCGGTCTCGGCTGGTCGTAGAAGCGAGGAAGGGACCCGGGACAGGGCAAGCCGACGATATTTCGGAGTGGACGTCTCCGAAAGGCACGAGGCATCAAAGCCTTGCTAGTCATCGGAGCGCTGGCTCGGCATCGGAACCTTCGATTTTAGCACCTCATGTACCAGTTCAGAACGGTGATGTATTTACCAACCCGTAGAACGGGCAGGTAGATGCCTCACGGTTCTCGAATGGCTCGCTAGTGACTCCGAATTCGATGGGCTACGATCTTTCGCCGATGCAAACACTTCAGCCACTTCCTACTCCTACTCCCAATTCTGCAGAACAAACGGCTACATCAATGCATGATAGCACCAATATGACTATTCCTAGTATCGAAAGCGACTTCGACTTCTCAGCTTTTTTAGTAGACACGGAAGCCGACAAAGCTGAGCTGGACAGCGGCATGATTGACCCAGTATTGTCCTCAATGGATCTCAACTGTCAGTACTTCAATCATTCTCACATGGATTCATGGCCCAAAACATGCAGGTGTATCTAATTCAATGATAGTTGACATGCAGAATGGCGAAAACGTATTCCAGATGAGCGGAGACACCTCACTCGATCATTTCGACTTCTCGCTACCTAATTATGGGCAAAGAAATGAGCCAAGCGATACTAATACGATGGGTCCGACTCACAGAATGCAAGAACAAGTCTCCTGCTACGAGAGACCCGAGATGGGAGGATTCGAGGCCCCCACCATTGAGAAGGCTACGGCAGAAACCTATCACCGCGAGCCACAAGCGCAAGCGCAAGAGGTGCCATCAATCGAAATGCCCGGATTCGAATACATGCACGAGAATCCAGTTACCTCGGTTCCGGTGGCACCAATGGCTGAAATACCAGGAAGTCAACATAATGACAACCATCACCAAGTCGACCACCAAATACCAGAGCCTCATGTGCCGGTACAATCATCAATACTAGACCGCGGCATGGTTGAGAACCAGTCCAGTGAACCACCAGCTGTACCACAAGGCTGCACGGACGCAGCAAGATCAGGTTGGGATGCCCTCGGCTGGTGGTACAAGGGGAAACATGATCGTTGCCCTCTGCCAATTACGCACCGTCACGACACCAACGGCCAGGTGTCGTTTGCTGGTATGGGAGATGTTCTAAAGATGGTGAATGAGGTCATGAGTCTAGCTAGACAGGGTCATTGAGAAGTGGAATTTGGGTATTATTTAGGAGGGAGACAAAGCCACTCGGTGACATCGAAGTGTACCCTTTCTTCCCTCCTTCTGTTCCATTGCTTTCTCACATGCATAAGCAATGAGGGCAGAAGACAAATCTCGATCATAGTCTGATTGTTCGAACAATGATTAGGGGGTTTTCAATTTTAGATCTTATGGCCATAATAAATAATGAATAATTCGTAATATTGATTCTGAACCGAGACGATACACAATCTCGTGCGATCGCTCGCAACGCATATCTGTGAGACATGACTTGTGAATTCCCTTGACATTGGCTGCGAAACTCCATCCGCTCATCCCCAATAACGCCAACATGTCCTGGAAAGGGTATCTTCTATAGGGGTGATAAAACAAAAATAAAAAAATGAGATCTAAATCCTCAAATCATATAGTCATGGTAAATCATCAACCATAAACCATAAAGAATGAATTTCCAGACGGGAGATGAAGATCTGAATGAAGATTGGACGTTTCGGAATTGGAAGGATCATACGGCAATGCTAACATTCTTCCTGGAGTCGGCTTCCTCTAGCTGAAAGCCAAAGACGAGTTTGAACAACTCGCGTAGGAAGCCGTATTGACCTGATCGTTGCGTCATCCAGCCCACACTCTTGGCCATGTCTGTAGCCGAAACTCGTTTGCCCCGACTTGGGAGTGACGAGGAGTGTTTGAAAGAAGAATCGGCAAGCACTAGATTTTTGTAGCTTTGCAGCATGGAGGTATGTGCCGGCAGTGAACCGAAAGAGCCCGTCGGCAATGATTTCACAAATGCTTGCAGCGACGCCGCGCCTCCGTGGCTGCTCGAATCGTCCCTGGAGAAACCGACATTCATTGCAGCTTTGAGAATCAACATTTTGATTCGTGAAACGTTCATGTCCTCTGCCGAAGTGGTGGTTGTAGCCGTGCTGGACGTTCTTTGACTACTCTGGGAGTAGCCCGACAGGTTGGATGCACTACTGGACCAGTGCCCGCCTCTGTTACTTTCTGTGCCAAGCACCAGAATGTTTGGTACTTGAGGTGACTCGCTATCCGGCGAGATTGGCGTGTCTTCAAATTCTGTCACGGGCGTTTCCGGCACTGGCAGCGGTTTCTTCTTTTCCTGAGGAATGCCTCTCAAACTATCTCGCTTTGAACGATTTGACGCTCGGCTTGCCCGGCCGTCTTGGTCTCCGTGATCTCTTTCTCGTTGGAAGGTGAAGAAATTGGTGTGATTTGGTTTCGGAGTACCTCTGTCTGGTCGAATCTGAGTCCACCCTTCTCGGAAGATATCGCACAGCTCCCAGCAAGCTTGAACGGCCGAACCCAGGAGCTCCTCATCGGGGGCTTTGTTGTCCCGCTTGTTCTGACGCAGGCTGAAGAGCATTTCTGCCAAGGACCAGCATGCGCGAAGCAGAGAGTCGGTCTCCTCTGCCAGTTCATTTCTCTGCTTCATGAGCCGGTGGCAGAGGGTTATATAAAAATCCAAGGTGCGTTCGCGAAAAGCTTCTGGGAGGTTTCTATTGTCCTGAGCGCTATACAAGCTGAGATTACATAGTCAGTAATCAGTGTTCAACGAACGGTGACTGGGCCACTTACTGGTTGTTCAGCTCAAAGCTCACTCTCAATACAGAATCTGCAGTTTCATCCTTCTTTGTTCTGACATCAAAGAGCGATTGACAAAAGTCTCGACATAGGTCGAGATTCATTTTCACGTTGAAATATTGCTCATCTTCATCGCGATTGTCGTAAAGTCGTTGGCAAAGCTTCCAGCATGCCTTCCATGCCTTTTCGTGAGCATCGGGTGTTCCAGACGTGTTAAAGACCCTCTCTCGATGATGTGTGCTCAATGTGGCGAGGGTGTTGCACAGTGTCCAGCATTCTGCTAGCGCTGTCTTGAGCGATCTGATCTCCATGTCTTCGCCGCCTGAAGGAGTGACGAATTCATCCTCATCATCCGCTTCAGGATCCATGTCGGCATCCGTCTCTGGCTCCCGTATCTCTGGAATCACTAGGAGATCGTAAGTAAAGTATGCAAGCATGAACATTTTGGAACGAGCTTACGCTCAAGACTACTGGCACTACTCGAACGTAGCCTTGCAGAGTCGCTTAGTAGACTCTGAACTTCTTGCAAGTTTTGGGCTCGCGGAGTAGCGCTATCAAGGCTATACCTAATCGGCTTGACATCTGTAGAAATGGGCGGCGGAGTAGGAAGTCCTGGGGATCGAGCCTAATGGCTGAGTTAGGATAGTTTGTGAGCTCAAGAATATGATTGTAAGCCTACCTTTGACATGTGATCCATAGGGGGTGGAACTTGAATAGCTTCGGGTTTAGGTGAGGTTTTGGGCGACGTCTTTCGCGTTGACTCATCAAGAGGCTCAATGGTGGAGCTTGAGGAGGCCTAGAAGAATATTAACACGGGCACATGAGCTGGTTGCGCGAGTAAACCAACCCAGCTTTGGAAGCTTTCGGGTGCATGTATAACTGAGACAGCCTCCTCACTGGAAGATTGGCGTACGTGATCGGGCAAGTTGGTTCTCAGCATCAGGAGCTACCAGAGGGTCAGCCCAAGAATACCTCCACAATTCCCAGCAAACAGAAAAATACCCACCCGTGAAGACTGTGTAGAACTTGGACTGGCAAACTCGAGACGGGCGTCATCCGACATATCATCTTCTATTTCCGTGACCTCAGTCCCGACTGATGTTACCGGCGACGGGCCTACGATATCGCTCGGGCTCATCAAGTGGTTGTTCATGGCGGATGATCGACCGGCGGCAGAGGAGGGACGGAGGGAATTGGACTCTGCAGAACTAGCAGACCTTTGAGAGCAAACACAATCAGCAATCTTACAAGTCCAGAGACATGATCCCAACTCACAATGGACGGAATTGCGATTGACGTGCAGGCGACTCTGGTGAGGATACAGATATATCTGTATGCGGCGAGAAGGGAGACATGACACCGTCAATCGATGACCTCAACGGGGCTTCTAGAGCCATGTCTGCCTTGGGCTGAGTATACTCAGGTCGAGTTTCTTGGCCGGTCTTTATAGTCTGGGACCAGCCTTCGAAGATTTCTAGCGACAGACGGACAGGTTGGTCGCTTTGATCGGGGCCAAAGGGAATATAGTTGTACGCCCCACAGCGGCGGCGCGCTTAACAGTATATAGTCGCGAGTGAAGCAAGATGCGCCGATGGGAATTGTCGGCACCGCAGCAGAAATGCGCCTTGTAGGTGGCCGGAATCAGGAGCCCTAGGAAGTCCAGCTTCAGACAAAGGTTGGTTCAGGAAGCGAGGGAGCGGGTGTGAGAGGATATGGTTGTTTAAAGCGACACAGCGCGGCCAGCGTCTCGTCTCGGCAAGTAGGCAAGAAACCCTGAGCTGCTTGTGCCGCAGTAGAGAGCCGCAGCGCCGGGCCGACTAACTATATTCAGACGCTATTACTGAAATTCTGAAGGAAGAATCTTGCCAGAGCACAATTGGCTGGAGTACACGTTGATCGACAGGGAACGTGGGAGAAAAAGATGAATGTTTGTCTCTCGGTCGGCTCATGCGACGGAGGGGCTACCTAGGTAGACAGACCTGTCAGGACTCGGGCAGGTTCTGGGTGCTGGCTCTGTCTAAGCTTGAAAGGGTACGGCCGCGCTGTGTTCTGGGGAGTGATGGAGATACAAGACAGGCACCAGGCTCAATCGAAGAATAGCAGGCAGCCAATGGTTTGAGTACTTTGGGGTTGACAGGGAAGCACAGATAGAAAAAGTGGGAGAAGACACAAGCGGAGTCGACGGCAAACCGTTACCCAGCGTGTGCCCTGTAGTCGTTGCCGTTGGGACATCTCATGCGGGTTTCTGTCTACGAAGAATGCTGTACGGTGCCATGGTAGTTGCACAATAGAGCCTCAGGTTCCGTCGAGATGTGCAGAAGAGCCACGCCTGGCCGCGCTGCCGTCCTGCCAGCTTATCGTTCGTCCTCTCTTGCTGGTCTCGTTGAATGCTTCAGGCCGAGATGCATTGCAGCAAGCGGCGGCGGCGGCTGTCTCGCGTTGGAGCTGCTCCGGTATACCACAGTACAAGACATTAGCCTGCTGAATGCGCGTCTTTTGTGACCTCTGGATACACCACTGGGGACGGACGCTGACCAGTCACAAGTCACCTAGGTGGCTCATGGTGCTCTACCGCAGTGCGGGATGCATGGACCGAGCAGGCCCTCGGCGCTTAATAGCAGTGGACTCGACTCCAATCTGGCCACTCACAGTCTTCCCGTGCGGATTCCCACCCACCGGCTGGCCCCTGGTCACTCACCAACTTGGGCCATCATGGAGCGGGGCTGCAGGATATAGAAATTAGCCCATTCATGATGAGAGTCCTAAACCACCACATCGGGGCAACAAAAGATTCTGAAGGTCAAGATAGTCTAGGTTGACGGTCATCATCGTCCGGGCTGGGCTTCACAGCCGGCTGGTTATCCCTGGACGGCGGGAGCCTACAAAGTTCTTGCGAGTATCGACAATTGTACTTGTGGTAGATGATGCCGTCTCTTGGGTCGGGCAACTGTATCCGTGTGCTCACTTACGGCAGAGTTTATTTGTGATGGGTACTAGATAGCTAGCCCGAGCCAATCCAGCACTATCGCAAGAATATAGTCGGAGATCCACATAATTGTCTCTCCTGTTAGGACTTAATTGGCTCTTTGCTGTACGTTGACTCTGTGATGAACGCCTGAAAACGATGAGTCAAAAGCTCAATGGAGGAACTTGACAAGGCAAAGTCCTGCAGCAGTATTTTGCCCGCTTAACCAGGAAGTTCCGACAATCTGGTTCACGCTTTTTTAACAGAGGCTACCTTGACCCGCAGGAGGGGACCGGAGTGCCTTCCGGTTCGGGGAAGTAGCGTTTCTCAGGCCGGTTCCCCGGGGGGGGGGGGGGGGGGGGCCATGACAGTCACTGAGAACTGAAAGTCTACAATCAAAAGCCACGAAACTTGTGAATCTCACCCATAATACCAATATTCTGCAAATGATTAAAGAATCCATGACATCTTACAAACGAATGCACTCGCTCCGGCGAATGAGAGCTGGTTTCTCTCGTTTTCATGACATGAAGAAATCGTCGATTGCGAACAAGGCTCTAAGCACTAAAAGAAATACCTGACCCAGGCCGTGGGGGCCAAGTCAGCAACACACTTCAGTGCTACTCGATTCTCGACTCTTTATTGGGAATAATACGACTTTTGAGAGTGGTGTGAATGTGTAAGTGCGTCCACCATTGTGCTGTCAGTCAAATAAGACTTGATTTTTGGCCGCAACATTGCTTTTCGTGCTTCGGTGTAAGCAGCATGAGACCAAGCAGATTCGATAAGACGCTCGTCAAACGGCCCAGTTGCACCAAGGTCGCTCGCAGACATATGCCAGACTTCAACTTTGGCGCATACCAGCCGTGATGCTCGTACTAGGAGCGGTATCATCATCTAGTACGTACGGAATATGTATGTACAATTCAGCCCGGCCGAACCAAGTAGTCTGGACGGCCGAGAGACTGCACTTCTGCAAGGCACTGTAAGGCAGTTCTTTTGGTCTTGCGTTGGAGTAGGACCATGAGACGTCTCCGTGGTACGGCAAGCCGCTTGCGCAGCCAACTGCTCCGTGGCTTACCCGCGCTTGCTAGAATACGGTGATCCCGCTCCTTGAAGAGATGTTGAGTGGTTCTTTGCGAGCTATCGAGGAATCCAAAGACTGAGCTTTCAAGTGGCCCCAGCCTCTCTTGACACTTTTGACCCATCAGTCGGTAGTTGTCATTGCTCAACTCTCCACTCCAGGGCATCTTTCACCGACAGACAGGATGGAACTAGGAATACCCAGTCAAGCGAGATGACCAGTAGGATGCCAGAGAGGCACCAAGCTTTTTGGGCATTTTTTGATAAGGCTGGGGTAGGCAAAGGATCGACTGCAAGCACCTACTCGCACATGGCAGCATTTCTTTTGTTCAGAGGATTCGTAGCTAGTCTAGTCACTTTGATAAAGAGAAAGAAAGATGCGCTACTCTGTATGATCACATCTTAGCTGGATACAGTCTCCAACAGGCGTGGTCAAGCTTCGGATGCCAGGTTGTCTCGATAGCGACGTGCTTCAACGCTTGGCAGTAGGAATACTATGCATGCACCTCAAGGCTTTGGGAAATCCAATACTAGAAATCGAGTTGAACCAGAAAAGAAAAGAAAAACACACAAGAAGAATCTGTTGTGCGGAAAACGGCGTGCCATAGAAATGGTGCAATAGGCGCCCGTACCATACTAGCTCGGCAGATAAAGACATGCAGCTGGACTGTTGGAATCTCAAGCGCAGTGCACAAAGTGGAGAAGCATCCGAGGAATGTGATTTACAAGCATCAATCACCTACTACTTAGCACCTCGGTAGGAGCTTTCTACGCTGCATAGGGACTGGCTTCTCGCAACTAACCAGTTGTCATTGGTTCCAGACTGTCGGGTGCATGGTGAGTTGTACGACGGAAGGATATCCTGGTGATAATGGCTAGAGTATATCTTTTCTTCCATATTTTTTCCTTTTTGGTTTTCCAGAACGACATGGCAGGGGATTAGCTAGCCATTCAGGCATGATGTTGGTTGAAGACATGCGAGGGAAACCTGACTAGCTAAGCACACAGTCGATGCAGCATCCTTCTCTGGTCATTTACGAGGTCGAAATTTGGTTCATAACCACCGACTAGCACGATTGTGGGCGATCAAGGTATTCATCATTCACATGAACGAAGAACCACATGTGCTTGGACGGATGCATCCTGGTTCTTTGTCACGGTGCTATGATATATCCTATATCCGTTATGACCAATTGTCGTATCAAGTTGTTGATCATATTTGCATTTATCCCTGGCCAAGTGTGGCACCCATCTGCTCGTCTATGCACAACAAAGCGTATCTAACCACGTAGCATGTGTCTGTGCCTCCAAGCGCCGTGATGAGTCCATAGAGTACCCATACTTTACGGATGGAGAATGGTGCATGGCTTGTTGCTTGTTGGTACCAACTTCCAGCCAAGAGACGGCCGTGAGTCGCTTTGCCAACACATGCCACGGTCACATGATTCAAATCTGATGTCGGCTGCAAGATTTGTTTTGTTGATGTGTGTGTTGATCCCTTGTTGAGCCCTGCAAAGCAATACGCGGCTATATCGACTGATAAGCGCGCTGCACACTGCTCAACAACAGACGCCCCCTTCCAGAAATCTAGTGATCTAATTTTCCTGTGACCTTCATCTAGACCGCGGCCGGCGAGGTAGGCCTCTGAGAAAATTGGTGTGCAGTATGCCTTACTCAGCCCTTTTCGACCTTTCTATGCCTGTTCCATGTAGATTTTGCTGGCATGGCCTTCCGATACAATCTCATACGTGTAGCTCTCTTATTCGGGAGGAAGTGATGTCAAATGCCCCTAAACGCCATATTTCAAAATCGCTTCGCCTAACGCCATTGTATGATGCAGGATTTTCCGAGTGTCTCGCGCCCGTCTTGGTCAGCGCGACTGTTGCGCAGCCATCGTCTAGCCACGGTGGAGTGTGACCTTCTTCTCGTGTCGTCCCTCGGGGGTGTACCTATTTCCAGGGTCAGCGCCTCGTCTGTTGTGCATTGTTTTGGTGGAAAGTCTTACTTGAGGAGCTTCTCAATCAGATCGACGTGCGTCATGATCATGCGGCGACAGCAGTAACGCTTGAGACCGAGCTGGTCCATGGCCTCACTGTCATGTCCAGGTTAGTATTGCGCAATGCGGTTCGGGAGGTGGGATGATACGAACCCATCCGTCGCGCCGTCATCCACGAGCTTCAGGTATCTCTCCCACAGGTCACCGGTGACCTGCCAGTCGCGTTAGCATCTCGAATGTAGGGGCTACTTCCCTCGTGTCTTCCATACCTTGCCACACGAGAAACAGCGGATTGGAATAATCATTTTGCCGATGAGAAGCGATTAAATATCGTTTGTTTGATGCCTTGACGAGTTGCGACAGCTACAAGGTGGAGATGGACGGGTGGTGGCCTTGTTCGCAACAAAGAATTGGCTGGATGAATGGCAGGAATTGAGGCTCTCCAAAATTTTAGGATCGCAGCAGCAGCCTTCCTGGAGGCGGGACGACTGGCCAAAATGGGCCAATCAGCACGTGTTCGCATTTGCTAGCAACCCACGTACCAGAACAAATGCTCAGAACAAGATACATACTATTTTTTTTTTCTATGGCTCTCCACTTGATTGGACCATAATGAGAATAGAAAATAGCATATATCAGAAATCCATCATTACGGAATGATCCCCTTTGCTTTATAACAAAGAATCCAAACCAGAACTATTATTCATTCTCGAAAAAAAAAATGTACCCGCCTACGGATGTAGCCCCTCGTAGCAGAGGTACAAAGCACTAAGAAAGTCGCTGAATGTCTTATCGCGACAGTTGTGGGGCTTATCGCTCCTAGGTCCTGGAACTTTTTTTTTGAGTCCTCCAAAAGTTCAAGGCAATCGCCAGTGTAGTTTATACTAGGTGCTTTGCTCGCCCGCCTGTTTGACTTTGGAGTGACTCTCGACTTTTGCCTCTGACCGAAAATGGCACCGAGCACGACAATTGACGTGAGTACCTCGCAAGAGTCTTCACAATGACCCAAACCCAGGGCGCATCTCTGACCAATTCGCAGGAGGCCAAGGCGGCAAGCAAGAGGAAGCGCGAGGCCGACGAGTACAGCAAGAGCAAGCGAACCAAGCGAGACAAGCTCAAGAACAAGGGCAGAGAATTGATTGCGTCCGTCCGAGAGAGCTCGCCCGTGTCGGAGCCAAACGAACAGAATGGTGTTGGCCATGAATCCCCTCTTGTCGAAAGAAAAGCGCACGAGGTGAAGCAGGCGCAGCAAAAGGCGAACAAAATAGCTAGGAAGCAGGATCCCTCCTCGTGGAAGGTGTCCCAGTCCGTGGGCGGCAGGATGCTGGATATCGACCCCATATTGACCAGCGATGATCGGTAAGGCATCCTACGCAAGGTCTCATCTGTATCAAGTACTAATCAAATACGTTTGCAGACACCTGATCATACCCTACACCAGCTCAGTCCAGATTTATTCTGCCACCGATTCGCTCCTGTTCCGGAAAATTACTCTGGATCTTTCCGCCAAATCGAATGAGCGTGTTGTGGCCATCTCCCTATCGCCAACCTCACCAAACCTCCTTTGGATTGCATCTTCAACCGGTCGGATATGGCAGGGTGATTGGGTAGCTGGCATCGGTTTCGACAAGTCCATTCAACTCGACTGCATTGTGCTTACCGATCTCACGGTAGCACCCATGCTCATGAAGAATCGCCTCATCGACGTCCCCTTTGTCTCTATTCTGGCCAACGAGACTTGGCACGTGGTGGCATGCTACGTACAGGATATGATGATCAAGAACAAAAAGACCATTCTATCCCGTGGTGAAATCATCGAGAATCTCAAGTCTATGAACAATGGTTCATCTTTGGCGGCTTCTTCCCGTAACAACATTTTGATTGGTTCCTTGAGCACGAGCACCATCCCCTCTATCAAGGAGCTGTCTTACGAGTTCTATGTTCTCGATTGCCCCGACGAAATCACTTGTATCGATCTCCGTGTCGCCGAGCGCATTCACCTCAGCCGAAAATCGCAACAGCAGACTGGAGACGAGCCTGTTATGGAAGTTGTTGTTGGATGTGCTCGCGGATCGATTTACTACTACAATGATCTTTTGCCCCAGCTGAGATATCTGCAAAAGGCTGGCCGGGGCGCTTCCCTGCAACCTCGTAAATACCACTGGCACCGAAAGGCCGTACACGCTGTCAAATGGTCCCAGGATGGTACGTTGATTGCTCATCATCTGCGTTGTCAGCTAGCTAATACGATTCACAGGAAACTATATCATCTCTGGTGGCTCAGAGTCTGTCTTGGTTCAATGGCAATTGGATACCCAGAAGATCGACGTTCTGCCACATCTGACGGCCACTATAGAAAATATTGTCATTTCTGCTAGAGGATCGAGTTATGTCATTCACCTTGGGGACAATTCGACCATGATCATGACAACTGCTGAAATGAAACCCACCACCTACATTTCCGGCGTTCAGTCCCTTGTTACTCCCCGACCGCCTTCGAAAGACAACTTTGTCAGGAGAATTGGTTACGCTGAGGACCAGGGAACAGTTTCCAGGATACCAGCAATCATTGACCCAAAGGATCGCACACGCCTGCTCCTATGTGTCGGCAACGGGCAACAAGGCGCTCCTGCTGGCGCCATGCCGTCCATGCCACTCCTCCAGACCGTGGACCTGAGCACAATGCAGGGTCTTAGCAAGCAGGCGATTACCCGCACTCACCCAACAGACGTAAATACGACTTCAAAGGGCTTCCCCATCACAGAACCACGAGTTGCTCATATGGCCTACTCCCACGATGCAAAGTGGCTGGCAACTGTAGACGAGTGGCAACCGCCTTCAAGGGACACTGAAGTCCTTGAAAGCACACCATCCGACAGACTCGAGGTGTTCCTCAAGTTTTGGAGTGCTTCAGCTGACGGCCAGAGCCTCGAATTAGTTGCCCGTATCAATGCTCCACATTACACTGGGCGTGATGAGCGCGTCCTTGACCTGGCAGCAGATCCAACCTCACATACATTCGCCACTGTAGGTGAGGATGGAGTTCTAAGGTTGTGGCGGCCCGCCATTCGACAGCGTGATGGAATCGTAGTCAAAAGCCGAACAGGACGGGGGCTGGAGAGCTGGACTTGTGTCAACACGATCCATCTCCAGGAGAACAAGGCACTTGCCGACTCCAATGTCGTGCCAGTCAAGGCACCACGACAACGTAGCGGTGCCGTCTCGTTCTCCGAGGATGGTTCCATGCTGGCCTGTGCCTTTCAGAATGGTGCCGAGTCCGCAGTCTACCTTGTCGATGTCAACTCTGGCGCAATTGTTGACTCACTGGATGGCCTCATTAATGGCCAGATTCAGAGTCTTCGCGTTCTTGCCTCTCAGCTTGTCGTGTTGTCACAGGACCTTGTTGTCTACGACATTGTGCAGGACGAGTTGGTCTATGGCATTCAGCTTAGCTCCGAGACAAGTGGATCACCGGTACAGGCGCTGTCGCAGCTTGCAGTTGATTATCCTTCTCGCAGTTTTGCCGTCGCTATTTCGAACCAGAACAGACTTGGTGTCATCAAATCCGAAGTTGCTGTTTTCAATGCTGATCAGTCGGAACCCGAATTCATTCAGCAATTCTCGCAACCAGTAGTCTCTTTGATTACGACACCTGGTTCAAGTGGTTACCTGGTGCTGGATGCATCTGCCCAAGTTTGTTCAATCACTCAGAGCAATGACGCTACATCCGTGGCGGTGGCTCAATCATTAGCAGACATCGACCTGGATCAGACAGAAGTCGACAAGAGCCAAGAATCTGGCGTGATCGCTATTGTGAACGAAGAACAGGACGATGCTGCCAGCGATGAGGAAATGGAGGACGTTGTCGAGGATGCCATGGAGGAAGACGAGGATTCTTCTCCCGTGGTGGTTCCGCCTCAAAAGCTTGCAGAGTTGTTCGATGCTGCACCGCCATTTGCTATGCCTCCCATCGAGGATATGTTTTACCAGGTGACCAAACTGTTTACGGCAAAGTCGCAATAAATTTGGTTTGCGAAGTCCTCGAGAAGAGAAAAAATAGAAGAAGAAACGGGTTCCAAGCAATACGAGCTGGCATATCTATCCATGTCCAAGAATACTAGGCAGGGATAGTTTTCATATTTGCACGGCCATGAGTATTGTTTTACTCGTGGTTACTAGGAGTTGGTTATGCTACAGCGCAAGTCACAATAGCAAGAGCCAAGGGGAAATCAAGTGATATTTGTTCAGTGTACAAATGGAGGCGAGGCGGCAGCGAACCACCAAGAGGAACGAATATCGAATAGCCGTCAGGTGGGGCAGAGCAGCCGATCTAGGGATTACGCCATCGGCAATCACCAATCGTAGTTGGAGGCTCAGGCATCGGATTTAGACAAGATCATACTCATTCCAAAAAATTGAAAAGATATTTTGACACATTTACCGCGACCAAGGGCAAGAGGGTTGACTTTGAGAGGTGGTCATTTCATCGGCATCGTGCCATTGCTACTATCATGTAAATGATATACTTCCCCTCGTCCAGGATATCGGCTTGACAGTCAACTAACCCGGGTAAACAGATTCCATTCATTAAGGCGCCTTGAGTTTGATCTCTCGCTCTCGCTTTCACCATGTCCTTCAAAGAGATACCATTATTAGATCTTTCGCTGGCTAGCGACCCGGCCACCAAGCCGGCGTTCCTGGCAGACTTGCGACATGCCCTTCTGGAAGTCGGTTTCCTGTACCTCAAGAACGTGGGCATATCCGACGCGCTCTTTGCAAATGTGATTCAGGAGGGTAAGGGGTTTTTTGACATTCCAATGGAAGAAAAGTATAATTTATTTTCCTTGTTTCCAAAACTCCCAGACCACGATATGCTTATTCTGGGTGTAATTTCTTTCATGGTCGTCATACTCCCAAGCTTTATAATAGTCGAGTTCACGCTCTCGCCTTCTTTTGGGAGTGCGATTTGGCCCATCTGCAATGGAACGTCCCACTAAAGAATAAATATTTTCCAGACTAAAAATTGAAATGAAGAATGCGCCGTCATTCCTTGGTTATTCGCAACTGTCGGCCGAGATCACCGCAGGCGCCGTCGACCACCGAGAGCAGATTGACCGTAAGTTGATTGTCCTTTACAATTAAGTATATCAACATCATGGCTGACAAGATCAATTATCAATTGGGAAAAACAGTAAGCACTGAACACCCAGTCCCCAGCTCAGATGCTCCGCTCCACCACAACCTCCTGGCGCCGAACCAGTGGCCGTCGCCGGCGGTGCTTCCGGGGTTCCGCCCGGCCTTTACCGAGTACATGGCGTCCATGGGCCGGATCAGCCTCGCCTTTACCTCGCTGATTGCCGAGGCCATTGGTCTGCCTCCCACGGCATTTGACCGCTACTTTGACGGCAGCGAGCAGCAGCACAAGCTCAAGGTCGTTCGGTATCCAGACGCGGCGGAGCTGGGACTAGACGGACAAGACAAGACGACAAACAGTAGTGACCATTACCAGGGCGTAGGACCGCACAAGGACAGCATGTTGACGAGCTACCTCCTGCAAGCGAGTCGGCACCGGGGCCTGCAGGTGCAAAACACGCGCGGGGAGTGGATCGACTGCCCGCCGGTGGACGGGACGCTGGTCGTGGCCATTGGGCAGGGCATGGAGGCGCTGACGTCGGGCGTCTGCGTCTCGACGACGCACCGGGTCCTGAGCCCGGCCGCGGGCTCCGGGTCGCGCTTCTCGATCCCCTTTTTCCAGGGCGTGCGCGGCGACGCCACCTTTGACGAGCTCGAGACGGTCGGCATCGGCGAGGTGCCGGCCGAGATCAAGGACCAGCGCCGCGCCGTGCTCGCGCGCTCCGGTGGGGGCGGCCGCCGCCTCGATGATGTCGAGTTTACGTTTCGTAGCGGCGGCGCTTCCAAGACCCTGGGCGAGGCGACGCTGCGCAACCGCGTCAAGAGTCACCAGGACGTGGCCGAGAGGTGGTATCCAGATCTGCTGCGGGACGTCAGGGCGCAGTTGGCGAGGGAGAAGCGGGAGAAGGAGGAGAGGGCCGCTGCTGGTCATTGAGGCTGATTAAAGCCATAGGGAAGCGCAAAAGATTGCCTAGAAGAAATAGGAGACAGAAGACCATAATCCACAGACTCGAGCAAGCCAATACGGGCAAATCCGATCCTTGCTCTGCTTCTATAGACTGTAAAGGAGACGGTTTGTTTTTGAGTGATTCGTGAATCATTCTTGGAATGCGTAAAGCTTCATATTGCTCGTAGACTCGTCACATCAATGCTCGTTGTCTTGTATGCCTCTTTCCCTGTTTACTTTCTCTGAAATGCCACAAATGATACGCCTCGTGCTGTGCTCGCTTCTTCCCTCTTCCCCCTGGTCCTTGAATTTCCTCTTGAGTTGATTTTACCAGCTCCACACCGAGTCTGGCAGACAGTTTCCCATGAACAGCCCCATGCCCACGGTAAACAAAGGATCTTTGGTGCGATTATTGCTCTAGCTGGCAGTGTAGGTGGGGAAGCAGTCGGCAATCGCCTTGCTGTGCTTGTTCTGGGCGTGCTGTTCAAGCCTGATGAAAGAAAGTAGTGTGTCAGCAATTGGAATCCCTTGGGTTTAAAGATGTTTCGTTTGCACATACTGGGGAGCACGGGTGGTCTTGAGGAACGTCGACTTGCAGATCTGGCACTGGATGTCCATGGCAGCCTGGTTCTGTAAAAAGTGTTAGTTTGCATGTAAGATGGGAATAATTTCTTCCATTTTTCCCAGGTCATCCGGGATCGAGATGGACTCGGAGCAAGACGTACCACTTTCAGCTGCGACTTGGCGACCTTGCTGTCCTTTGCGTTGCGCTCACGCTTCTGCTGTGCCTTGGCTCCCTATAATTTACATGTTAGATCACGGTTGACTTTCTCGTGTGGTTTCTTCTGCTTCAAAGGTCTATCAAGGGCAAATGTACAGCGTACACTACCCCGCGATGCGCTGATCACCACTGATGCCAGCACTCCTGGGCAAAGGAGCGGTGTATTGTACTCACGTTACCCATTTTGTATGATTGTTGAATTGAAACCAAGAGTTCGATCAATGGAACTTGAAGAGATCAAGAAGAGAGGCGGACAATAGTCGTCGAGTACGGGTAGGATACGATCGGCGCAAACGGAGAAGGGAAGACAAACGACAAAAAAAAAAGAGGATGGGATTTTCCTTTTCCTGATCGGCGGGGATTTGGGGACCCTTAAAAATTGTTGCGCTCCCTCCCTGAGTGGCTCCCGAACAGCGTACCTGCGGAACAGACCGACTTGATTTTCGTACTAAGGTGAACAAGCCTGGGCGGGCCTCCCAAGTTCTGGAACGGGCAACTCCAGTGTTGGTGGGGGGTTTCATCGGCTCGCGCACACTCGATGATAGCGCCCGGCTTGTCCAGACCGTAATGCATCTCTGTAAAAACCCGCTGCTCTGACTGGCTGATCCGTCACTACTATTCTAAACAAAACCGCTTTGTTGACTCGTCACTGGGACTTGAGGCCACCGACAGTTCATACTTCACTTACACAATACCTTTACTCGTACAATCAATAATCCTTACACGAGCATAATTGAAACACGGTAACAAAATCTCTAGTAACACGACTGAACAAGACCATACAAGAATATACACCTTGAACTTTCTTGGGCAACTACCAACATAAGCAGCAAACAAGATGACCAAAAACCAACCACGTCCAGAGGACATCTCTGGCGATGACTTCCAAGATCTCTTAAACAAATACCCGGCTCTAATTGAGTCAATATCAACAAGTAAAACACGTCATGAGCCCTTGTAACCATATCCAGTATGGCATTGCTGAAAGCTGACCGCACAAGTATGATATAGCCAAGGCTGGACAAAAGACATTATCAGAGCTCGATGAGTTCCGCTATGAAAAAGCTCCAGAACAGTTTCGTTCCCAGAGCCCAAAGCGAACCATGACTCACGATGACGTGAAAACCCTCGTAGACTGGAAGCTGTAGGTAGACATCATCATCAACATCTTGCTCTCATTTCATTGGTGGTGATGGGTTATTCGCGATGTGCTAATCAAATCTCACGATATTCATATATACAGTCGCCATGGCAAATTCCGACCCACACTCATGAAGCTAGTATCCTCCAACGACGGAGGGACGGTCGCGGACACGATCCAGCAAGCCATGGGCGCGTACTGGGACGAAGGACAAGACGCGTCCGCTGCTCTCGCCGCCATTTGCAAGCTCAAGGGCATCGGCCCGGCCACGGCGTCTCTCTTGCTCTCCGTCCACGACCCGGAACGTGTCATTTTCTTTTCCGACGAGGCCTTTTGGTGGCTCTGTTGCAGCGGCCAAAAGGCCCCCATCAAGTACAACCCCAAAGAGTACGCGGAGCTCAACCAGGCGGCGCAGGCGCTGGTCCAGAGGCTCAATGTGAGCGCTACCGCCGTGGAGAAAGTTGCCTATGTAATTATGAAGGATGAGGCCTTGCCTTTGACCGCAGTGGAAAAGCCAAAGGTTACGAAAAAGGCCCCCAGTGGCAAAACTCCAGCCGAGAGTAAGACCGTTGACGAGGTTGGTTCACGAAGGAGCAGCACAAAACGGAAAAAGGAGCCACGTCGTGATTCACCAGAGCGACCAGTTCGGCGATCCAAGAGAGGCAAGGAAACCTAAGAGAACATTACTTTAATTTGAAGACGCCAGCACGAGAAACTCTACGCACATTCAAAGTAAATAGGTCAATTCCGCAAGGGCACACCTCGGCTTATATTGTAAATTATCACGGACCAATCAGCACATGTAATGCCCAAGATACGTTGGTCAAAAGAAGAATCCATTGTTTCCCTCTATTATACACATGCATATGTAATACCAACGCCCATTTTTTCCCCAGACCAATCATGACCTGTGACCATAGACCGAGTACGCCGGCTCTTCAACCACGCTTCGTTACTGCTGCGAATTTGTTGAGACATGTACGCTGCAGGTGAATCTGATCATCAAAAAATAATGGGGGCATAGCAAGTTACCACTATCGTGGTACCCTATACGCCACCCAGACAAATAACTGTCGCCTGAATTAAGGAAGATGCCTTTAATCAAGCAAGTCAGGCGGTAGGATGTCCTCGAAAGCGTTGTTGAAGGCAATCTATTTGTCCTTACGGGTGCCAGCAGGGGGCTGAGTAGCACCGTACTTCTCAGTAAGATCGTGATACTCTCTCTGAAGACCCTCGGCCTGCTTCTTGAGCGTGTCAATGTCCTGGTCCTTGAGCTTGATCTCCTTCTTGAGACGGGAGATCTCGCCAGCATCACCGGCAGCGGCAAGCTTGGCGCTCTCCTTGGTGTTCTTGTCGGTACCCTCGTACTGCTTGAGCTTCTCCTCGAGACGGAGGACCTCGAGAATCATGGTGTAGGTGCGGTTGAGGATCAGGGACAGGAACAGGGTGAAACCACAGAGGTACATGTTGCGCTGAGAGTAGAACTTGCGAGCCTGGACTTCGAGACGTTCGTGGCCCATGACAGCGCTGTGCAGAAAACAATTAGCATATATAACATCGGAAACGATTGGATTCTCGAGTCTATTGAGATTGTACTTACGCACTGCCCTTTTCGCTGTTGGTAGCTTGGGCAAGCTCAACCTGAACGCGGTAGACGCGGTTGACACTGTCGATGAACAGGATCAGGATGAATATGAACGTTATCTTTAAGCCATGTTGTAACTTGGCTATAATTGGATTCTCGGAAATGAAGCTATAGGCATCAGGGTGTCAATGTCAGCAATCTCGTGTGACCGAGCCGGCGGGGTCAGCGACTGAGGGGAGGAGCGGGCAGATCAACGCACGTGAAAATCTTGCGGCGGACCGAGAAGGGCATCGGCAAGACGAGGAGCATGAACAATGCCATCTCCGTCACGAGAAGGAGGAACACCTGGTTATAGATATTTAGCAAGTTGATCATGGCGGCGGCGGCGGCAGCTTCTTGCGGAAGGCGCGGGGCAGGCTGGAATCAGGACTCACGAGAGTGTAGTAGAGCGTCATCTTGACGGTATTTCAATCGGGAATTGAGGTAAGCGTGTGGGTGTATGTTGTCGTTGCTGGGTGTTTTCTTCCCGTTTCAGTGTTGCCCTCAAAGACAATACAAGTTTCGCGTGCAGGAAGGACAAAGAATGGACAGCAATGTGTGCGTGTGTGTTGTCTGGCTCCTGGGGGCTTTTTATGGAGGAGTCAAAAAATAGGTGGCCTGTCAAGTTGCCAGTCAAGCCAGGTCAAATAATCCCTGGGGAGCTGCCTTGGCTTGGCTACGTAACTGCTGGCTGTGTCTGTCTGTCAAGGTGGGTTCTGGGCCCCAAAAAGCTGGCCCCGGACCTTTTTTCGAGTCAACAACGTCATACGTGGCTGAAGCTCGCTGAAGCTGTCCGAGGTAACCAAGCCCACTTGGTTGCGGCAGGCTAGCTTAGAGCTCCCGAGCGAGCCCCTCCATTACTACGGCAGCAATTTACACTGCTGGCCACAATGTCCCGTCCAATCCGTTGCCCAAGTCAATGGAGATGAGGTTTGACCGTGTGGAAACGTCTCCTTTGTAAAGGAATAAATGCTACTATGTTTCTTGAAGAATAGATGATGCCGTTTGTTATTTGTAGAGAAGCCTGCCGAAATGGACGAACTGCATGGGGTCCTATTCCCGCCAACAACAGAGCCACCTTTATCTAGTACCTGGAATCCATCTATATAGGTACAAATTGCAGGTCGTCCATGCTGACTTAGTTGTGTCGTTCAATATGTCTTCCTCTTATACTCCCCAAACCACTTTTTTTTCCCTCTTGAGGCTTTAAAAGCTTCGGCTTGGCTCAGATGTTCAAAAATAATAAGTCCAAAGTCGGCCACCAGGCAGGCACAAGTAATGATTTTAGGGTATCCATCTTCACGGGACTCGGCATCTCGGAGACAGAGCTAACCACAACGAAGGTCTTGATGTGAGTATGCCTTGGGCAGCGCCATGTCGTGTATGTAGAAACCAAAAAAAGGTCGACGATCAGCTACTCAGTTATGAATTGCTGCTACTATCGTGTGGTATCAAGATTTGAGGTTCAGTGACATAAATGCAGGATTTAACTAGGCATAATTTCTCACGCCCTTGATAATCCAGACCTCGCCGTTGCCAACCTTGCTAGCCACACTGTCGACTTCGATATTGTCTGGCAGAATCTGTAGATGATCAATAATGTATTCTGGTACAGGGAAGACGCTAGCACCATGTAGTAATGTAGCTACTTACGACTTTCTTGCCATCCTTAGTCTCCCACCATACCTCACGATCGCCCAATAAAGTCTTGACCTTGTCGCCCTCTTCCCACGGACTTACAGGCACGACGTGTGCCTCGGCAAAGCGTCCCAGATTCCGGCGGGCGCGGTCCTGGCCATCATCGCCTTCGTAGGCCTCAGCGCCCAGGGTATCGTAGTCGCGGGCGTCCTCCCAGGGCTTGCGCGGGAGCCGCTCGACGGCGCTGTTGAGCGGTGCCAGCACCGTCGAGTTTTGTTTGCGGTCGTCGAGTCGCTGCGACACGGATTCGACGTCCCGCGTGAAGCCCGCAAACAGGTTGATGCTGCGCTCCTTGCCTACCACGTCCGAGAGTACCACACTCCCGCTACCGCCGCCGCCGCCGCCGAGGAATGGTGGTAGAGAGAACCCGCCGGGGCCCGTGGGGTCCATATCGAGGGGTCGCTGGTCGCGGTTGGGTCTGGCGGGGCGGTCGTCGGGTGGTAGCACGAGCAGCTGGGAGGTCGCAGTCGTGAGGAGGAGAGCGACACTGTATAAATTTATTGATTTCATGCTTTAGAAATATCGTATGGAAGATTGCGACTAGGATTCATCTCCCAAGCCTGGGGAAATGGGGTAATTTCGGTCGGTGGTCCACGACGTCTTTGCGGGTTATACTAATTTGATGTCAGCTGGACGTGCAGTTCGTCGCTGCTGGGGCCGTTATCTAGACCGCGGGATGACATCATTGGCCAAGCCCAGTCTATGTGCGATCAGCAAGGCTTAATCGTTTCGAATATTTCTTTGTGTAAGGCTGAATGATTCCACTAGGTTAGATGAAACTCGATAAGATGCCATTCAATCTGAGATCCGCTAATGCCAAGATCCTATTTCATACTGTGGGAAATTGATGGGGACTTGGTGCATTCAGTATAAATGAACGGATCTGGCTAAATGGGTTCACGATGTAGTTGAATAAAGTGCACAAGACCTCATTGCCTCCCACAGCCTACCGGAAATAGCCGTCAAGCCGGAAGTCCCGGGGTCTGATGCTTTTATCCGTCAAAACAAAAGTTGTACTCTGTACCCATTACTGTAGTCAAAGTCAACTTTCCACATATACTACTGCTCGCGTGATGAATTCAGAGGAATCGATGAACCGATTGCTTCTGCCAGGGTGACGATGAACATGGCCAACGAAGATGCAACCAATTCCTACGCCTTCATCGCAATTTATAGAGTATCGCAATTTTTGACGACTATATTTGCATGATTACGAATTTCGCAAATCAAATATCACTTTTCTGTATTTTAAGTCATTGAAGGAATGCTACCACGAACCCGATCTGTACCCCTACCAGTGTATTGTAAAGAGCACAGAGTTGAATTATTGCCTGATGAGTCACTTAGACCTGGAGAAACGATTGATATCCAAATCCGGGCGGCTTGTCCCCGAGCTGACTCTCACAAGATTCAACCCAATGAATTTGGTGGCAGGACATGTGCTCTGCTGCGTGTAGGACGATCCTGCGCACACATATTGGACCATTCAAGACATGCGCAGCTACGGGAATGCCGTGCACACTTCATGGAGAGTCGGTAATCTTATTGTCTTTGGAAAACAATGAGAATCAAAATGTTCAACTTCATTCCACGCTACATCATGTCTTCAGATAGGACATAGCTCAGATATTGACGAGTTACCAAAGACCCCGTAACGATGTTGCTGCGTCAACCTGTGGAAGGTTGACTTTGACTACAGTAATGGGTACAACTCTCATTTTGACGGATGAAAGCATGTAATTTCAAACTCTCCGACCTACCGACTATTTCCAACTGAAAAATGGAGGCAATGAATTCGCTTATATTGTATGTAAATAAATACATGGAGCCAGATCCATTCACTTGTACTAAATACACCAAATTCCGATCAATTTTCCACACAACCGTCAGGCTTGCCACACTATCATACAAGATGGTCATTCTCCAACAGGCAGTCCTGCTTCTCACTTGCGGGCTAGCTACTGCCCTCCCAACTGACGATAATCAGAAGCAGAATGCCCAATCGTCTAGGAAGGATTGTCGCCGCACTCAGGTTGCTATCTTGTGAGTTTATCGGAACACCACCCTGATTTCACGCGGACATTGACAACACGGTTAGGGGTGCAGGAGTTGCAGGCATCATAGCGGCTGTAGGTCTAGATGGCATACTATCACAATGTGTTCTCGCTTATATGCTCTCGGACATCTAGCAAGCCTTGTCAAACCACTCCGTCAAAGACTTTCTGATTGTTGAACTTCAAGACGAAATTGGTGGTAGAGTGCACCACGCGGAGTTTGGCAAAGGTACAAATGGTCGTCCAATACTCGTCGAGTTCGGAGCCAATTGGGCTCAAGGTCTGGGTGGACACGATCATCGTCATCCAGGTATGTCATCAATAATCCCATATCTTCGGTCTTCTGCTGAGTGTTTCTTTGGAAAACCCAATCTGGCGACTTGTAAGTGCTCCGCAAATGTATTTCGCATGGACAATTAATTTGCGGCTGAACAACCTGATCTATACAGGAGAAGAAATGGAATATTAAAAATCATTATTCCAATCTTTCGAGCATTTCGACATATAACGAATCTGGAGCGGCGAACTTTAGCTCGGAACTCCCTGAGTTTGAAGGGTTCCTTGATCGGTTGGCGGTCGAGGCCGGTGAACTACTCACCGACAACATACAGGATCGGACAATTCGAGAGGGCCTCAGTCTGATCGGGTGGAAGCCTGAGCAGCGGGCGAACCCAGCCGCCGCAGAGGCTGTAGAATGGTTCATGTATGGTTCGTCGCCTCTACCCAGACCAAATCACTGCCCACATGGAAGTCCATTGACTGGTTTGACAGATGGTGAACAAGCCGCCACTCCTGAGGAGACATCCTTGGTTTTCAATGAGGCAGTCTCAAACTTTACGTTCCGGCAATTCAGTAACAAGAGCAATTTCATCATCGATCAGCGCGGCCACAACACCTGGGTCAAGGGCGAGGCGTCGGAATTCCTGAAGCCTGGAGACTCACGCCTGCTGCTCAACACAACGGTGACCAACATTACCTACTCCAACTCAGGCGTAGAGATCGACATTGGCGACGGTGGCTGTATTTGTGCCGACTATGCGATATGCACATTTTCCGTGGGCGTATTGCAACACGAAGGCGCCGTCAGCTTCGAACCGGCCCTGCCGCCGTGGAAGAGAACTGCCATTGAAATGTTCCAGATGGGAACTTATACCAAGATCTTCCTACAATTTCCCAAGCGCTTCTGGCCCAACGACACGGAATTCTTTCTCTACGCTGACCCAATACAGCGCGGCTGGTATCCCATCTGGCAGTCGCTCGACCTCGAGGGCTTCTTCCCAGACTCGCACGTGATCTTTGTGACCGTGACGGGTCGCGAATCGTACCGAGTCGAGCGCATGACGGACGAAGAGACGCGCATAGAAGTCATGGACGTACTCCGAGCCATGTTTCCGGATGTCGAGGTCCCCGAGCCCACGGCATTTCTGTACCCGCGCTGGACACAGACGCCCTGGGCCTACGGCTCCTACTCGTACTGGCCCGCCGGCACCACACTTGAGATGCACCAGAACCTCCGCGCCAACGTCGACCGTCTGTGGTTTGCCGGCGAGCACACCAGCGCCTCGTATTTTGGCTACCTCCAGGGCGCCTGGTTCGAAGGCCACGACGTCGGCGATCGCGTGGCGGGACTGATCCGGGGCGGCTGCGTGGGCGAGGAATCCATTGACGGATTCCAGGGTGGTAGCGGCGCGTGTGGTGAAATGGTTCGCTACGAGACGTTGCACGGCACGACCGACGCTACAGAGTATAATGTCAAGAATGGTTGGGCCGGTTCGAGCTTGAGCTTTGAAGACTAAAAGTAACTCGGGGAACGCTGATTGCTCGAGATGCAGGAACGTCATTTCTCCGGCCAAGTTGGATGTATTTGACCTTGAAGCAAAGCCGAGTCCTGTACTTCTTTACAGCTTCGCACCATGGTTCTTTGCGATACTTACTTTCGTCTTGCTCTGTCTCAGCAACATCATGAGTTCCCCAGATATCGTTGCCACAGAATCATCGCTTGAATGAACATTTGTTCAATTCTTGTCTTATTGTCAGTTCATCACATGCAGGCCGAGATACAAGTGACATTTCGGAAATTGATATTAATGCTACCTGTAGGACAATAGCAAGGATAGGAACTGCGGCGAATGCATCGATCGACGGGCCAACAAAGCCTATCAGCGTCCACGATTTAGATACAAGTAATCAATAATGATCGTCGACTGGTCCCTTTAGACGGACTATATTAGTTTTGCCTACAAAGAGACAATCGAAATCCACTTGATCGTGTGGGGGGTAGCCATGTCAAAAAATAAACAAATGTATAAGCAGGGCAGTCTTTCACATGTCAAAGTTTGGAAAAATCTGGGGAAATTTCCATCACCACTCTAACCCATGTACCATAATGTCGAGTCCAAGTAAGCACTCAGTAGGTGGCTTAGAGTGTGAGGTCATTTGATTTGTCGGACGTGGGCGCACAGCCGGCGTCCACGTGACAGGAAGCTGCATCCCATCCAACTTTAACAGCAAATATTATACATCTAAGGCGTGAGATCTGGGGTTTGCCGCTCCCGTCTTCACATGTCAAAACGGGGGTCCCGACCGAGTGTCCATCAATAGGTCGCAGCATACTGACTCTTGTCTGACGTTTACAGATTGTGTCATGTGAGATTCAGGTTCGATCTTGGAGTGCGTGGCACATCATTGAATTGTAAGATCAATGATACTATGTGAACAGGAGCAAAGGGATTTTGATTGACTTATCAATGAGAATATCATCGTCTCTTCAAAAATGTTCCCCATTTCCCCAGAATAACTAGGATCTCAGCTAGCCCAGTGAAGACTGTGGGGGAGCAGAGAAGGACCCGTTTTGGAGCTGAAAAGGACCAAAACCGGCGACTTTTTCCTCGAGACGAGAGCCTCGGCATGGTGTCCGAGCACGGCCGGGAACTCGGCGATCAAGGACCTAGGAAACCATGGCCAGTGTACAGATGACCACGGATTACCAAGTCAATCAACTCGACTGGCTGGCTGCTCAAGATGGAGATTCATTCAGAGAAGAAGAGGATTGCTTTCTCGTTCTTCAGCGGACAGCAGGCCAAATTCTGTAAACTAATGATTTATTACCCAGTATATCACAGTGTCGAATGCATGAGCTTTGCCCCATATTCTCAAGACACTAGTAATGGGCTCGGTCAAAAGTGCAGCGAGAGTCAGCTAGTAGCCATCGTCAGCATTCCTTGCCTCTGCTTGGACGACGGTATCGGCGACGGATAGCTTCTGCAAAATTCTCATGTCGGTGAATGAATTATTTGTATTCTTAGTATTTCTTTACTTGTAATTACCAGTCATGAATCCGTGTTTCCATGCATTCTAGTGTGAGGCAAAAATGCACGGGTTTTATCCTCTCGGCAGCATGTTCCTGGTTAGAGTTCAACTCCACGGGTCGTCGACTTGCTCAGTGTCTGTGTGGGGATCAAATGCTCGTTGGCTCGTGGCGGCCTCGGGACATTCTAGCCCCCCCAAATCCCCCCCAGCTTCTAGAGAAAAGTCCACTAAAGCCCCTCCCCCCAGAAGAAAGCTTGGGTGGGCCCGGGGGGAGAGCCCAGTGGGACCCGAAGCCCCATACATCAAGTAGCGCTTGACCTCGGCTCACGAATCAGCGCGCCAGCATTTCACAGAAGGTCGTCTTAGTTTCGGGCCATAGCAACGCGGCGAATACAATATCACCTGCCCTCATTCCTCCTCCATTATTTCACTTTGCATCTCTTCCGTTCTTCTTTTTTCCCATTCCTCCTCTTCTCTTATCATCTTCTCTCATTGACGACGATCCGACAGTTGATTCATTGTCGCGGCCTCTCACTACTCGCTATATACCCCTCCATAACCATCAAACTCCACTAAACATACGATGGCACCTAGCGTAATTGTCGTCGGTGGCGGATGTAAGCGCTCCATTGCTCTTGGGAATACAGCATGATCACAGCTGCCCTCTTCACTACATGAATAAGAAAACTGACAAAAATGCGCAGTGTCCGGCTTGAGTGCCGCGCACACAATCTACCTCGCTGGTGGTAATGTCGTTGTCCTCGACAAGCAAGGTAAGAAGGCATAATATGCTCCTTTTGTCCCGCTCACTAAACGGACTGCGCTGACCCGTTCCTCGTACGATAGGCTTCTTTGGTGGAAACTCCACCAAGGCCACTTCCGGCATCAACGGTGCCTTGACCCGCACACAGGTCGACCACAAGATCCAAGACAGTGTAAAACAGTTCTACGATGACACATTGAAGTCTGCCCGTGACAAGGCCAGGCCCGATCTCATCAAAGTTCTCACATACAAGTCTGCCGCCGCAGTTGAGTGGCTGCAAGATGTCTTCAACCTAGATTTGACCCTGGTTTCCCGCCTTGGGTGAGTAGATTCCAGCACACAAGTTGTCAATCGTGATTTCTTTGTGTGGCTAACCTTTCTGCAGTGGTCACTCCCAGCCGAGAACACACAGAGGTCACGATGCAAAGTTCCCCGGTATGGCCATCACATATGCTCTCATGCAAAGGCTAGAGGACCTCGCCGAGACCGAGCCGGAGCGAGTTCAGATCATCAAGAAGGCCCGCGTCACTGGCCTGAACAAGGAGGGTAACAAGGTCACTGGTGTCACATATGAGTACAATGGCGAGAGCCAGACCGTCGAGGGCCCCGTCGTGCTGGCCACTGGTGGCTATGCCGCTGACTTTGGCGATGGCTCCCTGCTGAAGGAGCACAGACCCGACACTTTTGGTCTTGCTACCACCAACGGCTCGCACGCCACTGGTGATGGTCAGAAGATGGTTATGGCCATTGGCGGCAATGGCATTGACATGGACAAGGTTCAGGTTCACCCTACCGGTCTTGTCGACCCCAAGGATCCCGGCTCCAAGTGGAAGTTCTTGGCTGCCGAGGCTCTCCGTGGTGAGGGTGGTCTTCTTCTCAACGCTGACGGTGACCGATTCTGCGACGAGCTCGGCCACAGAGATTACGTCTCTGGCATGATGTGGAAGGAGAAGGACAAGGGCAAGTTCCCCATTCGTCTCATCCTCAACTCCAAGGCATCCAACACTTTGGACTTCCACACTCGCCACTACTCTGGCCGTGGTCTCATGAAGAAGATGACTGGCCAGGAGCTCGCCAAGGAGATTGGCTGCAAGCCCGAGCACCTCCAGAAGACTTTCCAGACCTACAATGCCATTGCCGATGGCAAGCAGAAGGACCCATGGGGCAAGAAGTTCTTCCACAACTTGCCCGTTGACATTAACGATGACTTCCACGTCGCCGTGATGGAGCCCGTCCTCCACTTTACCATGGGTGGTATTGAGATCAACGACAAGGCTCAAGTTCTCAACAAGGAGCAGAAGCCATTTGAGGGTCTGTTTGCCTGCGGTGAGCTGGCTGGTGGTGTCCACGGTGCCAACCGTCTCGGTGGCTCGTCGCTGCTGGGCTGCGTTGTCTATGGTCGTGTGGCTGGTGACACGGCAAGCAACTACCTGTTCCAGCAGGCCTTGTCGGGCTCTGTTGGCGGCGCTGCTGCTCGTCTGGGCCAGATCTCACTCCACATTGACCCTTCGCAGCCAGGCAAGGTTTCAGTTGAATGGGGTGGTGCTGCATCGGGTACCTCGGCGACCGTCGGCACAACCAGCGCCGCTGGCCCTACGCCCAAGGCTGATGCTGGCAAGTCGTCTGCGAACGCCTCAAAGCCGCAGAGCCCCAAGAAGTTTGAAGTCCCCGAGAAGGAGTTCACCATGGAGGAGGTCGCCAAGCACAACAAGAAAGAGGACTTATGGGTTGTCGTCAAGGGTGTGGTCATGGACCTGTCCAACTGGCTCGAGGAGCACCCTGGTGGTCCCCAGGCAATCATGAACTTCATGGGTCGTGATGCCACCGAGGAGTTTGAGATGCTGCACGATGACGAAGTCATTCCCAAGTACGCCCCTCAACAGGTGATAGGACGGGTGAAGGGCCAGGAGGTCACCCTGGAGATCTAAAGCTCAACATTGCGTTCTTCTTCATTGCTTGCGGCGTACATTGGAATGGGTTTCAAGATTATTATTAGCGGCTTGATGTCCTGTGCATCATCATTGTATGATGAAAGTGGATATCACGTAAAATACCTTGGTGCAGACTAGCTGTATACATAGCTGTTATATTTGAATGCTTCACGATATGAAAGAATCTATTTTGAAAACATTAAAAGCTCAACATGTAATCGGATCCTGCTTTGCAAGTGTATACAAGGAAAAGAAAGAAGCCTTCACTCCAAGTTGCTTGGCTGGGGCTGCCGCTGCTGGGGCTAGCGCAAAGCCCTACCCAACCCAACGGCCAATCATTACTTGCAAAATGGAGAAATACATAGGTAGACAAGCCACAAGCAAATTAACAGCCAACATTATAAACCTGGTATATACTTTGTATCTCGGTGTAAGTGACTACCTTTCCTGATCGCCATAAATGGGATTTCTCTATGCAAATGCACAATCCAGCGCTGAGCAGCAGCCATGATGACCGGATGTCTTGTGATCATGATGAGAAATGCTGCTTACCTAGCCTCTTATCCAAGTGCTGTTCAATATTTTCATTACGGCGTTGACTAATAGGCATTGTGCAGTAAAACTTCACATTCCCTTTATCAGATCGTGGCTTGCTCTGAGCACGATTAACTTCTCTCGAATACCTGGACTTGAGAGCAATCATCCCTTGGAACACCATGACTTCGGCTGCCGCCAATGTCTTGAATGGCGACTTTGCCAGCCATGAGAGTGTGGTCCGGTTCTGCCGCCAATATCTCCAACTCGAGAATGAGCTCGACTTTCCAGAACCGAAACTCCTGCGTGAGGAGCATGTCCAGTCGGCCATTTTTGAACGCCTCTTTGCCGATGCGGCAACATCGTACCCGCCCCCGCCGAGGTATGAGCTCCGCGTCCTCAAGGATCTCATGTCCAAGATTGAGGATAGCATTGAGGACTGGGAACAACATGTAAGCCCCTAGTCAGGCCTCGTCTGCTTTTTCCGAGGACTGTCTTTGATATACAATCATTTGGCTTGCCTTTGCCACTGTCTTCAACTGTCTACCTTTGTTTCCCATGAGCTAACCTCGAGATATATAGGGTGTCTCTGATGACCTGATGGGCCGGCTGGCCGAGAGTCTCGCATCCCCAGTACCCTCGGAGCTCGATGCTGCGCAGCAAAAGTCCTACGTGACTTATTCCTTATCTCTGCTCAAGGAAGAGTCTGCTACTACCACTGCTACTACACCCCAGATCACACTCCTCGAGACGCGCGACCTCATCTCAGCCGCCGGCACCACTGGTCTGCGGACGTGGGAAGCCGCCCTTCACCTAGGACAGTACCTCTGCGAACACCCTTCCCTGATTCAAGGTAAAGGCGTGCTCGAGCTGGGCGCGGGCACGGGCTACATTTCCATTCTCTGCGCAAAGTACCTGTCCCCGCGCCAAGTCATTGCGTCCGACGGCTCCGACGACGTGGTCAATAACCTGCCGGAAAACTTTTTCGTCAATGGACTCCAAAAGCAGCAACAGCCAGAGGATACCTCGACGGAGCAAAATGGCCCTCTCATTACCGCCATGGACTTGAAATGGGGCCACGCCCTACTGGGCACCGAGGAGGCGGCCTGGAACGGCGGCCGGCCCATCGACGTGGTCCTCGGCGCCGACGTCACGTACGACGAGCGCGTCATTCCGTCCCTGGTGAGCGTCATTGAGGACCTTTTCCAACTCTACCCTTCGGTAAAGGTCATAATCGCGGCGACGGAACGCAATCGCAAGACATATGATGCCTTTTTGCGCGTTTGCGAGCAGAGGCGTTTCGGAGTTCATCAGGTCGACTACGCCCTACCGCCCCGAGCGTCCCAAAACGGTCCTTTTTACAATGACCAAGTGCCAATTAGGATCTGTGAGATTATTTCATCATAAAACAAGGAAATATTACGACCCGAAGACCGAAGTCTCGATTCTTTCACCATGTGGGTGATGGCGGATCAAATCAGTTTGAGCTGAAATGGCCCAGTCCAAGACATTGATCCCAACGCCTTTGGACATGTCCGGGTCAATCCATTATTTTATTTTACTTTCAATTTGTGGTATCTGATGAGGTCACCTTCGTCGATCACCGTATCCTCTGTCTCTGTCCCTATCCCGATTTCGCCTGTCACGATCATCAAAGCGAGGTCTGTCTCGCCTGCCATCCTGACCCGATCGGTCCCGATCAGAATACCTGTCCCGTCTAGGACTTCGGCTACGACTCCGACGGCTTGGCTTCTTATCCCAGTCGCGCCTCTCACCGCCACGTCCTCCTCCAGAGCGATTGTCTCTCTGCTGCCGGGACTCCCGATCGCCGTCATCTTGGGACCCGGAAGCGGCAGCCTGTGACGCATGCCGGCGGCGCATCTCCTCTTCGTTGTAGACCATGCCGTATTTTCCGTTGCGGTCTTCGTTCTCGCCTCTATCCACCCGATACTTGCGCCACTTTTCCAGTCCCTCGACACCACCCCATCCACCACCGCTGCCAGCATTGCGCGACCTCTTCGCGTTTTCGCTGCTGCGCCAGACATCACTGAGTTTGCTCACGCTCTGGGAAAAGTCGACATGTATCCTGCGGTCATCAATGAGAACTCCTTGCATTTTAAAATAAGCCGCCTCGGCCGCGCCCTTTTCCTCGTACTCGATGAACGCGTATTGCAAGGAATCGCCCGTCTTCTTGTCCCGAATGACCTCGCAGCTGAGAATCTTGCCAAACCGAGAAAATATGAGCTCGAGATCTTCGTCGCGCGTTACGGGATTCAGCTTGCACACAAAGAGGACATTTTCTGGGGGCTTGACCTCGGCAAACGGCAAGTCGCCCATCATCTCCAGCGTCAGGGCCTGGGCGCGCGCCTCTGCCTCGCGGCGCTTCTTGGTCGCCGCCTCCTCGTCCACCTGCTCGTCGAGATCGGCATCATCGGCGATGCGCACGGTAGCGAGCTGCGCCTTGCTCGGCGGCGGGCTCGCGCTCGGCTCGCGCAGGCCCGCCGGGTCCGGGTACGGGTCGTCGAGGACGACCGTGTGCTTGATTCGTATGTCGACTAGCGGGTGGCCCTCCTTGTCGGTAATGGCACCATTGATTTTTTCCAGCACGTCAAAGCCCTCCACCACCTTGCCGAAAATGGAGGCCCGGCTGTCGAGATAGTCTGTATTGTCTCCCAGCGTCACGATGAACTGGCTGCCAGCAAGTCGCGTGTCGGGATCGGAAGGTACCGGTGCGGTGGCCATGGAGACGGTGCCGCGCTCGAGGTGCTTGAGTTTCGGGTGAAAAGTCGCCGGATAGGTCGCTTTGGAAGAGCTTCCCGAGAGAAGCCCCCATATCGAGGTGCCGCCATCCGAGTCTTTGGACGTAGGGCCGAGGGGATCGCCGGTCTGAAAGGAAAAGTTTGGTTGGACGGAGTGAACCGGCGAAAAGTTGTAGTATTTGACCTTGCAAAGTTTCAAGAAGCTATTCAAAGGAAGAAAAAAACACATGCATCAGCGCAATGGGTCCGATGACAGACGGGGTGAAGCTTACTTTTCGCATTCCTTGGGCGCGTAGTCAATGAGCAAGTCAATGACGATGTCGCCCAAGCTGGTCTCGAGAAGGACAGACATGGCGTAGAGCTTGGAAAGAAATTCGCTTTCCTTAATCCAACCGAATCATTATATATCTCGAGCAGATGTTTTCCCCCGTTGATTCTCGGAATGTTGTCTGCGATTGTTGCAAAACGGGAAAGGCTGAAATTTTGACAATGACGAGATGGAGATCCACGTTGCGGGCGACTTCAGCCTTGCGGGCGGGCTACGTCGTAGGTACTCTTAAGGTTAGATGGACTGGAATGAACCCTTGGAGCAGTGGTTAAAATCTACGATTTTAGCGGTGAACGCAACCCTACACGCGCCATCTCCATTGAGTTTAATGGCTACAAATAGTGCATGCGGGTTACTGCACATGGCTGGAGCCCCGCGGGAGGGGCCCAAGGAATGTAAGACTTTGCCCGTTGGCACCTTGGGCAGCGTGTAATGTATATCTCCATACCTTTTGTACTCGGTTGCATCAGCCCTTTCCGTCGGCATCACGATAGAGCACCGCTTGCTCCGAAAAGGTTTGGTCGCCTGCACCCAAATTCGACCATTCATATCCATGTTTGTGATCTCTTGGCGACGACGAGAAGGCCTCCCACGCAGAGGAGTCGGCAACAAGTATTCGCTTGCTCAGTTGGACGATTCCCTTCAAGACTGGCGCCACATCGACTACGGGAAAAGTGCCTCCAACACTTATGATGAACAGAAATATGCTTAGAACATATGAATATAGATGTTTGATTCTTGATTCTTCCTGGCCACAACACCAATGTTGCTACCGGCCTAGTTATAGATAACTAACAATGTCCTTGCAGTGACAGGCGATTCACCGCAATATATGTAGTAATTCCCATGAGTCGAATTCCCATTTCCTGTGCCGACCTTTTCCATCGCAATGCTTAAAAAGCAAAAAACCAGCTTTTGAAAACCAAAAGAGGAAACGCCACCATCATAAAAAAAAAAAAAAATTGCCCTTGATCATATGATATCAAGACCCAACTCCAGAGCGCCGTCGCCGTGATGATCCAACCGTGTGGGCTGTATGATTTGTACATGGCCCGTTGATGCTGCGCCGAGGATGAAACCCTATAAGACTTGAAGCATCTTGCGTTGCTTTTTGAAAGCGTGCTTCAAGTTTCTTGAGAAATGCCGCCTTCTAATCAGTACTTCCGTTGCTCCTCCGGCGTCTGCCTGTCCTCAGTTCCCTCTCCGTGTCCATCAGTCTCGTCTGTACCCATGTCCTCATGGCACGGTCGTTTCTGACGGCATCACTGTTGAGGAGCTCCGTCAATGCTCGCTTGATGCCTTCATTGACATTGCAGAGCTTTTGCTCGTCTGCCTTCATTTCCCCCATAATCTCCTCATCGAGCACGGGCTCCAAGAGACTAGAGGCCATTCTCGATCCTGGCCTATTGGCTCCGGAAGACCGCCGGTGATTGCGAGAGGGGGATGTGTGCTTGCTCGAGAGAGGGCTGAGTGTAGCCGAGCGAGTAGGCGAAAGAGACGGCGACGTCATCACTGTAGATGAAGCGCACGAGTATGCCGGGCACAAGTCGTACATGTGTTGTGTGAGCTCCTCGTGTTGTCCCTGAAGGAGGAGATATCTCTGCATGGCAAAGTCGCCATCGCAGTTCTTGTCCAGATCCATGGCATGTAACGTCATCGTAGCGTATTATAGTATGAGCTGAATGCTAAGGGCGTATGTTGGGATATAAAATGGCTAGCTAATGGCGAGCTCATCGGAAGGCGTATTTGGTATTGCACAATTGTTTCAAAAGACGAACTGTTGCAGCGGCTGGGGAAGGTTTTCTTTCAGAGCTGTATGTTTGTCCGTATCGTGTGATGGTATGTTGCGTCAATGGAAAGAAGATGTGTGATGTCGATCGATTGCTTCTTCAATCGCTGTATAAGTGGACTCGGCTAGAGTTGCGACTTGATTGCGTTGCCGATCCTAATTCTTCTCTCCACGTTTCGAATGGATAGGCCCTCAATGTGCTGCAGAGACTGGGCGGTAAAGTGACGTACGTAGGTGTGCTACGTAGTGATGAAGTAAATTTTCAGGGAAGAGGGAAGAAGGAAGAAATAAAGAAAGAGAGGTGAAACAAATATTCAAATCTCCAACGGTTTTTTTCGGATTTAGACTTCCACAAATAATGTATTGATGAAACGAGGAGATGGGGGGTGGGAAGTCGCGCAGTCAGTGGACTTTTCTTATCAATGTGTGTGTTGTTAGCCGAGCACAGTAACGCAGCTCTTTTTAGTGGCAGCGGCTAGTTGTAACCCAAAAGGTGCAGCTTGGGCGACAGGTGTGGCGGAAACTTGTTTAGAAGCTGCGCTTGTTCGTCTTGACTTTCTTGAATCGTGAAGATCCAAGAGGGGAAGCTCGAGATGGTTGGTCGTGGTCGTAGTGTGTAGTACGTAGAGGTGTCCCAAACTATAAGCACGAAAAAGCAGAGTTGAGCCTAGATGGGACCCGGCCGGTTTTGTTGCTTGGCTATACGAAAGTCAATTGGGCTGGAGGAGCGAGAGGCGTCGTTGAATGCTTGGTTGCCCGTTGTAACAATAATAATGTTGTACGCAACGTCTAATCTCCCCCTCAAAAAGTGTCTGTCTGCGGTGATGCTGTCACCTGGGACAAAGTAGAGCGAGCCAAATGGCTGCGGCGAAGCTGAAATCTGCTATGGCGAAAGGTCCAGATCGCTGGCTAGCGATGCCAGGGTGGGACGATACGAACTGCGAGGCGCACCAAGGCGTGATCCGGTACGGTGCTGGCGTGGTTTGACGACAGCTGAACACCCCGCAAGGCCTCAAGTTTTGCAGTCCGAGAGCAAGCTGAGAAAGTAGTTTTTTTCTCTTTTTCTCCTTGGCTTCTTCTTGAGGTGGTTGAGAATGGTGAATAGCAAGGACGGAAAAAGCAGCAATGCACGAATGGACGATTTTGTATATGTTGCAAGGTAATAACTTTGATACCCCCTATTGCGTGGTGAGTTGGCCAATTGGTATTGGAAGATGATCGATGCCCCAGTATCAATGTGCAGCTAGCTTTGAAGTAGCCAGGGTCGCTAAATGGATACCAGGCGGTTGGCGGTAAAGATAATGTAAATAACTTTTTTCTTTTATCTTGTGAGGCCTCGATTCTGGTCAGAGGAAATTGCGTCTTTGCAGCGGCCAATCTCACAATCATTCGCTCGAGTGACTAGAGGCAATATCCGGCACAATAGTGTGGATGGCAAAGTCGATTTCAGGAACGTTTCTTGCTGCGACGTCGCGATCCAAAGGCTCCAGGGTCTAGGATATTTACAGATGAGTACGTAGATGAGCGGTGGCTACCTGCATCGAGCAAAATGCAGTGTCCTGACTAGTAGCAATTGTTGCTGGCTGTACTGGGCTAGGTGCTCCGTCCGGACGGGTATCGTAGGCGCCACTAATCAAATAATACAGACGAATTTGTGGTAGTTGATTATTGATAAAAAGTTGAGAGGGGTGGTTGGTCGTTCTTGATTGTTGCGCATGGACGGACCGTCTACAGCATTTGATCAAGAGGTCACAGGAATTGGCGAGTTTGAACTTTTGTGTTCTTCTTGGTTGATCGGGCAATAGCATTGCAAGCAGACGATTTTGGGCAGGTTGACGCCAGCTTGATCTCGATCAAGGGCCGAGGCAATATTTGTATGCATGCATACAGCTACATACAAATATTGCCCCTGATGAGATAAGGGAAGGTGATGGATGCGTTGCAGCCCAGTTGCCAGCTATTATTCTATGTACACTACGAACAGGTTGCACTGTGCGTTGAACCCTCAAATCGCGCTCCCGCAATGCAAGGCAGATCATATGGTAAATTTAGCAGTGGCTCGGGGGTGCGAATTGTGTGTCCCACGCTCATACACGTGTACATGGTAGTTGTAGGTAATAATACCCAGCCAAATGTGGCCTGGCCTAACTGACTCCTTGAATCAATCCCCGAGAGTTCAGGGACAAGCCGATCTACTATGTATGTACCATCATTCATTGTTCCTGGCAGATATGTACCATGGGATGTAGGATGGAAGAATTAAGCCACGGTGACGTCGTGGGGTTCCAAAAATTGAAAAGCCAAAAGGAAATCGAGGAGAAAGATGGAATCCGGATTGATGTCAATTCAATGACAGGGGTGATCCCGCGACGAATCCTAGCCAGCCCAAAGACACACATGTGCACCATGGAAGGGAAAAGGTCCAGACTGTCGGGAGTGCCTGCCTGCTAGTTTCACATCAGAGGGGCAGATTGGGATACCCGCAATCAAATTTGGCGGTCAGGGCTAGACCTGGGCACTCATCATCTGAGTATTATTACATGCTATTTTACTCTTGTCTGTTCACCCACATGGTTTTTGGTTTTCATGGCTTCTTGTCAAAGAATCCTCTGCTTTCTTCTAAATCCGGAGAAACCCTGAGTTGACTTCTTGGTCTGTGTGAAACCTCTCCACTTTGATCTTTCCTTGGAGGGTATTGGAAATGATCTACGTGCTTGATTCGTTGATGAACTCTGTTCAGGGTAGATTGGGTGGACGCGAACACCACGCAACCACAATCACCGGCCCTTGTCGGCCGTGAGGTGCCTGCCATTCACTACACCAGTCCACCAGCTCCCGCGAGGATCGATCGCTCTCGTTTGCCCTAATATCCATGTTCCCGCCAGGGCTACTTGAAACTGGGAAAATCATGATCCCTCTAGGCTCTCTGGCCCTCTCGGATCCCAACTCCGTGGAACGTTAGTCAGAACGTCACGCCGCCTTGAAGATCGGTCGAATTAGCCTGATCGACACCGCATACGAGAGTCAGCCCTCTTGGGATTCTCCGGATTCCCCTTCAAGGATCACGACCTTTACTTTTTTGACACTGGTACCTGCATACATGCGTACATCCACCTCAACATTTGCCTTGATGATACAGCAAGCTTGAAAATTCATTGTGGCCGCAGCGTTTGCTCCGGGTACCATCTTAACAAAGAGCGCATATTATCTCAACCTACTAACCGACCTATCAAGAGCATGCTCAATGGTCACTTATCAACATCCGTACTACCTGCGCCCAGCGGCTGGACCCCCAGCAATGGTTGGATGGTTGCAAAGTCGCCATGATACCTGATTTCGAGTAGGTTCTGCCAAGTATGAGCTCATTGATCACGGCGCCCCGAAGACATTCTCATGAGCAGCAACTTTCAAGCTCTGGTCATCGTTGTTAGGATGTCTAGGTATTTTGCGTGTGCTATTGTCACAATGGTACAATAGTTCTAGACCAGTCTCGCTGCAAGACAACATAACAGTATTCCGCCAAGACGGTATGTACTGTAAATGGGCACATTGTGTAAGTATTACATCATAAACAGTATGCTTACCTACCCCCAGTCTGACCAGCACGACCCTAGCTCTGGATTCTGAGAACTGCCACTTCAGCCTGATGAGAATGAATCCAGGAACGCGCGAGACATTCGTTAAGGTCCCCTTGCTTGTATCATTGTAAATCAGTAATTAGTCGCTCACTAGGACGCAATGCCGTCTTTACGCAATGCGCTTGTCGTGATTCAGGGCTCAACGCTCAGTCCCTTCGGAGGTCAGCGCTTCAACACCTGCCGATTGTGAGACAACAACGTTCTCCTAGTATCGTACCAAAGCACACCAGATATTTCTTCAGCAAATCTGGTGACGCACTTTCAAACGCACTTTTTTTTTTGGTCAGCTGGGCTGAAATTGCGTGCTGCCCGAAGGCCTCGCGTATCTGCCGTCGAGGCACAAGCGCAACAACGCATTATACAGTTGATTTAGTTCCCGGCTTGTATACAGTAAATTCTTTACAGCCATCAAGGTCCTCACCACATAGTATTTGATTCAAGAGGTCAAAGAGCATCCTATCTCTATCATCTGTCGTTGCTGGTAAGACATGCAGCAGCCGCGATGAAGTGAATGGTTGCGGCAATCTCATCTGACTGGAATAGTGCATAATATGAGTAAAATGCTTCACACACAGACAGAGAGATTAGGATATCGATCGAATCGACAAAGGTCTGTAATGTGATGACTATGCATTTACAGAAAGTCAAGGTGGAAAGGTCTTTGAAATACCAAAATATGATCAAACACAATTCGATCATTATAGAATCACTAGTTGGAGTCAACCCGCCGAATCCAGCGATGAGTCTTGTGATAGACGATATTTTGATCGCCTTGATCATGAACATACGATACAACTAGCATCATGTGTGATCAAAGTTGAGACTTATCAGTAAATGAGCCGTCTGACTTTGCAACTTATGACAATGTCCGGATTTATCTCAAAAGGCTGCGTTGTGGAAGCCTGCGACATCATCTTCCAAGGGGGAAAAACCCCATTCGAGAACCCTGTTGGAGTAAGCACTTATCCCAACAGTGCCTGCCAAAGACAATCATAATCATCGGCACATCAATCAATATGTGCTACCATCCTCAAAGCCCCATAACGCATCGCCTGAATATGTTTGAAAGAAGAACAAGAAGAAGAAAGGAAATAAAACGCGTTTGATGCGCCACAGTGTGGCTGGGTTGTGTGGCACCCTTCGGGTGACACAACGGGAAGGGTTGTTTAAGTCTGTTTGCACACATTATTTTCGTAGATGTAGACCATCTTTTTAATTTATCCTTCATTTTCAGATACTGGTCGTATCAGTGTTCAATTCAGCACATGCATGATTGAATCGAGGATCAAGCCAATAGACTGAGTAAATACCTCTCCAACAGGTCATCATAAACTTATTACTCGCTTCAGTATGACGCTAAACAAAGAACTCGTGCATAGGCAAATGCTCTCCATGATTGATGGATTTGGGGCGCGCCAAGTCCTTGACTGTCGCTTCACATAGCCAGGTTTAATTATAGGAAAGCAACCCAATATCTATCAGTAGCGATGAGGCATTCGAATTGTGGTTAGGATGCTGGCTGTTACACTACCTCCTGGGTAAGAAGAGAGCTCAGCCTCGACTCAGCCCCCAACCACAAGCTACCTACCTAACCTAGGACTTTGCAGCGGCCTCATTGCAGGCTACTATTTGCGGCAATATCTCAACCGAGAAAGCTTATGTACATACTGGCAAAGCATCGCGCAAAAGACCTAGGTTAGATGCCTTTATCTCCCCGCCCAACCTTTGGGCACAAACAAATTGTTCTCATTCCGTACCGGCTCGTAGGCAGCTCAATCGGAGCTCTTGCTCTTGCTAGTCAGACTGGGCTTTGAATGTCCTACTTAATTTCCATAATAAGTCTTGAGCGGCTACAACCCAAAGTTTGAGCCAATAGGGCTTATCCCAAGCCTCGCCAGCGGTTAGCTTTTGCTAGGGATGAGATCTGACGCTGGGTCCGGCTGCGGGCATTCGGCAAGGGTCTCGAAAACTGGCCAACGGCAGACCCGCGCAGGTCCCCTTGTGGGGGATCGGGAGCTGGTTAACCTGCACCTCATTTGCATGGCCTCATATTCCCACTTGTCTGGGTCTTTGATCGGTGTCGCTCTCTTACGATTGGCGAGTTTACCTCGAAATTGTTGCGCGGCGCGCAAATAAAGAGCATCCCGTGAATTCAAAAGAGGCAAAGCATGTCAAAGGCACCAAACGATGCAAGTAAGACGACGCGGGATACAATATATGCGCGCAGCGAATCTCGCATAAGCCAGGCTGACCTACAAATATTTGTGTCGTCCCAGTTGAAATTAAAAAAAAATCCAAGTCCCGTTGCACATACCTTATGGTAGCCTTCGTCTTTTCTTATTAGAAACTCTTGATTTTGTTATTAAAAAGGGTACTGCGTCTTATTTATAATTGGAATCATCGCTCGATATACTCCGCCCCAGCCTATATACAGCAGCTATAAATCAAACGACCAACTTCTTCGCCTTGCGCCACCGGCCTCATCCACATACAGAAGACTGAAATACCTTTTCTCTGGCCACTACAGCTACACTACCTTGCTTGACTTCGAAAAGAGAGTCCCGCCCAGAACTACCAGAGATTTAGACTTTGCCGGAGCAGCCCACCTTGGTCCAAGTCGAGATACTCCGTACCTATTCCTTTGTCTGTGCTACTTGGGTATATTGCGGAGTCTCCCGTTTTCGAATCACCCCGCCCTGCTGTTGTCATAAGCCAACAAAGTCGTCTTTGTTCTGATAGGGATCCACTGCTCACCCGCTTGCTTGTGGCATTCTTGACACATAGCTAGGTAGGGTACCTAGTTGAAGGTCCTAGCTTGGCTTCCCTGCCTGCTGCGTCTCTTGCTTTTGGGCGGCTTTTCTGACGACTGGCCTGTCTCGATCTCTCCAACTAATAACCAGGTCCGACGTCTCGCATATACATACATAACCCACCAACTCGTATCTGCCTGCCTGCCTACCTACACACAACACAAGACGATACAAAAAAAAATCTCACAGGTAGTGAGACCGGTTGGAAAACATGGCCGACTTACAAGGACGCAAAGTATTCAAGGTTTTCAACCAGGACTTTATCGTGGACGAACGGTATACGGTCACCAAGGAATTGGGCCAAGGAGCCTATGGTATCGTTTGGTACGTACGCTCGCCTCTTTCCCGCCGACGACTGACTAGAGCCCGGCCCATTTCGCTCGCGACTTTTTGACCCCTCCATTGCGCGCGGGGGCAAAGCAAAGCGAGGCCATCGCCGCAAAAAATAAAAAGAACTCGAAACTGACATTTTTCCCTCTTCTCCCCCAAAACAGTGCCGCCGTCAACAATCAGACCAATGAAGGAGTTGCCATCAAAAAGGTCACCAATGTCTTTAGCAAGAAGATTCTCGCCAAGCGCGCCCTGCGCGAGATCAAGCTGCTGCAGCATTTCCGAGGCCATCGCAACGTGAGCAAGCCCCGCCATGAAACCTCGAAAACCCCCCGCTATCCTATCCCATCCTCCTCGTGTTGTGTGTCTGCACCATTTTGGGCTCGCACTCGCAGCGACATTACAAGCACAATGAATATGCAGCGCGGATCAAAGAATGCTGACGGGTAGGTCCTTTTCTAGATAACATGTCTGTACGACATGGACATTCCCCGTCCCGACAACTTCAACGAAACATATCTATATGAAGGTGCGTACTAGCTGCGAACAACCAGCCTCGTCTGCACCGACCGACTCCGATTATGACTTTGCTGACATTCATTCTGCTGGCACAGAGCTCATGGAATGCGATCTTGCTGCCATCATCCGCTCCGGACAACCCTTGACCGACGCCCATTTCCAATCCTTCATCTACCAAATCCTTTGCGGTCTCAAGTACATCCACTCGGCCAATGTATTGCACCGTGATCTCAAGCCCGGAAACCTGCTGGTCAATGCCGACTGCGAGCTCAAGATTTGCGACTTTGGCCTGGCCAGAGGTTTTTCAGTCGATCCCGAGGAGAATGCTGGTTACATGACCGAATATGTTGCCACGAGATGGTACCGTGCTCCCGAGATTATGTTGAGCTTCCAAAGCTACACAAAAGCCAGTACGTGAACTCGTATTTCTGTTCCTATAAGCCTTTCACTAACGCGGCGTCCAGTCGACGTATGGTCTGTTGGATGTATTCTGGCTGAATTGCTTGGCGGCCGTCCCTTCTTCAAGGGCAGAGACTATGTCGACCAGCTCAACCAGATCTTGCACATCCTGGGTACCCCCAATGAGGAAACCTTGTCGCGAATCGGTTCTTCTCGTGCCCAAGAGTATGTGCGCAACCTGCCGTACATGGCCAAGAAGCCCTTCCAGCAGCTCTTCCCCAACGCGAACCCCGATGCCCTCGACCTCCTCGACCGCATGCTTGCGTTTGACCCCTCTTCCCGCATCTCCGTCGAGGAAGCGCTCCAGCACCCTTACCTCAAGATTTGGCACGACGAGACGGACGAGCCCGATTGTCCGACCACCTTCAACTTTGATTTTGAAGTTGTCGACGACGTTGGCGATATGCGAAAGATGATCCTGGACGAAGTCTATCGCTTCAGACAGCACGTCAGAACGGCACCATCGGGGGCTGGGCAGCCTGGTGCTGGACAACAGCCCGGCGCCGGCCAAGTCCCATTGCCAAGCGGACAACAGCAGTGGACCAGCGAAGATCCCAGGCCACAAGAATACCAGGGCCAGGCCGGTGGTCTGGAAGCCGAGCTGGCAGGTGGACTGGACAGGCGATAGATGTATCGTAGAAGAAAACAAGAAGTGTGGATTTTTCCAAAAGAGGAACATTACCGTAGTGCCTTTTGTTTTTCCCCCAAATCTTCAATGACACAATTTGAGGTGCAAGCGGCATGGCTTTTCTTCATACACCAAGAAAGCGACAGTTATCGCACGTGGCCGCTCTAGAGCTTCTCGGGGAGAAAAAACATAACAGAATATATTTACTATCAATTGATTATAAAACTTTCACAGCCAAGACATTTCATCTCTCACACTGCGTCTTGATTCATTATCAGTGTGGAATTGTTTGGTGCCTGATAGGTATTCTCATTTTCATGTTCGCACAAGATTTCATGGTAGACTTTGGTAACAACACGAGCACAGAGTAATAAATCCATGATCACTATATACATCTAGGTTCAAGTACTTTTTTGAAACCTCTATAGCAACATTATATACCCAAACCAACTAACCTAGCAAGAAATCAATTAGGGGGATATAAGTATAGTTTGTCGGCTGTCATCGTGACCCGGCATAAAAGAAAAATGACTCCTTGGAAAACGCCCAAACCATGCAAAAATCTTGACCAATATGCTCCGACTCAGCTGTCATAGAACCAGTACTGAGAGGCATATGGCACACTAAACACCTGACCCGCCTCGTCACAAGTAAGCGGGCCACCTCCGGCGGTGACGACACGGTAGACCTCGGTCAAGCCAATGGAGGCGCCCTTGTCGCCGAGCTGGAGCCAGTCGACGGCCCCGGTATTGAGCAGGCCCGGATCCGCCGAGGCTGGGGCCTTGACGCCACTGAGCTTGCCGCCCTTGAAGAGGAGGCCGTCTCCGCCGTCGGCATTATACAAGTCAAACGTGGGCGTCAGGGCCGCGTCAAAGTAGTGGCGGCCCAGCACGGACAAGGGCCCGTCGACACCCTCGACCGTCAGGTCGGCGTCGTCGGCGGGAAAGGGGTCCGCCGTGTCGGCGGCGTAGGGGTTGGACGGGTCCGTGGTCTCAGCCAGGTTGAGCGGCAGGTCCGTGGTGCGCAGCACGTTGACGGGCAGCTGCGTCTGCTCGTCGGCCGACAGGGACGAGTATATGTCCGTAATGTCGTACAGCACGGCCAGGGCGCCAATGGACGTGGCGGTCACTCCGGCGGCCGAGCAGGTATAGTTTTGTATACCATGCCCTACGGCCACGGCTATGAGGGTGCCATTGGCGGCGGGAAGTTCACTTGTGCCTGAAAAGAAAACGAAGATCATGTCAATAAAGAACATTCACATTGTATTGGATAGATGAAAAACAAAAAAGGACTTACCACCAGTGACGGGTAACGTTGGAGATGCTGGCGAAGTAGTTTCATCATCCGCTGTGGCCGTCGATGTAGCTGCTGCCACGGACGTGGTAGAAGCAATCTCGGAAGAAGCATCGCATCTTTTCCTCACAGGACCGGCAGACGTGATTGCCAAGGCTGAAATAGCAACTAATAGACTTTGAGGCAACATGATGAATCGATTTCCGTCTATTAGGACAATTATAGTGTGTACCGACGCAGATCTATGAAAAGATCAGGGACCCCAAAAGGATTGGGGTGGGGGAAATAATATATTATTTTCCAGAAAAGAAGGCTGCAGCAGCCAAAGCAAGCAACCCTGGACACAAGAAGAACTGGCAAGGCCAAATTATGTTCTTTTTTTAAACAACGGGTAGAGAGGCCCGATGTGCGGCCGTGGGCGCTTAGAATAACAAAAATGGAAGTGGTTGGTGGAGATGAGGTCGCTTAAAGAGACAAATCGAGTCTTTTCCGTAATTGATGCTGAGATACCACTGAGGCTGGGGTATCCTGCTTGACCTTTTGTGAATTTTTTTATTCAAGCATAAATTTGCTGGAAGAATAGAAATGAAAAGCAAGTGAAATTTTTGTAATGGGTGCCAACGACTGTCTTCAAATAGTCCCAAACCACACTGACTCAACCAACGCTCATGGTTCCTACATTTCAATCTAGGCGAAGCAGCGTAAGCCGTCACCCGTATGCATACAAAGTGTTATAAGAGACGAGTCGACTCGTGGTGCACCACCCTGAAGTGGTAGTGTCTTGTTCGTGGGCAAAGTTACAATAAGAAACTGATCCGTCCGCGAGGGAGAGGCGATCTGATCCCCCCAGGGCTGTGAGTCTGGGCCATATGTCGCCAACACCAAAGAGCCCAAGACCCTTGCCTGCACATCTCATCTTGGCAAAGCAACAAACGTGCGCCGCAAGGGGGAGGGAGGGGGGGTTTGCTCGTGCCTACCTAGCATACACAGTACAAAGGTAATAAGCCAATGCATACTACGATGCAAAGTCCGGGGTCTTGACGTGGGGTCATGGGTCAAGTGTATGTAGGTATGGGAAGGGCCGGTTGGTTCATCTCGGAGCCGGCAAGCCTTTTGGACGACTTGATTTTCTTTCTAGACCACGGTGACCGAGAGGGATGGCATTCTTCCGCTTTGGTAAGGTAGTATTACCGTACCGCAGGATAACATTTGAACACCTTCCCCGGTCAAGACTATTGATTTTTGTTTTTGTCTCTTCTTTTTTTTTTCTCAGAGGGTGGCGGCGTTGGAATGGGGCATTTGCCACATTCGAAGCGACTCTACCTTTTTTCATGCGGCATAGGAATTACACGTACATATCCCGAGCCCACAAAGATTCGGGTTGCGGCAAGGCGGGCAGTCCTCTCGGAATGGGGTCAAATGCAATGCAAGCCCAGCTGCGAGGACAAGAAATTGAATGTACTGTACAATTTCTTTACCATGGGAAACCCCGCTGAAGCGCGAGCTCAGCTGGACACCCATATTGATACACAGCCTTTTCAATCCCGCTTCAGTCCTGTTATGGACAAACAATCCTCCTTCGTCATCTACGTATTCATGCTGGCGCGATCAGGATATAGTATACTCATGGATTAGCCGTTGGGCAGAGTTTTGTCTCAAAAAAGACGGACGAAGCGACTTCCGCGCGGGCGGCTGACGCGCAACCGCCACACTGCCACCTTTGATCGCTTGTCGAGGGAGGGGAGGGGAGGGGGGAATGGTGTGTTGCTGGCCACTCGATTTCCAATGTTGTAGCAATAAGAAAAGAAAGAAAAAGAAAACGGCTGCTATGGTTAATCCTGGGCGTAATCTGCATCTCTCGTTGGTCGGTCGGCCGATATACCCGCCGGCTTGTACTTGTTCGCTCTCATTCAGGTGAGCATCCGCTTTACTAGTCTTACCAGGCACAAATATAGCTTTCCCTTGAATAGCTCTGAGGGGGGCGCGCTTCTCATCCTCAAGGCCGACAGCGCTGACCTTGGCCCGGCTTGGGTTTGCGCAGTCAAATTCTTTAACTGCCGGGAGAGCATCAGACCATATCGCTAATGAGGGAGGATTGAGCAAACTCTAATTGCTTAGGATAACGCGAACAAGGCGGCGGCGGCGTCCAATGCGCAAAAAACGAGAGCGACTAAGGAGACTGTTGGCTAGTGTGCATGGCAGCAGAAGCGCACTCGGGTGCTGGTGCTTCATGTGCCAACCGATATAACGTGGGTTTCCAAGGGACTGGTTGCCATCCTTGAAACAAACCACGCTCCCAACTCGGTCAGAATGCATAGAGCAAGCAATTCGCAATGCAGGACATGCAGAGCATTGCTTGACACCGGGCTACATTGGACGTCTTTTCATATTGGACGCGTGCTTTCTGCATCTCGTGTATATTACCCAAAGCGTTGGGATGGGAATTGTCATTCCAATGCAATGGTGGCAACCGACTGTCAGGCGAGAGAGGTGGTTGTGCTAGACGGTCCCTGTTGGGGGGGGGGGGGAGGCTTCATTACGAGTAGGCTGAAGATGTATTACCAACCCCAAATACCAAATTCGTCGTCTCGGGCGCAGCATCCAGTCTGAAGCCTTTCAAGTCTGTAATCCGTAAACGCATTTAGCTCATTGACATCTGATGGCCCTTGTTGTCAGCATCAGCATCCGCATCACCAGCATTGCCACTAGGAGGCAGCGCTAGAAGGAAGACGTGTCTGGGGGAGGTAGTACTTGATTGCGCCCTTGAACGCCGAGACACCAATACAAAACAAGAGATATCTGACAAACTATCATGAGCCCTTTCTTGCTGCGCTGGCTCTCTGCTGCGCGATGCAGGTTGGCACAAAGTAGTATCCCTACCAGCTACGCCATGATGATCCCACGCGGGGGAAATGTTTCGTTTCGAAGTCTGTTCGCAGTGGTTTGAACGTCGGCCCTTGCGTGACAAGCTGGCTCGGACCTCCAGAACCGACGAACCAGGGGGCTTGTATTCAATGGGCTTCCCTCGATTGGTAAAAGACGATGCAGCAAAGCAATCAATATGAACTTGACATGAAACCATGATCTCTTTACTTGCTTCACTGCTTGACCCTAGCATTCGGGTCAGGAACCTTTTCGTTCAGAACTTCCTAACCTAGTGTAATATACGTAGGTTTCAGACGATCCGTACTGTATTCAGTGGATCGACTGCGGGGGTTCTTGCTGTGTAGGTCTTGCTGGAATTATACTAGTATATGTGAGATAATCCGAACTTGGCCATTGCGTACCTGTACATTCATATCCGGGGGGAAAAACAGAAAAAGAAAAAAATCTACGACCTTGAGAACAGTGACTCTAGTGTCCCTCTTGAAACAAATACCTGTCGATTCATTCCAGCTTACTAATCCCATATCCTCCCCCTCCGGCGAGGAGAGCGAACCTCGCCATCCCAACCGAGTTCACTCCGGCACCGACTCGGGGTCCCTCGGCATCGACTCCACACTTGATCATGGAAATCCACACCTCTCTTTTTTTTTTGCCATGACCGGGACTCCACCCCTTGATGACAGTCGAATATCGATAGAAATACCCAATGAACCCGGGATTATTGGCCGAGAACGCAAATGGGAGGAAAAGCCCATGGAATGGAAACGTTGGCAGAATTCCAGGTATAAACTTGAAAATATGCCTATATTCTAGAATTATTACATGACTTGTGATGCGAGGTTGGTATTTTCATCTTCAAAACCAACGACATATATATATGTACCTTGCCCAACACTCCATACCGAGTCTGTGATATTTGACGTCCGCCGAGTACGTAGCTCTTGTATAATTTCAAGAACCACAAGCCCTTACTGGCCAGGCCTCGGAGGGAGTGACCTCGTGGCGAGATACCCCGTTTGCCCGTTTCTGCAACCTCTCCACCATACGAGCAGACTATACTATAGTGTACTGGGCAAAAACCCACGTGAGCATGTCGAGCATTCGTGCAGTCCAGACCCTCTAGGCTAGAGAAACCTGCTCGTACGTTATGGCCAGCTTCTGATCAATGTCGCGTGCTGATTCCCCGAATTCACCCGTGCCTTGACTGCTTGCGTACTGAACGGTGGGTACCAAGGGTAACTATTATCAATGGAAATACGACTCCACGTTGTCTGAGCATTTACTCCGCATTGGGTACCAACCCGTGCAATACGACACGGGTAAAGAGACGAGACGTTGAGACAAGTGGCGACTTTCAAGAACGAGAAGATCGAGTCCTATACCAGTCGGACAAGTTACACGAGTTACACGACTTACGATATATCATCGCGAGGCTATACTTTCTCAAAGGCAAGATATTTTATAGTTGGACGGATCAATTCTTATCAATCATTATTCGTTATTCAAGCTTATGTCATCTCTATATATACATCATAATAACGCTCTATCATGTCGCTCCTTGATCATCTCTAGTATCCCCCCAGTCGAGACCATGTCTTCTTTGTAAAACCATACCCTAGACTCCCCGTGGGCATGTGACTGGCAGTATTAAAACTAGAAGAAACAGGACAAAACATTTATAGCGGCGAGCAAGTGAATGCTCCACGCACGGTTCCAGCGGCATATTGCTCTCTCTGTAACAAAAGTAGTTAGCAAAGCTGTTCCTCTTAAGAGTGTAAAAGTTCAACTTACGATATCGACAATGGCCGAGTATGTACCGCCTACAAGGGTGACAATACCAATGAGGAAGCAGGCAGCGTTGGCAAATGTCTTGAGCAGGTTCTCTCTAGCAAAGACCGATCCTTCCCGAATGTGCTGGAACCAGAGAATGGCGGGGAGGTAAAAGGTAAAGCCGGAAACGAAGAGTGCCGAGGAGATGGACAGAAGATCGTCAAAGAAGGGAATGGCCTCTGCAATGATCCATGCGATGATGGTCACCACGGTGATGAGGCCAAGCCAAGTGATCCAGCCCATCTTGGTGTTGATGAAGCGAATATACGAGTTCTTGAACATACGGCCATGAATGTAGCGCGCAACACAGGTCGTGTTGATGGATCCAGAGATGAAGATGACGGGCAATGCCAATCCAAAAGCGACCTTGGACATGAGAGAGCCGGCAGACAGCAGAGCCGGAGACTCGACGTCGGCGCCAACGAATGCGTAGATCAGAGCTCCCGTCACGGTGTAAATGAAGATTTCAATCAGGCCAAGAGTCCAGATGGACTTGACGTAATCCTTGGGTGTGTGCATCTCGTCCATGAAAGAGAACTGGCATACGGCGAAACTGTAGGCAAAGATGATGTTGGTAACGGCGACAAACGCTTCAGAGAAGGTAAGGCCCTCCTTGGGCCATGCAGACCAGTTGACAGCGGCCAGACCACCCTCGGCATGAGAGCTCTGGACTCCAGTGGCAATGATGGTGATCAAAATGGCGACGATGATGGACACAAAGTCAATGTACCCCAAGATGGCAACCTCGGCAAACGAGGGGGGCACGGCCAGGAGGAGCAGAATAATGGCAGAAACAACACCAAACACAATGGAGCATGCACCATTGTCGGTGATGTTCTGGAAAGCAATGGTTCCGGTCAAGGTGTGCGAGCCCACCAGGAAGATGAGTTGCAAAGCAAACATGGCACCGACCAATTCGTAGCCAAAGCGGCCCGCGATCAGTCTACCGGCATCGGCGTAGTGCTTGACCTCGGGGAACTTGATCTTGACCTGACCGACAACATAACTGGTGTAGATGGCAACGATTCCCAGGCCAACAGACATGATGACACCAGCAACCATACCCAGGGTAGCAAAGGCTCCGGGGATACTCAAACTTCCGAGGGCAATAGCTTCGACAATGAGAACAACAGTCAGACGCCTCCAGCCCAGACGGTTGAAGTGAGCGACGCCCTGGGCCTCGATCTCGCTGATCTCGCCAACATGCTGGTCCCCAGAGGCGTGGGTCGGGGCCATGAACTTTTCGGGCTGTCCCTTGGAACCATCGAGGCTGGCGCCGCTGGACTTGTCGTCCGACGACTCGATGATGTTGGCGGCATGATGGTCGGCCATGTTGAACTGGCGGGCTGTCCTCTAAATGGGACCGCTGGGTATAAGAGTGTCGGTGTGGTGTCGAGTTGAGAAAGGCGGTAGGCGATCCAAGACTAGAGAGAGAAGAGGAGGGCGGGAAGGGAAGGTCACTTATAGGAGGGCATCACTACCTAGATAAATAGAACGGTCCAGGACGAGAAGAAGGAGGACGCCGAAATACGGGTGATGGATTTTGCCCTAGGTGGGTCATGTTATACGCAGCAGCGGCAGGACCGATAGCAGATCTGAAGAACTGGAGAGTGGGAGGAGGTCCAGTGACTCCAGTTTCTCGTAGTGTGAGTATCAGTAGTAGGCAGTAGTGGTGGTCTGGAAGTAATAGTAGCGACGACCCTGCATGACGTCGAGGCGGCGGCCGACGGACCATCGATCAAAGTCCAGTGCCAGTGGCCCCCCGTGCCCGGGTCCCATCTTGGCTAACGGGCTTGACTGCAAGATTTACAAGACGGAAATGGCACTCTTTACGTTGCAGTGCGTTGATCCTATGAGAACAGGTAACGTTATCTGAAATCGGCAATTTACCCAGCGTAGAAAGGAAACGACCCTAGCAATGCAAATCCTTTTTTTTCTCCCTCTCTGTCTCGTCGGTTGGGGTGGCTACGACGACGGTCGAGTACTATGTACTACAAAAAGGCCGGGAGTGGTTCTCAAGCGTCTGTTTTGTGGATCGCCGCGCCTCACGCAAAGTTTCTATTACTTCATTTGACCGATGTTAGAGCCGCTTATTGGACTGGGCTCAGTTTTGTCGACTCATGAAAACATGATTCTAGTGCGATAACGACGAACCAGAATGTGCGCGAAGAATTACCAATTCAAATCTTCCCAAAAAGTTGATTTGTTTCCCCGCTCGCGCGTGTTTCCCCCGGGTTCCCGTCATGTACTATGGTATGATGGGCAAGTAAAATCACCCCTCACGTGTACAGGTGGGAACTGGGTTCTGGGCCATAGCCACCGTTCTATGCCGTACCAGGTTAGCGTGGTTTTTATGTGGTGATCCGGTCACAACGTAGAATCTTCTCGATGTAAGTGATAATTGTATTATGGTGTATTGTATTGAGTTGAATTAACTGCATCACCAGTGCGTTGCACCACCCTCAGCGGCGATCACATCTTGACAGCGCTGCGGCATCGTCGCAAGCAGTTCCCGTAGATAATCCTCCGTAATTGAATCCCACGCCTCTCGAACGTAGCGACGAAGCCGATCGTACGACGGATTCTCGTCGTACCAGTAGTTTTCTTCGATGTAGTCCTTCATTTTATTCCATACAGCCTCGATAGGGTTCAGATCCGGTGAATAAGGGGGCCAGTCAATAATAAAAACACCACGGTCCTGGAGATCCTCTCTCGTATCGTAGCACGAATGGGCTTTCGCACCGTCCTGTATTAACACCAGATTCCTACGGGAATCACGGCGGCAGAGTCGTATCCATCCATCGATCAAAGGGACGGTGTGAGCTCGATACGTCTCGCTCGTAATCGTGCCCCAGTCCTTCTCCCAAAACAAACACGGGCCCTTACCGGTTGCCCCCGAGAAACAGCCCCAAAACATCCAACCCTGCTTGCGTTGCCGTTTCTCCAAGATACAGTCCTCGTGATGGGCTTCGTCGGCTCGTCGCGTTACGTACGCCTTGCGATGGCGGCCTCCAGTTATCCAGGTTTCGTCGGTCCACAGAATCTGGGACCATTGCTCGATCGTCCAGTGTTGGTGCTGCTCTGCCCAAGCCTTTCGTCGACGTTTGGCTTCGTCCGACAGCGGAGGCTTCTTTCGGGCCACGTAGCGCTTGAACCCGTGGCGACGAAGGGTCGAGCGTACGGTGTAAACACCAAAAATCCCGCCGAGGAACGTAAGGGCAAGCTCAAGCCACGACATGAATCGAAATCGCTTTCCACTGGTAACGAAGGCAATTAGCTGTTGTTCTTGCTCGGGTGTCATTTTGGGGGGAGCTCCCGAGCGCTGTTTAACGGCAGATCCATCGCGGATAGCCCGCTTGATCTGGGATCGATGGAATCCGGTGATTTTCTCGATATCTCTTTGTGTACGGCAACCTTCGAAGAAGAGGGTACGAACCCTCTCACGTTCTGGTTCCGTCAACTGCTTTGTATGCGTTCCTGCAGGGCGTCCGCGTCCCATCGTCGTTATCGTCGTTATTGAAAATGGATGGAAAAGTTGGTAACGTTGGGAAACAGAACGATGTGACGAGAAACATATCAAATGCACACCACACCCAAATTGGTGTGGTGTGCAGCATGGACCAGTCCCCACTGGTACATGACAAGGGGTATTTTATTTACACCCGATACCATCGTATGTACGTTGATGTATGCAGAAAAAGTCAACGAAGCGTCGACCGTCCCAGCGGGATTATGGAGTTATGGATTGTAGTCAAAACTAAGCATCCGCCCGCTCGTGGCCAAGAGCTGAGGCTCCCCAATGTGCCGTACCTGGCTGACCTATTCCCGTGCCCTACCAGCCTACCGCCCTACCTGATTTGATGAGCGCCCGGCACTACGCAAATAGGATCGTGGAGCCGAGCGAGTGCCCTTGCTTGCCGAGCCACAGGGGTCGTTGCAATCTGCCCCATTTCCCCATGTTACTGTGTACTGGTTGCAACGCACGAGACAACGACGACGACGACGACGCCTAAAGATGGCCCCTTACCGTAATAACCTTTTTTTTCTCCCTGCCCACCTAGATAGGTTTTAAATGATACGTAGCTGTTTACTAGTACTTTGTACAAATTGATATTGTAAACCTCATGGCTGCAGAGAAAACCCCCCAAAGTAAAAGAAGCTTTTTTCATCTTGGATGCAATCTTGCAAGAAAAAAAAGGGCCCGGCCGTAAGCACCAGAGAATTTGTTGCATACATGGGGTTTGGGGGGATTTGATTTGTTGGTCGACGTCATTGCGCTTTGTGCACAGCGATCAAAGTTTTCCTTCCTCGTTCGATTTTTCTGCCGATGATACCGGGACGTCGAAGAGGGAGATGATTGTCTTTTGCACTCTACCTACTACATACTGTCGATGGCTTATTCATCTATCGATTGATCCTACGTACCATTCACTGATCCAACCAACCCTTCTCCATGTGGATTGGACATGCGGAGACACCCGTAGTGATTATGCAGGATGCCCCAGATTAGCAGATGCTGCTGCTGCTGCTTCTCTTTTTTCGCATTACAACTTGTACCGTTTACGATCCAACTAGTTTTGTCGCACCTCGAACATTGAACTGCCAGTCCAGTTGTAATGTCCGAGTCCCGATGAGAAAAAAAAAAAAAGGCGCCACAACGATGAGACTGGCAGCAAAACTTGTGAGTAGCCCTCCTAATGATGAATACCCCTAGCCACTTTTAAAATCAGTATCAAGTCTTCATACGAATCAAAGTCGTGCCAAATTCAAACACGCTTTGGTGTCAACCAAATTACATATAAAAATTTTCCCAACCGGCAAAATTCCCTTGGATCATGGAGGGAGCAGCAATAGCGCCATCATGTTCAAAACTCCTAGCGGAAGCAACGGCCTCTGCTAGACCGTAGCGCTCCAGTTCCCACTGCTGCTAGGAGGTCCTAGGTATGCCTAGTTTAGCCCCGTCGGCTCGAATTTTCTATCTTGGACTAGTCAAAACGCGCTTCCACGCGTAAACCTTACCCAGGCTAAGTAAGGTACCCTTCCAAATACCGTATCAGACTTGGCTCATGAGCTATGTATGTATGAGTGGAATGAGGCAGGACAGGACAGGGCAAGTCAGGGCATCAAATGACCGGGGACGTCGAGTCCTGCTTCCGCTGCCAGCATTGGGATCGATCGTCTGTCTGTCGACGGCGTGGGAAGAAAAGGAAAAGTGCATAAGGACAAGGGATGCCACCACCTCTTGAGGAGAGCGTCACTTTCGTTTGCAGCGGGACTCGGATACCTGCTGAGGGCCCTGAACATCTGCTCTCCTTTTGCAGAGCTAAAGACTTGAGATGACAGGTATCTCGCGGGGGACGTGTTTGAAGCAGCAAGTAAGCACAGGCAGGCAAGCTTGCCATGTTTTCTCATGTCTCGCCTGATGCATGATGCAGCATGATTCACTTTTCTGTCGTTTCTCATCCTCGAAGTGCGTCAAGTCTACTGTGTTCTTCCATGCTGGACGTTGTCCCGGATCAGCAACATCCACGAGGCCGTACCTACTGCTTGCAGCCGTCAAGTGATGTATCAGTCGCCTGCTGTCGACGAGACCCCTGGACCAGCCCGAGCGATTGTCTGCCGGCGACGCTCTACCCTGGGAGTCTGTTCTGCATATCCACCCAGTCTTGAGGATATCAAGGAAAACATGGCTCAGACATGGAGGCAGCATAGACACCACCCAAGACTCCATCATGAATTGACACGGTGATATTTTTGTTTCCCTGTGTGACCAAGCTGGAGACAAACCAGGAACTTCAAACGAGGCCAATCATTATGTTTCTCGCCTCTGGAAAAGCCCACTTCTCATTTCGAAACAAATTTGGCCGAGTTGTGTTTGGAAACAACATTGCATCTTAGGCGAGGCTGATGCTCTGTTAAAAAAAAGACAACCCTGCGAGGTAGACTTGATGTCCCGCCGCACAAACAAAAGATTTTTACATGTTTGGAAAGGGGCCAAGAGAAGAATACGAAGCAAACGTCCTTGGCACATGAAAAGCGTGTCGCGGCTCTGCTGTCAATCGTGGCGCAATCCTATCTGGCATATGGATGAGCCTTTCGCAATATCAAAATATCAACACCCATGTGCAAGTCTGCCCGGCTAATGACTGTTGGGCGTTTGTATACAATTGTTGCTTTCCCAAGCCAATCATGGCTCATATCATGGGGTCCCTGGGTTTTCGGAACTTGTTCGTTTTTCCTCCCGGCAACATGTCTCAACTAGCTCTTATTCTGAGCCCCAACCAAAGACCAAACCCCAAAATATACTTGTCAATCATGATATGCAGCAGACGCTCTCACCATCGACAAAAGTCAGACTTGGGTCGATTCATTGGCGTGCGAGCGGTAGCTTGCTGTATGGATTGATTATTGGCCCCCAATGTCTCAGTAGTCGAAGCAGCAAATCATTTGGGGCCTATCAAAAGCCCTTGTATACGTCGCACCTGCGCGGATACCTGCATAACCTGGGGCCACGGGATGGGCTGCGGACGATGCAGTATCCCGGAAGGAAGGGGTGGTTGCTGCTGTGAGGGGGAGAAGTAAGAAATTTTCCGTTGCGTGGCTGGTATTCTATTTCTTGACATATATGATGGGAAAGGAAGCATGGCGCTGCGAGGATGTGTTTTCCCATACATTCTGCAACTGGCTGCTGTATGGATCGATCGGCTATGGACTCCTTCGAGACAATTTTACTCAAGCCGGCACAGCATGTGTAACCTGAGTCAGCAGAAGAGTTTGTTCGCAGCCAAGCAATTTTCGATTTTGAGAAAAATCACAGACCCTCTAGCACACATTGGAAGCAAAGAATTGGCTTTCGATTCGACTTTCCTTAGTCTCAAGCGTGGCAACCAAGCGAGTGTGTCGCCATATGGAACCCCCCACACTTTGTTCCATGGCCGTCCGTCCAGCTTTACTGGTCTTGGAAGATTTGCCTTGGGAAAATGGACACACGCCTTTTGATTAACAAGATGCCGCGTATTTCTCCGAGTGACATAACATTTCGCCCGTTGTCACAAATGCAGTGTCATCTTCAAATATGGATCAACGGAAACCCTGTGTTGAACAAGTCACAGCTATCATGGAGGTTTCTACATTGTAGACCAAACACAAGCATCATATTCTTCCCTCGAGAAGGTCTGATGCTCGGTAGTATCTATAAATGTCAAATGCAAGCATGTCGGGACCATGCGACAGAGGGAAGAGAGATAGATTGGTCTGTAACGGCAACATGCATGGAGGTGGGCTTGCGTAGAAGAGGAGAGAGAGAGAGGCCTTGGCTTCGGCCAGCAAGTAAGAGCTAAAGACTGTACTTTTTTATTGCTGCAGAAGAGAAATGTATGGACCTGCTGCTGGTGGAGTGGCTCTGCAGCGTTGTTCCTCTTCCCTTGCATTTCGTTGCTGCAGGTTCAACTTTCGAGGCTGGCAAATCGGATAGTACATTGACACTTCCGTACCGTTGTCAAGCTCAGAAATGTTACCATCTATACTTTTGAACATGAATTCTCGTGCCGGCCAAAAAGTTGTTTGGTCTGCAACTCTTGTGATGAATATGATCTATCACACAGCACAAGGCTGTCAGTAAGCTAACCATGTACGTACCAGGAGCTACCTACCACCACCTACCTCACATATGCGGTTGTAGCAGTGGGTCCCGTTGCTGGCGTTCGTTTTCTCACACACCTATATTTGGTTCCGAGCCCTGGTTCGACTTATTAGAGATACTTCGTACGTTGTAAACAAATGGTCTGTCTGCATGGCGTTTCCGGATAAATCCCCACATATTATTATTATTATTATTATGACCAGAAGAAGACCTTGAAAAAGCAAGCGGCTACACTTGCACGTTTCCATCTAGAGCGTACTGCGAGGATCTTTCTCTTTCTTCTTTCTTTTTCTATCTCTCACCTGCATGGAACGGGTCGGTGTAACGTTTCTCGTCGTGCGAAATTCTTCAAAGATGGGGCCCTTCTTGCGTTTGTGTTGTATGTCTGTGAAAGCTTTCAAACGATTCATGATCTAATATTACCGGCAAACAATGACAGGTAGGCCAGCCCCAAGAATCATACAAAGTTTGCTGTCTTTTGCATTCTGTCACATTTACTAGGCCTTTTTAGGCCAAGAGGAATTCCAAAAAAACTAATGCATGTATAATTCCCACACAAGATCTGTATGTTGTATTCTTGGCTGCCATTGGCTTGCTTACTCTGCATGTCTAACTTTTGAAGAGTGTTCTTCACTTGGCTTTGAATTTCTAGTATATCGGCACCATGACATGCAATACTTTAACGCAGTTAGGGAGTGTGTACCAAATTGTGACGGTAACACAGGGGCCTGCGCTGATGTGATGGATGATGTTGTCGCATGGTTTTCGTGCTCTCAGCCATGTCTCTATGTATTGGTCTGCCTTTCGTCTTGGGTCTTGATCCTTTTGCAAGTTTCTTACAGTGGCGTCGTAGGACAAAGACCGTTGGCGATAGTAACCTCGCCTTGTTTGCTTTTCGCCGAGATTCTGATATCCCACTGGGGAGTCTGGCTACCTGTTCATGCTAGGCTCCTCCCCCCCTCCCACCCAAAATGTGCGTGACGTACGTATTACTCGAACCCGGTAAAGAGTGCAAGCAGGTGGTCACAGCTTTGTCTTCGTCCGCTTATACTGCAGCAAGAGGCAGTGAGTAAGTGGGTCGTGTCACATAAGAAGGAGTGGATGGCTGAGAGCCCCCTCCCATACTGTACCATCCGACACATCTTGTTACAAGCAAGTCACACTGCCAGTGACGCTCACCTGCGTTACCTACAAGGAGCTGCAAAAGATTAATGCTCCTACTCGTTGTTACTCACACCACGTTGCCCAGGTATCCTGATCAACAGCAGTGGCAAAGCAATGGTTGGCTGTTGGCGGGATAGGCTGGTGGTTTGAGACAGCAGGAGCCCGTTGCCCCATTTCTCTATTTCCCCCCAAGAGATTTAATCGAGATTGTGGTTACCAGACTCTCGAAAGCCTCGTTGTTGTAATCTTGCTCTGCTGCGCTATGCGAGAGATCCTGGGGCCTGGGCAGGTACCTTAGCTGTTTGCAGAAGCCCTATGAGCTGCAGCTTACAAGTCCTTCCGATCGAGCCAATACGCAGATGTATGTATGGCTCTTGGGATGCGGACCCCCAATTCTTGCACATGGCAGCCCCCCCTCCCCAAAGATATGCACCTACCCGACAGCGTGCAACAAGGGACTCACACAGTAATTGACTGGCTACAGAGAGGCCAAGAGAGTGGCGTGTGTGAGAGAGGAGGAAAAAATAATACCTGACAGGTATGTCGTGGCCAGGTCTCGAGAGGAAAGAGAGTGGAAAAAATGATGATATGACATCTTGTCCATATGGGTCCTCTGAGGGGGGCGACCAATCTCTGTTTTGCAAACAACTATCCGTGACCGTGTGTTGGGGTGGGTGGGAGGTAGGCCTTGGATTGTAATCGTGTCACGGCGTATACAAGTATGGAACTTGCAGTTTCCAATTCTCTGTTTTGTGTGCTCTTTGATCTAGGATTCTTCTCCCTCACCACCTTTGGGAGATTCTTTTTGAAACACTCGAGTTAGACAGTGACCTGAGAGCTCGAGCTCATAAAGCCCATGTTCCAGGTCTGCAAGTCGAGAGACCAGCTTGTCAAACATTCGGGCCCCTGGATTTTTGTTTCCCATTCAGTGGGCATTCTTTCTATTGTCTTTCTATCATCGATCGGTTGCAAAGGAGTCGTGGGTCCCACATCTCCCAAGACCATACACACACAACCTTTGGGGAGGCTTTGTTCTGTTGTTGCGTCTAAAAAAGAAAAAAAAGAAAAAACCGTCCGTTTTACTGATCAAGTACAATGGTAACTCCAACCATCTATAACACAAGCGAAGAAGGTCGACGATATAGCCGGGCCTGTCCGCCGTACCCCTTATACCCTGATCGCCGGTTCCAGCTGCAATCCCATCACGACATCCGGGCCTCGACCATGACCGAGCGTGAACATGATGAGTCAAAGGAGCCGCGGAAGCGGATCGCCGTGGCTGTAAGTCTTTCAACCCGCCTGTCTCTGGCAAATGCTTGATCTTGACCTGATGGCCAGTGTGGACGTTGCCGCAAGAGGAAAATCAGATGTAGTGGTGACCCAGGAAACGGCGCTCCATGTTCGAATTGCAAGAATGCAGGTCATGAGCCCTGCCTCTTTCTGCGTGTAAGTTTTGGTCGCTTGGTCTTGCCAAACACGCATCCGTCTTTTGCTCTCCTGGATGCTGAATTAAACCCTTCTTCTTCTCCTTCTAGGTATCCTCAACCGAGACCCCTCTTCGCGATGGGCCTTCTGATTTTGGATACACCATGGACGCCGCTCGTGCATACCAGGCTCGGGGGAGTGCGTCTTCACACAATGCCATTTCCCAGTATGCTACCGACATGACGACTGGAGACATGATGGCCTATCGCAGCAGCGCATACCCCTACAATGGCAGCAGTAGCAGCAGCAGTGGAGGCAAAAGCTATTACTCCAGTGTCTCGGGATGGGGCGCCGGTGGGTTTGGCGAAGACTCGGTCGACTATGGTCTCAACTACTCATATCCGCACATGAGCAGTGATCCAGTCCACATGGTCTCGGGATGTCGGTACGGGTCCAGCACAAAAGCTCCTCCTGTATACGTGGATTCCGAGGCATCATCTTACACGTACGGGAATCTCGTTCATCGTCCAGCGACGGGCCATGAGCTGCCAACGCTATCCTTGTCCGGTATGGCAACAACCCTCACCACTGCTACTACCTCCCCTGATCGCGTTCCTACCATCATCAAACGTAATAACTTTTCAAGTACATCCACTTACCGAAGAAATGGTATACCAGGTCATTATGGCAGCACTGGCAGCAAAAACTCATCTGTCCACTCGTCGGATGTGGGCTATAATGGACTGGGCTCGGGCTTTGATACCCCGGTGACGTACGGCTCAACGAGTAGCAACCCAGCCAACATGTCGGGCAGATCGGGCCATGCCGACACCTCTTTTGCACCTTCGTCTGCACATCATGGTCTTGCCGCTGCTACTGCTGCTGCGGGCGACTCGATATACGGATCCGATCATTCCTCGTACCGCACCCTTCACGACTCGGACAGTTACATTTACAGCGACAGACTCGACGGATCCCGCCGCGACTCGCACTCGAGTGCTGGCGGGGCCAGTGCCGGATCCGTACTATCGAATGGCCAAGTCTATGTTCCGGATACACAGTCCCATGCGTCCGCATCAGCAGCAGCACATGGGTATTCGGTCTCTGCAGCTGCTGCGGCTTCTTCTGCCAACGGAGCTCCTCCTGCATCAGTGGCTGGCACCGGCAGAACTAGTGCTGCATTGCAAACGGCTGGGCACCGACGTTCTGGTGGTAACCTCCGCAGTGCATAGTCCTCTCCTTTTTTCTTAACCACTCTCCAAAAATGGCTGCCGAATCATGGTGTTCACGTTTAATGCTGTGCTACCTTGAAGCGGGGGAGTTTCTTTTCTTTTTTTTTTTTTTCCATGCCTGTCAGGCACATTGAAGATCCTCGCTTGTCGTTTCTTTCCACGTTTGCTTCTTTATTTATTTTCTCATGGTTCTGGAGGGGTGTGATAGGCGGGAGGGATTACTTGTTTTCATTAATGGTTTGCAAGGAACTTGTCAACGCTTCAAGCATAAACTCAAACCTCGAGAGCTACCAATCTTTTCAGGTTACATTGCCAGATTTACAAACGCTCCTCGACAGTCGACCCCAATTATCAACCCAATATGAGCTCAAATCGCCACATGCAGCACAATAATCCTGGTAATCGGCTCGGACCTTGGTTGTCTGCTGGAATATCGAGCGAATCAAAAACACCCAGACACTGCTCGGCACTGGACTTGACATATCGTGGCCCGCAGGGGGGAGGGGGTTTGGTGTGGTTGTGCAAGATGCAGGCACCGCATGTTTTGCGTCCTCTAGGCTGTCTTTCCGATACCACCACCGACGAGCACATACATCACTCGAGAGACAGAGGTGCAACCGGGTCGTGGTCAACTTGCCGAACCCTGAGTCCCTGACCCGACACCTCTTCATGTCAAACACCCTGGTTCCGTACATCCGAGAGAACGAAGACCTCGCTTGTTTTTCCCTGCACTTGTGTCTGGCGTGGCACTTGCATTGAAAAAAAATCAAAAAAAAAATCCGCTGTCAATGAGAGGAATGTCCCAATGGACAAGCTATTCACATTCAGAGTGGGCACAAAACCGACCATCCTTGGGCGTTCTCTTATCATCCTTTCCTTTTACTATCCCCTTCCTTTCCTTTATCCTGAGATCAGTGACTGAATTTCTAAAATGTGACGAAAAAAACATTGGGGGAATTTTCATCGCCAGGTATGGGGCCACAGATCTGATTTTCTGCAGCACGCATTGTTCTTGTTCATCTGAGCTTTTTTTTTTTTCTTTGGGTGTTGGTGGCGGAAAATGATCCAAAAGAAAAAGCCTTTGAGCTCTACGGTACGCATGTTTTCTGTGTTGGTTCCTCTTTTGTTGTGTCTTCCCCCCCGAGGGTCTCTGGGAGTTGGCTCTTTGCTTGTATCATTTGGCAAAGGTAATGGATTGAACTCAAGTGTGCACAATGTTTGATTTGGATTTTCCTTTCTTATTCTTTCTTCTCTCATGTCCCTCTTCCATCCGGCTTCTCTCCTGGAGAAATTGTGACTGGAAGGACCGGGAAAACGTTTGGGCTGGGCAGACTGTCAAACAAAAACAAAACTCACGTGCGTGGCATTGGTGGGAATGTGTCTACTGCATATTTCATCATATTAACTTAGAGATTTTTTCGCCTCAAGGTCGCCACAGGATTGCATAGGTCGGATACAGTCGCGGACATGCTCTCGCCAAGTTCGTCTGTTTCAGTTTTGTCGCCGTGGTCGTTGTCAGTTTGCGTGACACAAATTAATACAAAGATATTTCACATCATAATGGCCAAAAACTTCTGCTTTCTTGGGGCTAATAAATATATATTCGTGGTGCTGGTTTGGCCAAGTCAAGTGAAGATGAATCAGGTCAAAACTCTTTATTCGCAAACGTTACTTTGGGGGTAGTGCCGCCACGTTTCTCAAGCCAAGCGAAAGTGAGGCCGAGCCCCCATTTACTTTCTAGACGCTCCATAAACTAAAGCGGGATTGAACATTTCATGGAAGAATTCCAATTGACTACATACCTAATATCGCAAATTACAAGCACCCAAGATCGTATAGTCCGTCTCAACTCGGCACGATCCGAGTTTTGAGTTTTAGCAAACATTTCCTTTTTTGGGATGGTTCAGTCAAAGCTCCCAAACTTGCCAGCCTCAATCGGCGTGCTTCATCCAATGTACAAATCTGTTACCTTACAGGTATCAGATGACTGAATGTCGACCGAAATCTTCGCAAATTGGTTCTCGATCAATCCAATGTCCCGAGCCGCAGCGAGACGAATTGATTGACCCTTTACTTCGTCTGATTTTGTGAATATTGCTAGCGCATCGAGGTACTGCTTCTTCGTAGCTTTCGAGACGATAGTGACGGCTTCACGAATCATGATTTCATGATCCAGTCCAAAAACGGTGTCGAATCGCGATGTGAATAGCCGAGGAATATCGGATTGGTGAGATTGGGCAACAAAGTATATAAAGCGCATTTGTCCATTCCACAGCGATATTATATGTCGAGAATAGCTCAATATCACCAAAGTCACCAGGAAAATACAAACCCTCACCATGAGATTCACAAAGAGTTCTAGTCTGGCATTACTATGGTCTCTCGGCCACGCCCAAGATTGTCCCACCGGCTCCGGCGTCGGCATGATTGTGGCCCGCGCATCGACCGAGGCTCCGGGTACTGGCATCATTGGCGCCGTGGCCGATGATGTAGCGGCCCAGGTTCCCGGTTCAACCATCACGGCGGTCGACTACCCGGCGACGCTCCAAGACTATCAGTCTTCCGAAGGCAAGGGCGTTGCCGCCATGACCCAGCTCGTCCAGAACTTCACCACGAGCTGTCCTGGGGCCAAGATGGTGCTCATGGGGTATTCTCAGGTACTTTTACTTGTTATTTCATGCCGTGGCTGTTGAAGGAAACTAATAATGATATCACAGGGTGCTCAAGTCACGATGGATGTGCTGTGTGGTACTTCCGAGACGGGATTCGCCACGACCTCTGCGGTGGCTTCAGACAATGGTAACAATATCCCAATGTTCAATAGCTGGTAATATCGTGTCGCTAAAAATTTGTTTGTTGCAGTCGCGGCCGTAGTCTTGATGGGCGACCCTAGCAATACTCCCAATCAGACATTCAATGCTGGCACAGCACAAAACGCAGGGGTAAGTTTCTTGATTGCCAGGGAACAATTCCCATCATTTATTGCCCAGGCTAATCTGTTATATGTAGCGCTTCCCACGACAAGACATAATGTCTTGCGGTGCTGTAACCGACCGCATCGCCTCGTTCTGCAACACGGGGGATCTATTCTGTGATAGTGGTAACAGTCTACAAGTACACTTGAGCTACGTCCAGACAAACGGGCCGGATGCGACCAGCTTTGTCTTGTCAAAGGTCCAGGGTACAACATGATGAACCCTCGCGGTAATGTCTCAGAGCTCACAATAGATACGATAGAGAATTATATTCATCACAACATGGACAAAATATCTGTTCAATGCATCCCAAAGTATAAAAGTGGGAGCCGTACAAGTCTTTGACCTAATCGAAACACATCCCGTGTGATCCTCGTACCTATCACATCAATAGTCCAGCCATGTTTCCTTCGTGTTTGCTAGCAAACATGCCAACTACGAGTTCCAAAAGAGGTCGAATGGCTGACATTGGTAGCGACGACACGCTTTTCCCTAGTTCCAGTTGCGTGTTTGTATATAATAAACAGAGTATTGAATGATTCGACCCTGCGCTTCATCATTTCACAATGCAAGGGGGCGGTAACCCCCAAGTCTTGGACTACACAGTACACAGTATTGATGTCATTTGCCACGTGCCATGTGTTTGTCCTCCCCGGAGCAGGGGTCTTACATGCCGGGTCACGATGCGGAGTGCGGAGTAGCAAGTTTGGAGAGCAATCGTCGACGATTTGGGAAGTAACCCCGATAGGTCGTAGGCCTCCAAGTGAGTGTGGTAGCTCTTGTGGGATGAGAATATCTACATGATTTTATTGCAAATTTCGCTTCCGTTTACAATTAGTATATAGTTTGAAATTACTCGTTGAAGATATTATCCTTTGACTATACTTTAGGAGCCCGCACTGATTATTGCCTTGACTTTTCTCCATGTACTCTTCTGCGTATCTTGCGTATAATGTACGCGCCATACAGAGGCCCTTGTAAGCACAACACGTCTCCAATCGATGATGCTCATTTTCCAGATTGGTAGCACACCTCCTTACATGCCCAGAGATCTGGTAGCGAATACTGAGATGGGTGTGTAGGACCCCGGCAATCAGAATCCGTGGGATTTGGGGAACCCGCGAGCTGCAGGGTAACGGACGGTGGCCACGCTACTTGGCCGGTGAACGAATAAATGAAAACAACTTGATCTGTCGCTGAAACTGAAAACTTTCAGCTGCAATCTCATGTCTTGATTCATTCTCTCACTATCCTCAACGCATCCGAAAACACAGACTGCCGGCACCTCTGCCGCTTCAAGGTTGAGTGCAATGGACGAAAATCTCGATGCGAAAGCCATTCAGGAGCTCGAGGAGGTTTTGCACACCAAGATATATCCCGGGACGGAGATTATGAAGGATGTTGGAACTCACCATTTTGTGAAATCGGCCCACGGGAGCGCAAATGTCTTGGTGCCACAGCCAAGCGACGACGAACACGATCCCCTCAACTGGACACCGAGATGGAAGGCCATCACAATGTTCTGTGCCACCCTCTTCTCGGTCGCTTTGAACCTCGGTCCATTGGCCAATGCTCCCATGTTTGGTACGGCTGGATTAATTGCGCTTTTGTTCGTGGGGAACACTGACGTGAATAGAGGAGTACATAATCGAATGGAACTGTAGTCTAGCAGACGCGATTCAGTTCACCGGCAAGTATGACCGTACAGCGATTCCATCGGGCATGGCTAACTTGTCCAAGGCGTCGCCATTCTCGTGCTAGGCTTTAGCAACTTTATATGGGTTCCGCTGTCTGTATGCTACGGACGAAGGCCAGTCTTGATTGTCAGCACCTTGATCTGTGCCATTTCTTCGATTTGGAGAGCCCGTGCCACCAGCTATAACTCGTTCATGGGAGCCTCGGTCCTGAACGGTCTGGCTGCGGGTCCTTGCGAGACCATTCAGCCACAAATCATCACCGACATCATCTTCTTGCACGATCGGGGAAAGTACCAGACGCTATATTTCAGCATGTACTTTGCCTCGCTCATGGTGGGGCCCATTATTTCGGGTGCCATGGCATCGAATGTTGGTTGGCGCAATTTCTGGTGGTTGAACACAGGCTTGCTGCTTGCCTGCTTTGTGCTCAATATATGTCTCTTTCCAGAAACGCGATACCCTCGACCTACCAACCTTGAGCAAGCCAACATCACTACTGCTGCCGATCAAGGCGTTCTCACCACCAAGGAAGCAAAAGAGACCAATCCGTCGACCGATCCAGCTGATTTGACACCGGCCGTCACCCATCAAGACCCGTGGCTCGGCCGCGGCAAGCCTGGCAAGGCGCAATTCAAACTCTTCCAGAAATATCACGGCAGCATACTCCAGGAACTATGGGTACCCTGGTATCTTCATATCTTCCCCATTGTCGAGTTCGCGTCTTTTGTCGTGTCCTTTACGGCCAGCATGTACCTCGTCGTAAACCTCTCGCAAACGCAAGCCTTTGCCGCGCCCCCGTACAACTACTCGCCGCAAACCATTGGCCTCTTCAATCTCGCCGTCCTGGTCGGCGCCATCATTGGCTTGCTGACCAACGGCCCGTGGTCGGACTGGGTCGCCGCTTACCTCACCCGCCGCAACGGCGGCGTGCGCGAGCCCGAGATGCGCCTGCCCGCCATGATACCGTACATCGTGGTCATGATTATCGGCGGCGTCGTGACCTCGGTCGGTTACGACTACCACTGGCCGTGGCAGGTCATTGTTATTGTCGGGTGGAGCTGTCTCGGCATGCAGGTCGCGGCTCTTCCGGCGATTGCGTCGACGTATGCCATTGATAGCTACAAGCCCGTCACCGGGTCCTTGTTTGTCGCCATCACGGTCAATAAGAATGTCTGGGGGTATGGCGTCAGGTACGTTGTTTAAATCATGGCCATGATCAAAGTTGAATAGAGCTGACAACAATCCGCAGCAAATTCTTGACTCCGTGGGCGGAGCAGAGTGGGTTTCGACCGCCAATACTAGTCAACATGGCATTGACTATTATATTCTGTGCAACGAGTATCTTCTTTTGGATCTGGGGAAAGAAACTTCGAGGTCTCACCAAGGATTCTTTCGTACACAAGTTATGATGAGCTACACCCTGGCTGGAAGAAGCAAATAGTGTGCTTTCGCACTTCTTCACCACAATTCAAGCCTGAATGAGGACGTGGATAAGAGTGTACGTGATGACAGAGATTGTGTCGGGCTGATGTTCGGTATATGCAGAATTGACCAGCCAGGCTGCCACGTCCCTTGCCCTATGGCCTAGATCAACGAGAGCGAGTTTTGAAAGCAACACCTGTGGGCGGCAGGTTAATACCGTCTTTCAAAAAGATGCTCAAAACTTGCTGATGTAGACCCTCTACTGCTGTTAATCATGTAACTACGAATCTCTTTTCAAGAAGTATCAATTGATAGACAGCAAACTAATGACAAGTCCTGCCCTTTGCCCATCAATACCATCTCATCATAGATAAGCAATTTCTCCAAGCAAACTCAAGGTTTCTAAATCAAATGTGCACTAGTCCTCATGATATCTGCGAGTCAAGAACGTTGCAACCAACGCCTTCCTCATCCGCGTCCCCAGACCATGCCAAGGCGCTGGAGGAATGAAAATAGCGAGCCTTTTGGGATGAACCCGGAATATGTACTCTCCCACAAGGCGGCGAAAGACCCTGTAAGTAGCATATCAGTAAATGTGGACCGATATAATAGTCTGTAGGGTATAGTGGTTAACCCACCTTCCACCGGACCAAGCTCAGCAAATCCCAGTGCCTCGACGATCATAGGAGCCAGAATTACCAAGATACCAACGGCGATGATGGTAATCAACCCTGCAGTCAGCACGGGATGATCTCCCGCAAACTCGAAAAGTTCATCAGCAGCCTTGGCAGCCTCATCATAAGCGATAGTCATAGCTTGTCCCATCTTTTCTCTCCCATCTCTCAGAGCCGCCTTAATACCAGCCAGGATATTCTCAGCGATCCATTCTGTCCAGCTTGTGGATACAACGAGGTCATTAAGCTGTGCCTCGAGCTCTGTACCATACTTCTCTGCATCACGCAGGATCTCAATTGCATTGTTTATAATATCCCGTTGCGCGGCATTCGAATCTGAGATACGCGGTGGTTTTGTCGGTCTTGGCTTGTCGCAGATCACCGTATAAGCAGAGAACGTTTCGTTCCGGGTACTGACTGCCCCGTCGGGGCGACAACAAGAGAGAAGTGTTGTGAGTCCAGCCATTGTAGGGAGAGTCGAACGTAGACGAAATGGAATTGATGAGAGGTTCCCAGTGGGATTCGTTTGGGGAGACGGTTGCTATTATATCTTTGATTTGTGTATGTGGATCAACACATGCTGCGAAATATACTTTAGACCTTGGCCGTTATCCCATCCCACCCTCCTTATGCACGGGTCAAACGACCGGGAAGCCAATTTTCTGCAATCAGCAACCTTATATGACCCCTCATAGATTAAGGTGACACAGAAGTAGCGGTAAGAATCTGACAAATCGACTGCATGTAGACAATTAGAATACTCGTCTTTTCATAGTAGGAATCGCTGTGTAATTGCATACAGGCAGGATTTGCGACATTGATTCCCGGTCAACGATCATTATGGATGATTTGTGTAAGCCACTCGGAGTCTTGAATGCAAATTCATGAACTCGTTGCGTGGCTCTTTGGGAAACCATATATATGTGCAATGTCCAGTGTTAATGGACCAGCCGCTATGTAAACGTGCTGAATGTCGGACGCTCTGATTATCATCGACTTGGGCCATAACGCACACCCTCAAGTCCTTCACCGAATGATATGCAAATCAAGGTGCTGATTACAGTATTCGAGTATGTAGTGACGGGACAATTTTATGTGTTTCATACTTGAAAACGATCTGTTTTGATGTATACGTGCCCTGTTTCATCCAGGATACCCAGCGGCGACCGCCTTGCCAGTGATAATATCTCGTGTCAACAATCCATTATCATAGTTCAGCTGCTAATCCGTCTACAAGCTTTCGGCAAAATTCGCAGTCCTTCCACTCTCCTCCGAGTTTCAAGTGCTGACTCATTGATTCACAAACGTCATTCAGTTCTGGCTCCTGCAAGGCCTGTGCCTCCCGAAGTCTTCTTTTCTTGGACTTCTTGTCTTTCCTGCTCAAGAGTCTTGATAGCTTCTTTGCTGCCGGGCCTGTTTCCTCCTGGTGCGGTACTTCAACTTCCGAGCGTTGAATCTTCGCTGAATTTGAAGAATGGTCCGATGCCGTCGATGATGGTGGCGTGAAGACCGGAGAACTTGAGTCTGTTTCTGAGCCGGGGACAAAAACAGTTTCATCTTGACAGAGAGGTTCCAGTACAGAATATTCTCTGGGAATTTCTCCAGATGTGATCAGTACTTCGGCAGGATCAGCATCGTTCATGATAGGTAAAGTTGAAGCACTCTCTTCCACAGGGTCCGGGTCAGGCTTAGACTCGCAACATACATGCTCGTCGTCGTATGCGAGTGCAGATAAGGCTCCATATTGTGGGGCATTGGGAGTCGCATTGTCACACGTGGGCTCAGGCTTTGGCATGGCTTCATACCCTCTAGATTCCACTGGTATCAATTCAGGCAAGATATCTTGGCACGCGAACTCAGGTTCATGTTCGGAACTGTAGGACGAAAGCTCGGCCTTAGGGTCAGGTTCAGGAACGTGTCCACAGGATAGAGGCTCATGTTCTATGACAATGTTAGTAAAAGCGAAGTCAAAGAAATTCATAATCACGCAGTTACCATTCGATCCATTGATGAGCTCCAGTGCTTCCTCGCGCAAACACAGAGCGCTGTGGAAAACCAACTCGGCGATAGATGACTTTGGTCCAGCACTGGTTGGTTCAGTACTCTTCTTGACTTCATGGCCAGCGAAGAGCGCCCTCATTCGATCCTTCAAGTAGCCGCCAAGCCAGATATCATCTTTGCTTGGATGCGGATATACTTTATTCAAGGCAGCCAAGAAAGGGGTAATGGGCAAAGACTCTCCTAGCCTCTCAATCTCGCTTCGAGCCTGCTCCTTGAGGGAGTTGAGCTTATAGTCCCACGCGACGGCATAGACATGAATGCACGTCATGAGCTCGTCGAGCTTTTGTTCCTGATGTGTAGACCCTTTCGGCGCCAAGCACTGGAAGGTTTCTGTGAAGAGATGATGGACAAGGACATGACCGACCTCCTCTGGAATATGTGTGAGGTGAAGACTGTTTGCCAAGACGATATTACCAACAGGCAGGTTGGAGCACTTCTGGAGGAGTTCATTGGGGACTTTCATCGCATTGGCATTGGCGCCGAAGAAGACTTTGATGTACGTGCTTGTGTATGGCCTGAGATGATATCAGGAATAGGATCAATTGCAGTCATAAGAGAATGACTCACGAGCACGATGGGCGAGGGTCGACCTCACGGCTACCAACGTTGGGTAGTGCGTCAAAGCTTGAAACAACAGATACCTTCTTGGACTTCTTTGCCATTTTGATTTTCGAAAGTAATGGACGGATGAATGGGCAAGAGACGATAGAAAGTTATAGAGTAATGGATGCAAAAAGTGTGGAATTATTCGATGAGCGCGATGTGATAGATATCTATGTCGAGCTCAATCACTATAACCTCGTGCCAGGCATATGCAGGTTCCCCCCCCGGTCCCCGCTTACTCCTCTTCCTCTCTCCCCCCTTGGGCAGACTCCTATATGTTGTCCCATGGAATTCAGAAACGATCTGCCAATGACGTTCTTATTTGTGCCAGTATCCTCACTCCGCTGACCCGTCACAGTGCAGTCCCAAATAATAGTTTGTTGCGGGAGGCCCACCAGAATTGATGGGCGAGGTTGTGTAATTTAAGGTTCGGCTCGTGACAACTCTCCACGCGAGTCTGCGCGTCAGATCTAATTGAATGGTAGTACATAAAGCTGACGCGGATCAAGGCGATTCGTTTTTGCTGCATGAATATGCAAAGGATTGGGCAGCAAACGACAATTGAGGCTGCCAAGTTGTTCCTCATATCTCATGATATCAGTAGAATAATCCATGTAAAAGATGACACGGGATTGAGGAGACTACGTTTGCATCCCAAAAATCGGGGTTCTAAACTCTCACACAGCTGCAGAACTGGGACAAGTTACAAGCTTCAGGCAAATTTATTGAACGGCATATCAACCAGGTTGATGCATGGCTCGTTCGTACAGCTGATTTGACGCATACTGAAACGGAACGCTGGCGGAGCACCAAACAAGGAGATATTGAGATAAAGTAGCATTTTTTAATAAGTATCACCTTCCGTGACTTTGACTCGGTGTTCTCGATGTGACACAAGGCACTGGTGGTGGTGGTTGATGCGGGCTGCGAATGACTGTTTATCTGCAAGCTGTCTTGATACTCTCCACCATTGTACAAAGAGATACAGATGCTGTGTTTTGACTGGCCCTACATTCTAATTCAAATCAAACACTGCAATCGGCGAGCGTGGTATGCCATGGTGATTTGCTGCCGTCCAACCCCAACGTTATGCCCGCAACTCGAATTGCGTCGTCTCCAGCCGAATGGCCTACCAATGCGAGCGCAGACTCTTATCTCGTGGCCTATTTACATGCATGTCGGCTTTGGGTACCGTGACTTCAGAACATGCCGATATAAGCAGCGCGTCCACCTTGGGGGAAAACAAAAAGGAAAAAAGAAAAAGAAAAACACCCAGGCCACATCCCCTCGGCTCAGACCCTTCTTGTCATTTTACTCATTTGCTACACTGGAGAAAGTCCGGCCTCGTGACTTGTCCCTGTTGTTACTATACACAAATAGTCGAAAGTACTTGTAGCTCATCTTGAAGTCTCCTTAAGACCTTTGTATGTATCTACTATCCAAATATCCGCCTACCTCATGCGACGTATCGGGTAAAATCTGGCTCCTGGACCTAAAAGTCAATGAATGAATATTGGTGATGTCTCATTCGTCGCCTACTGCAGTAGTTGGCTGCCTCCTCGACGTGTCTGCTTCTATGCGCCAGGCGCTTGAGACGGGGAGCTGTTCCAATGATTTGGCAATTGAGCGCCTCCGCGCAGGACTTCGAGCAATCTTGAAGCTTGTAGAGGCAGAGCAGCGACAAGATCCGAATGCCCTCGTCTTCGTGGGCGTTTTTGGTTTGGACACTCAAGCAGGTTGTCCGCCAGTGGCCGATCTTTGTGGACCTGTTGATGCGCTCTTACGAAACACTGGCGATTGCAAGTCCGGTCATGACCTTCTCATTGCTCGGGCCAATAAGGAGCGGCGCTCGTACATTGCGAAGTATATTCGAGAGAAGCTTACGGATGACGAGGCGCGCATCGTTGACATGCACCTGGAGCGACATCCAGATGGGGTCAGCGATTTCGTTAATGCAATTCCGCCTGAAGAGACGGTGAACAATAAGAGGACACGGAGTCGGTGGATTGGGGCTGCCGTGGGCATGACTGCTGGCTGTGCGTTTACAGCGGCGTTCCCTCCAGCAGCTCTTTCCACTGGTGCTATCTCTGGTGCTATCTCTGGTGCTATCTCCAGTGCTATCTCCAGTGGGGCTGGGGTTGGCGGAGGTGTTCTAGGAAACAAAGTTGCAGACCAAGTTGCAGACAAAGCCATAGACAACGCGGCCGAGAAATCGGAAGCAATGCAACTTGCACGCCGTATATGTGCGGAGTGGCTGCAAGACTTCACTCAGTTCGAAGCGCGACCAGTCGGTGATGTCGTTCGCCTGCTCAAGCAAGTGCAGAGGCGTTCAGAGGTCGACGAAGGTCGCGAAAAAGAGACAACGGGCCATTCTACCTTGCTCGACACACTTCGACGGTACATGTATGGTTTAACACCGATGCAAGAGGCCTTGAGGCAGTCATTAGTGGCATTTCACCAGCATGTTGGGACCGAGAAACGCGTTCTCGTTCTTGTGTCGGATGGCATTTCCACTGACGGCGACCCATTGCCGCTTGCGCGCAATTTACAGCATGCCAAAGTGAGCATAGCAACGATTTGCCTCACTCCTGACCAGATAGTGAGCCGCCGACGCTTGTATTACCAACCAGCAGAAGAGTGGGACTCGGGGCAACACATACTTTTCGACATGGCAACTCGGGTGGCCGGCGTGACGCATCCGATCCCAGTACTCACCTCTGTAGGTTGGGAAGTTCCCTCAGCTGGTGAGGTCGCATTGTACGCTACAGTGTCCAGCTCCGCGGCGCTCGATGAATTCTGCTCATTGCTCCTGTCGGCACGTTTTGGTTCCGCAGATGCAATCCTAGACGTCATAGGTCGCATCACCCACGACTCCTATATCAGCGATGAACATGTCCTTAGGTGCAAAAACCCCTCTGATCAGGGTGATGCGTTTACCTGTTACGCACACGCCACCGCTGCTGTAGTCCACATGGCCCTCCTCCGAATCGTTGGTCGTGAGGATGACTACCCCAGCATCGAAGAGATTCGCAAACGTATTGAAGATGAATTCCCATCACAGCCGGGTGGGCAAAATACTGAGCAAGTTTTGACAGCTGCTACTAATTGGTATCGACCACTTCGATTTCGTCTGGTGGACGAGGACGGTGCCCGTCAGGCAGTGCTCCGCCGGCGTCCAGTACTAACCACGTTCCATCTCTCAGAATCGGGATGGGATGTGTTTACCAAGCACTTTGAAGAGCGACTTGACCCCCTTGAAGAGCAATTACCCACCCTCAGATGTGATCAGATGACTGCGTACCGCTCACAAGGCAATGGGGGAGGGCACGCTGTTGTTTTAACCAGTTGCCGTCCTGACTCACTTACCTTTCTCAACTCATGGGGCGACGAATGGGGGAATCATGGCAGCTTCGCCGTTGAGGACCACACTGTATTGGAGCTAGATGGCCCGTCCGGAAGATACCCCGTGAGGTTCTACGATGTGTACTGGTTGGAGAGTGATTTGTCCCCGACAGAGCATCAAGCGTACAATTGGAAAGTGGAAAATGAATTGCGCTGTTACGCTTCTCAATATCCGAGTATTCTTCAGATCCAGGCGCGCTGTCCTCATTGCCACACGAATGCGGCCCTTGCTGACTTTACAGGGCACATCGGCCAGGTGCAGTGCGGGCACTGCGCCCGGTCCTTTAAGCTTGAGTCAGGGCATCTTATGAAGGCACTATACGCTCCCGAAGACATTGGCGCTGCGTGATGAAAAAAAAAAAAAAAAAAAAAAAAAACCTTCTCAGGATAGTGGAACTACATATCATAAACTATCACATGATTTTTTGGTATATACGAATTGAATTGCTTTGTTGAGTCGGCTCACTTTGAAAGGCTTTATCCATTTTCCCGTAATGATGTACTATTGTAACGATAATTCCACGGCATTGAAATTAAAAGGATAAAAAAGTTAAAGATACAAGAATAATTTAAAATACGGTTCAAATTCTTATTATAGATGTAGTAGAAAAATGCAATCAATGTGTTAACATTCTAGAAAGATCGATCTATTTTTTTGAGACAGGCAACGTAAAACAATGAGAGATATATTTCCAAGTATAGATGCCGCCTCATTGTAGATGGTGGTTCTTCTCACCTTTGGGCCGAGCCAGTCTCGACCAACCATTCTTCTCACCTACCTAAAAGAGTTTGGAACCCGGTGCATTGTCAGATTGAATCTGCATGTTACCAAGGGAGCAGGGCGTATGCAGTTCCCAAAGAGATAATCTGAGGCTGGCGAATGCTTTGCATTGTGATTTGCAGGCATCGCAAACTACAGCCTCTCTAAGGGGGGGGGGGGGGGGGCTCAAGATGACGGCCAACCAGTATGAGCTTTGCTAACTCACCGAGCTGGGTTAGATGGATATGCAGCTATAAACCTTATTTGAATCCGAGTTATGAACCAATACCGAGTTCGAAAGGGCATTTACCCAGAAAATTGTCAGGCCAGTCTGGTCTCGTGCGACAGACAGATCACGTGGAGATGGTTGTACCGAGACGGCGGCAGGCCATGTAACTTGGAATTGAATCAACGATGTGAGCTGGTGAGCGGATTGATGCCCAGTTTTGAGTACCAGTCTCCCCCCGTATGTGACAGCGCTGGGTAATCTGGCGCAACTGCTGATCAGGACATTTATTTCATGGCCGAATTTGTGTTCGTCTTGCGAAGCGATTGATATTTCACTACACATGAGGTATATTTATTTGTAGGATCGACTGGCAATATTTAGACGAAATGCGCCAAGAAACTATACAACTTTGAAAACTGCAGGCATTCGAATCTGGAAAATCATGTAAAATTGATATGGAATGCGCGGCTACTCATGGCTATGGCCACGTTGTACCGCATATGCGTGGTCGCTTAATGCAATGAGGCTGAGCCATCATGATATGATCGTCGGGATTTTGAAAGCAAGTATAGTGCTTTATAGGCCAGATTGGATATAGCCACGGGTTAGCCCTTCGGTGAATGACTGGGTCGCGTATGAGGGTGATGTCATGTTTTCAAACAATTTGATGACGTTTCATGGTTGTAAAGTATCGCTCGGGTATCCAAGTGAACACGGCCCAACTATCGTGATTTTATACCCCAATGCCGTCGATGGATCTAGACGTCTGCTCTCCATTGGATGTGACATTTAGGCAGCCACCCGATGCTATCCCTAACACTGCTTCCTGGATACTGTCGAATCTTGCGTTTCTTTCATGGCTTCACTTATGAGGATTTTATGTATGTCTAACCTAGGTTTTGTATTTTGTGATAGCTCACATATTTGCAAAGTTTGTCATTGGTAGGCTAGCAGCTGTTGGGGCGAGTATATCGCGACAAGCGACATGAAAATAATTGAATGGAACAGATGGTAGGGTCGTTGTCCACTTGTGTATATAGTTCACTAATCAATCGCTAATGGATTATAATAATTCAATCGATATGTCCATTTTTGTCAATCTATTGTGGCTTTCAGAAACGAATCGCACGGCCTTTCCTTACCGAGGCGTGTTACTCAATATACTCATCGTCATTTGAATCACTAGAGCCGCGGCCAATATTGTCTCACAGGAAGAACAGCTTTTGTCATCATTTCAAAATTCTTATACCCAAAAGAGGAATAAATAACGGCGTAATCAGAAAATGCAGAAATTCGCTTATCCCCCACTGCCGAGCAACGGCAAAATCTATATTCGTCTTGTGAGACTTTATCCAGGCACCTTTGACGAAGATGTCTGCATTACCATGCGACACGAGATTTTTGCCGACAAGACCGCAGATTTGAGCAACAGCGCTCTTGGTCGTCGGTCTGACCGACCTATCTATGAGGCCATTTCTTACGCCTGGGACAAGGGTGATTTGAGACCAGCTCACATCTCCGTCAGATACGCTAAAGAGTGCAGAGATGAGAGCCCAAACGCAGTGGTCTCTGACCTTACCACTGCAGCTCCTGTTGATGGATGGCTGCCACTTGGACCCAATGCCTTGTCCGCACTGCGTCACTTTCGCTTCACAGATCGCCCACGTGATCTATGGATAGATTCCATGTGCATTGATCAGGGAGACAGCATCGACAAGGGCCGACAGGTGGCCATGATGGGTGAAATCTATGCGCGCGCAAAGGCGGTGCTCGTATGGCTCGGAGAAGCTGCGCAGGACAGCGACCTTGCCATGACCTGCATGGAAGATGTTGGTACTCAGGTACGATTCGAAAAGTCGAGTCGGTCTATTTTGGCTACTCCCGATTGCCGTGATAATTCCCTTCTGGACCGCAGCATTCCAGTCCCCTTCTCGGTAGATGAGATGCGTGCAGTCTACCACCTGTTGAACCGGAGGTGGTTCGAACGCCTGTGGGTCAGACAGGAAATCACCTTGGCAGATCAGAAAACAGCAACCATCGCATGTGGCTGCAAAAAGATGCTCTGGAAGGTAAGAATCTGCATCATTTACATCTTGTCCGTCGTTATATCCCTCAAGCCTCTGAATCCATCAGAAATATACTTACTGCAATGAAAAAAAAGACGTTTTACAATGTTTGGGGTTTGCTACAACGCAAGGCCTGGCCGCAACAATTCGAACTCAGCAATAAGCTCACCTTTCGTCTCAGCAATCTACGGGGCTTCCTCTACCAGTCACGATACATCAATCTCCCAAACATACGTTTCAACCTCGGCCTCGCAGGGTGTAATGATCCTCGAGATCGCATCTACTCAGTAAGAGCACTCCTGCCGAGGAATATCCAGGAGCACATCAAGCCAGACTACACTCTCCCAGTCCCGGCCATCTACCGTGCTGCTACTATTGCCTACATGCACGAGATGAAAGATGTCGACTTTCTTTCGCAGTGCCGACTCCCAAATCGATTACCATGCTGCCCCAGCTGGGTTCCGGACTGGACTGACATTAGACCTATTCTCGAGGAGCCTTGGCCACTCAGGTTTCAGATAGCTTCTGGCTTTCTGAGCACACAGTATACAGAGCCCAAATCGGACAGTCTCGACGTACATGGAGTGTTTGTGGCAAAGGTGGCCGCAGTCACGAAACCAAACATTGACGGATATTTTGACGTGAACTGGGCGAGGATCAGAGAAGTGCTGCGTCAAGAACCGCGGAGCCTGGACGATCCCTGCCCTGGAAGCTCAATGACCATTGGAGACGCGTACACACGGGTCCTGTGCAGCAACAGATTCGCCGAAAATTGCTTCGATCCATCGACTCTTCATTGGCCCCGCTATGAGGTTGCGAAGAGACGCCTGAGTGAATTGCACCGCGCCACGAAGAGTAACAATCAAGACGTCAGCGAGGCGTTGGTGTATAATAGAGCAAAAGATGCCACTCTTCTCAACAGAATCACATCCGAGTGTCTCGGTAGACAATTGCTTTGGACAGAAGATGATCTTCTCGGACTTGGATCCTTGGATGCGCAACCAGGAGACCATATATGGGCAGTTCTGGGCTCACGAGAACTTCTGGTCTTGCGACCCAAATCCTCAGAGATGAAGGTTTCCTCCTTGCAGGACAAGACGCCCATTTATCAAGCTGGTGGTGGGTGCACCCTAGTAAGCAACTTCCGATGTCATTTCTCTCCTTCTCTGGATTGTCTCATGAGCAAGCATTGCCCAAATTGGTGCTCCAAGCGAGCAGGCTCAGATAAATTACTTGAAAGAGCTGCTACAAACTCATTTATCTACCCGAATGGGCAATTTCTAACACATGTTGTAGTTCGGGCACTTTGAGGGTGAGGCTGTCCTGGGCCCAGTGCCCAATAACATCAAAATCATGAAGCACCGTGCAGGAGCAATGATTTTTGAAAACACGGCAACAGGAGATCAAACACTTCTTGACCCTCGCTTGAACAGTCTCGGGGTCGACCTAACGGCGCTATCTGCGAAGCTTGAAAAGCAACAACAGGAGAATGCTCTAGATGAGCCGCATCCGTGGCTAGAGATTACTGACATTGATTATTTACGAGCACGGCTGAAACATATGGGGCCGAAGCTTCAGGATTTGCATATAGTATGAGATGGTCGAGTGTCCACGTCGGGTTGCATCATGCAATCATAGATACAATATTGGTGCTAAAAACATGGGGTATTGATAAATAGATGAAATAACTTGCCAATAGCGACGATACGCTACTCTCGTCTCGACGAGCTGGACTTGGCGGAATAGAAATCCGCCACCCAATCCGAGATCTGACTGATTTCAGCCTGTTGTGCCGCTTCAATGGCTGGATTGCTGATACCAACGACATTCCAGTCGAACAAATCATTGCAATGTCGACTACCATTGATGACAATCACGGGCGCGCTATCGCTACTACTGAGCGGGCCGCCTGGTCGAAAGATTGACGAGACCGACGCAGAGCGCCACGGATCGAATTCGCCATTGGAGTACAAGATACGCGTCGTGGCTGTATTGGTCCACCCTCCTGTATGATCATTGACTTGGACTTCAGTTCTTCCCTGGACACTGGCCATATGTTTTCCTTGATCGGTTGGAAACCACTCTTGGCATTGTCGTTCCATATTCTCGGCAGTTGCCAGGCGTGTAAAGAGCGACGGTTGGCCAGGAGGCGCTCCACTATTGCTTGTTAGTCTCTGCCCTTTGCTTGAGTCAATCCCTGGAAAACATACGTCGGCGACCAAAAAAATGGTTCGTTGCATGTCATCCAGATCCACTGGCGGCCAAGAGGGTGATTTGGTGATAGGTCGTGATATACTTGGAAAGAAGTATTATGTGAGTTGAAGCACTGAACATTCATAGAACCAGACCAATCACTGTATCCATAGTCCGCACAATCTATCAGAGTTAGCCACAAGTAACGGCCGATATCAATACTGAACCATCTACTTACGATCTGGCAAATATTTCGACGTGTACCAATTCGCGAAATTCGGCAAGGCTTGTTGCAATCCAACGCCAGCATCACTATAGTTTCTTGACCGACCCGGCACGGCCCCTTCAATCGCGTCGCACATCTGATAGAATTGGGAGTATCCTGTTCTAGGCGTGATTGACTGCCAAAGAGTTATCGGCGCAGTGATAGCGCCAGCAGCATCGTCGTCGTGGTTAAGATCTTGCACGGCAAACATTTGCTTCAACTCTTGTTTCTCCTGGGTGCTCCCATGGAGAAAAATATCGTCAACATGTTCGACAATCGCCGCATAATCATGGCTACAATTCCGAGGCATGCCCTGAACCTTTTGTCAGCTCATTACCGTAATAAATCGTTGTGTTGGTAGCCGTTATGTACCATTTGTATCGGATAGAAATATGTCCAAAAGTCATAGATTGCTTGGACGGGAGCGCTACTGGCATGATATGCCCAAAAGACTCCAGGGGCCAACTATGTCTTGTTAGTTGACAGGCATGAATGGTTGTGCTTGAGATATACCTTTTCGATCCACGCTGCTAATGCTCCGGCGTAAGAGCCACCTACCCAAACCCACGGCTGTTCCTCTGTTAGCACAGTCTGCTGTAATAAAAGCTAGATGTAGTGCCCATACCGCCTGGGGCGCGTTTGTAGCTCCGCTGGTGTCAAACGGGAGCTTGACGTTTTTGGCAAAGTTGACAAAATCGGCTATAGCTTGATCGATTGTGAGATATTGCAAATTCGCCACTGTCAAATTTTGATAAGGACTAGACTGTCCCCAATATCTGTCTATAATCTGAATTAGACCTGGCAATCCGATGAGGAGAACTCGGTGACTTACGTTCAATGAGGACAACCGCTCCACCGACAGCCTTTGCGTACATGCCAGGAAGCGTGCCATCTGTCAGGAAAAGACCATACGTGCTGGCTGCATTTTCGCCGGGAGTCACGAGGATAATCTGCAATGATTAGCAAACTGCAAGTCAAGTCAACCTGTTTCTTTGTCCTTACGGGAGAGCCTGGTCCCTTCCAAAAAGTAGCATTGTACCAGTATGATTGTTGAAACGTGCCGACAGAGGTATCATTATGGTTGATCAGCTGCTCAAAGGTACCGTTGCCGGATAACGGGTCTGACCTGTCAACCAGCCTGCGAAACTGGTGGTCCTCCAGACTCAGATGCTCGATCGAAGGCATTCGTGGGAATAGACCCAGCACGGACTGGTGCCATACCGCCCCGAGAAGCGGAAAAATTAATGCGGCATTCCTCATTGTTGCGGTGGTCAAGAAGATGAAGACACACCAAACTCGAAGGATCCAGAAGTGGTGCACTTATCAGTGCCCAGTCATGGAACCCAGATGGCCTGAAATGGTTGATATAAGCTTTGACCGAGACTACCTGGCCCGGTAAACCTTTTTGTGATACAAAACCACGAACTACACAATGGAGCGCCACAATTTGAAAGTGGCCAACTGGTGAAATGAGTATACCCTCCGGCCATATGGCAAATGCCGCTCGTCCATATGAATGCATCTCGGCGGCTGATGTGACCACTTTATCTCCATAGGTGCTGATTGGTCAGTCAATGGGATTATAGGAATCCGAGTTCGGTGGTTTACCACGTGCGAGGTGCTCGCTACTGCAGTTCCTGTGGGTGCGGCGACTTCAGTGTCGCCAGCCAGTTGTGGCTCTTTTTGGGAAAGTCATAAATGTGCAACTAGAGGTCGTCGCTATCAAGGCCAGTGGGCGTACCAATTAGGAAGGTCATGACACCAGCAATGCTAGAGCAGAGAATGCGCAACATATGCAAGCGAGACTCTTGGTTGGATCATAGAGTACCATGCATCAGCCTTCTTTTGATGAAGTCCCCGACTGGATGGCGGAAAGATATTAACAGATAAATTCGAGTTGTGATTGACCAGACTGAGTGCGACTACACTCACCAAAGTCAGGAACAATTCTAATCAAAACATTAAGACTCTGCCAATGAGTTGAGAAAAGGACAAGATTTGGACAATAGAGAGTAAGGAACCACGAGATCGAGGTAGAAATGTGTGACGCGGCATTGAATCGCAACTGCTCTTCCTGGAGTTTGGCTGATAAAATGCGTACGCAAACATGACTGCGAACACACGGGGCTTGGCCGCGTCACTGCCTCCAAGGCTCCAGAAAAATGACAGCCGGCAATAAGCACCACCTCGTACGACGCGGTTATAATATCGGAAACTTTTCCTTTGATGGTGAGAATATGCAGAATCATTTGACCAATGCCAGGCAATACATGTTGGACTGGTGATGAAAGGCATGGGGCATCGGGACTTGCAAGCATGAATGTGGTGGGGTCTGGCGCCAGAACAAGACTGCCCCGACTCCGGGCTCCCGCACCGACGATCAGTGGGTGTCGGGGGTCCTGTTTCGTAGTAACAAGCATTGTACCTACCTACTTGACAAAACTATCTCTCCATGGCAATGTTATGTTCACATCAGCTCTAGGGAACGGCCTGGTGCTCTGTCCATAATCTAAAAAGTCAAAAAGAGCGTATAAACAAAGATGTAGATCGAGGCTAATAGTTGCTCCGCGCCACTACAGCCAGATATAATAGTACTACACATAGTAGAATCGCGGTTGTTTCAGATGACCGTGCAGACGGACCAATCACTTTTTTGTCTGCCCAAGATGTGCTTTTCAGTTGGGTCTTGGTTATTCTCTTCCTGTGATTGAAACAACCTGCCCATACCAATCATCTTTGTAAGACGTTTCCGTCTATTATCAATCGTCTGTTGGTGTTGATCCCCGGCCCCGAGTCGGCATGAGCCTCCGTGGATTCGTCAGTATATGACGTTTCTTATCATGCAGCATCATGCGTCGGGGTAACGAAGGAATCAACTGAGAGGAACGGAAGGGAAAAGATTAAAAAAAGAAAAGAAAGAAAAAAGAAAGATGGAAACCATGATAACTTCTGCAATAACCCCGACATGAGTCCTTCGCCATAAGAAACAATCGTACTAAGTATCTGCTGTAGCACCTATTAGGTAGTAATTCTACACAGTAACGTGTTCATTGGTCAGTGTACACAAACCCACCGAGACGACCCGCTAGCAAGGTTGTGGCGGGGGTGTGGGTTTCCCTTGTGGCTTGTGTCTGATCCAAGCGTCCAGTGGCTTGACCTTGCTTGCTCCAATTGGATCATCGAGGTTCAACATCACGACCGAGAGATTGAGTGCTCCCGCGTACCGAACCAGCAAAACCACAAACCTCTTCCATCGCCGTCTTGCCTTTGCCCCTTAGCGAACATGGCCGGAAGCTCTTTCGAATCGTTGCCGAGTAAGCGCGCATGCCTCGTAATCCAATTGGGAGATTTTGGGAGGGTCCTAATTCGCTAACCACGGAAATGTTGGAAAAAAAACAGAGGCAACTCGCGAGGAGATGCGCGAGGCCAAGCTCCCTATTGCCTACCGAGACAGCTGCGCCAACCTCTTGATCCCCCTCAACCGATGCCGGGTGGACACCTACTACCTTCCGTGGAAGTGCGGCGTACGTTGCAATTGATCCCCCCTCTCTCCGGGTACTCGAACGAAGCGAGATATGCCATCTCCGCTTCAAGACGAAAGAAGAGAAGCGCAAAGCCAGAGCACTCATCCCAGAGACTAACTCCTTGGGCAAAATATACAGGACGAGCGACACAGTTACGAAAAGTGCCAATACGACGAGTTCAAGAAGCGCGTGGCCAAGATGAACGAGTTGAGGGAAGCCAAGGAGGGTGCCAGAAGCAATTAAAGAAAGACCAACTAGAGAGAGACGGACAGACAAGGCCATGACAGGTCAAAGTGGAAGCAAAGGGCATGAAACTGTGTACATATACCCAGTGTTGGGAACGGCTACTCGGCAAACGAAATACAACATGAACAAAACACGCTTCCTATCGCCTTTCTTGATACTTTCTTGGAATGGAATGGGGTCAATTGTCTTGAATGAAGGCGCCTTCAAACGAGTGGCAGGATTGTGAGATGGACAACTCCAACTGGTGTGCATAGCACGAGTTGCTATCGATTGATTCTACTAAGTCTCATTTGGGCCGAAATATTCTTGCTGAGAGGGTCAGCATTATCAAGCCGTACCGGTCTGGAAATTTGGAGACAGTGACCCCTCGTGGCCGTGAGATGAATACGATGATGGGTTCATTGTGACTTACGTGACCAATACCAGCACCATAAGGCTATAATCATTACGGTGGCATGTTCAAGAAGCTTGTTCATGTGCATTGTCAAGACTTGATAAACTCAAAAGTGCTGACCGGGTATATAGTAAAGTCTACGAATACTACCAAAATTCTTTGACACGCAGTTCTACAGGTTCGTTGGCTGCTTGTCTCGAAGCGCCTCAAAATCCAAAGGCAATTGCCTCCTAGAACTTTGCACTTGATTTGCGCCCCTTGTTCAACCTCTTCATGGCAGCAGCCGCACTCTCCATTCTCTTGAGTTGAGATCCATATGAGCTCTGCGAGGCACTAGCTGCCCTGCTCACTTTTGCGGCCTTCTTTTGAGAAGCCACTGGAGCCGAAGAACTTTTCGGAAGGCGGGTTTTCTTGACCCAACCCGATCCTCTTGGTAGACTGGCAGGAGAAAAATCGTCCTTGGCCAGGTCGTTGGCCGGAGAGTAGGTATCGTCCTTGTCATCGTCGGCATAATGTTCAGTAAACTTCGGCTCGTCGCTATCAGAGCTGATTTCTAAAACTTGCGTGCCGGGTGGAAGGGAGAACCTCGAAGAGGAAACTCTTTCCGACTTTCTCCTTGCCCCAACAGGAGGAGGGGAGACTCGTTGCTTGATACGAGGTGGTGGTGAAGATGATGAGGGGATCGGATATTCTTGAACAGGAGCTCGACGACGAGAAGTGGGCGGAGGGGAGATTGCAACATCCGTCCGGGCGTGAGTTGGTAGCGGGGACAGCCGATCAGATTCAGGGTCGTTCCCCATGTTCCAATCGTTGTTCACGGCGGCGCTAAAGGAAGAAGATGTCACGGGTAGTTTGGATGACTTGGACGCGAAGCTGTCGCTTATCTTGCTGACACTTTGTGAAGTTTCATCCTCGTCATCGTCATCAGAGAAACCGTCAAGTTTTCGCATGGCCGCTTCATACTCTAAGTCGCGTTCACTGGCCCGCTGAGACTTTTGGGATCTCAAAATAGAGAGAAGTTGCGATTTTGAGGGACTCTGCGTCTGGCGAGATGAGACTGCTGTACACCAGACTGTGCCCAAAGAGGCGAGCGAACAAGGAGTAGAGGCATTCGAGTCCGCCACGTCCTTATTCGACGGACTTTCTTTCATTCGTGGCGTCGATTTTTTTGGAGTATCAAAATCCTTACCCTTTTGTGGTGAAGGGGGGACTGGCGTTGTTTCCTCGTCATGATTGCTGTTTGCTTGACTATCTCCTGTCGCAGCAGGAGCGTCAACATCGTTCATCTCCGCAGAGTCATCAGTCATGGCTCGGAACGACAGTGGCTGATCAACGCCCAAGTCCATGGATAGATCAAGTTGCCTTCCACTGTGAACGCTGCTTGTAGACGATGGAGGCGCTTCAGGTCTGGGGTATGTAAATCTCGGCGTCCCCATAATGACATCGGTCTCGTGAATTTGGATTGATGTTTCATCCTGGTCGTGAACCGGGTCAGAGACCATCATGTCCACATTTGGTGCTGATGCCGATGGCGTGGAAGGAATGTCACAAGAGGGCCCCAAGGACTGCTCGTCGCCAGCCGACAAGCCATATAGCATGCTTGTCGTTTCGTCGTGCAATTGGCGTGAAGGGCTACTGACCTGTGAAAGGTCAGATACTGATTTCTCGGCTGGCGACCGGGCTTTTTCCGAATCTTGGAGGGAGGGATCTTGTGCAGTACCTTCTACCAATGCTTCGGACTCTTGGTCGAGTCCATTTGTGACGGCAGCGACGGGAGTCTTCACTTTGTTCTCGCTAGCATCTGAGCAGGATTCTTCTTCTGGGGGCACCGTGTCATCGAAGCCTTCAAAAGTCGTGTCTTTCAAGTCGGTAGTACAATCCACATCAGCAGTGACTTCCTCTGGTTGGCTTGTAGTTTCATCAGTGACCTCGGCGTGGGTGGAAATTTCCTTGGGCACTACGGGTTCTGTGGGCTCGTCCTCGATTGACGGGATTGTAGGCTCTTGACTAGCTTCTTCTAGGGGTATGGCCGGCTGCAAGACTCGGGGCTCCATGATGGCGGAAAAACTGAGCGTACGATAGCCTTCGTTCATTCGTCTCGTCTCCTCATCTTCTGCTTCATCTTCTGTATCAGGCGCGTCGAACTTATCATATACGCGTTGACCTGTCAGATCGTCGTATTGTTTCTCTGTTTGTTCCAGTTCTCGGTCGCGTTTAGCCAGCATGACCTCTAAGCCCGTTGCGTCATCATCGATCCTACAGATGACGCCGGTCAAGCTGAGCACCTGAGGTTGCCAATTGGTGGCCTTGGAAAGAATGAATTGTTTCCATGTTATGACCATGCCATTCTGGGCCTCGCCAGGACGGAGCGGCAGCAGATCATCCAGGTTCTTGGGTAGTGACGGTAGATCATCAATGTCGGTCAGGCGCGTGGTCTCATCCACGTTTTTGCTCACATCAGGCTCCTCCACATCATCATAGTTGAGCTCCATGGGAACATCATCGAGCTGCTGTGCGCTGTTAAAGGTTGTGTCCTGATAGTTCTCTACCCAATCGTGGGATTCGTCGTGGGACCTTGAGCGGCTATCATCTTGTTGGTAAAAGTGAGACTGGTTGCGTTCAGCCTTCTTTCCTTTCCCCCCACGCTTGTTGTTCTTTTGAAACCAGGCATTCTGTTGTTGCGGATCCCAGCGCTGCACAAAAGGGAAAGGTGGTTCGCTCAGCTCAACTCCCTCCTGGCAACATTCTACAGCGCGGTAGGTGATCTTTTCTCGCCAAGCATTTTCATCAACGTCGGCGGACTCCTTAGGCTTCTCTGCCTCAGGCTTTTTGGTCTCCAGTCCGTCGGCAACTAATCGAGCGTTTTGCAATGGTTTGACGTCTTTCATGAGCTTATCCCGTAGCTTTTCTTCGTCATCCTTGCTCTTGGGATTCCGTAGGCCGAGTGCGCCGAATAACATTCGTCGACCTGCCCCAAGATCTAGACGGCGTCGCTTTTGCGTGGAAGATGGTGATTCTTCCTCGGCATTGACGGTATTTCCTCCAGTCACTGTGCTCGAGGGTTGCTGCGATGTCTGATCAAGTTTTGCAGGAGTAGCTTCGTCTCGTTTTCGCTTCTGGCTGACCTGAGAGCTATCAAGAGTGGATTCACCACTAGGACCGACCTCAACACCACCGCTGGCGAGGGCTTCGAGGAGAGCTTTTCGCTTGGCCTCAAAAAGCTCTTTTTCAATTTCTGCCTTGCTCTTTTCAGTGGTCTTTGTTGAAGAGTCTGGAACAACTGAAACGGATACATTTGAGTCCGTCGTTGTGCCCAGGATGGGGCTTTCTGCAGACTGAGATTGGGCCGCCTTGTGCTTGGCCGCGACTCTACGTCGAGCATTGCGCTTCTTGGTCGATATTTTGCCTGCTCCAGGAACGCCTGTGTATACAGCTGGTTCTGAACTCGGCTGTTCTTGTGAACCTGCACCACTTGGTATAGCCGGTGCCGATTTCGAATTTGGCCCTGCCTTTTCCTCTGACATTTCTGTTTCTTCACTGTCAGATTCAGAGCTTGTATCTTCATCGCTGCTGTCGTCTTCGGAACTGTCATCTGAAGATGTTTCATCGTCCGCATCAGAATCCTCGCTGCTGCTAGAACTAGCAACCGGACTGGTTGGTCCGAGTGCGTTGCCTAATGATCTCTGACCCCGAGTGATGGCGCCAGTTTTTGCTGATCGTTCTTCAGGGGCACTGTCGCTGTCACTATCGCTGTCGTCATCGCTGCTGCTCGTATCTGAAGCTTCGGGGCCTTTGCCCTTGGCCGCATCGCCATCGCCGCCAGATTGCTCATCACTAGAAGAGGCATCATCCGATGACGACTCGTCATTTACTTCGCCCTCCTCGGAACTCGAGCTGGTGCCGCTGCTTGACGTTTCCTCCTCATCCTCGGCGGACTTGGCTTTTCCAGGCTCCTCGAAACTGAGCCTGCCACTGGTGAGAGTTTGCGACGTAGACTTGCTATTACTGTCAGATTTATCGGTCTCGAATGACTTGGATATTGCAGCCATAGCTTTCAAGGCATTCCCAGACGAGATGGATCCAGGGGGTAAGCCTTGGCGATCAAAACGTCGAATGAATGGCGTGACTTCGTCATCATCATCTTCATCGTCGTCCTCGTCTTCTTCCAAATCCTCGTCGCCACCAACGTCTCCATCAGCGACTCCGTCCTCTTCAACAGAACCTTCGTTACTCTCCTCGGCAGAATGATCATCTCTGTTTCGCCAACGCTTCAGAAGCTCAGACTCTGGCAACTTTGGCGCAAAAGCCTGCGACAATGTAAGATAAGACTTTCGCAAATCTCCCACTTCTGCCGCCAGGACCTCGCGGCAGACTTGAACAGGCGCCGTCGGGAATGCGGTGAGAAGAGCACCGACTTCATCCTTGGGTTTCTCACCAGCCACCCGTTGACCAGTAGGCTCTGCACTGGTAGTGTCGTTCTCTTTCGCTGTGGCACGGGAAGCCCGACGACTTGTCTGCCTGGTTTCATTGTTGGCAGAACTTTTCGAGACGGGGATTTCCTCGTCGTTTTGTACATGGTCTTCTTCGGCGCTGCTCTGGAGGTCTTCGAGCTCTTTTTCCAGGTCGTCTTCGGCTTCGTCTTGCTCGTATTCCATGTCATCATCCTCGTCTTCCTCGGAAGTGTGCTCCATTGAGACATCGTCTTCGAGCTGCTCATCTTCGATCTCCTCGTCGTTCTCGTTGCCAAGATCGTTGTCAGAGTCCAGATTATCAAAGTCAGCCGCTATCCTCACGCTCTTTCTGCGACTCGGGATCTGATCTTCTCCATTGGTGAGAAGTAGCATCGGCTCCTGCTCCTCTTGTGGCTCGCCGTAATCTGCATCATCTTCATCATCCTCGTCCAAGTCATCTTGTTCTGTAGGTCCGACGCGCCGTCGCTTTCGAGGCGGAATGTCAAAGACTGGTCGACCTCTTGGTGCCCCAAGCAAAGGCCTTCCAAATGCCAGGCCATCAATCAAATGCCTTCCATCGTTTGATATCTGGTGGCGCCCGCTCACTCGGCGTCGTCGGATGTCGTCTGTGAAGAGTGGCCGGATGCTAGGAGACTTGTTAGTTCTCTGCCAATTTGTGATGTGGGAGGGACTCACAAGACTTGATCATCCTCCTTCAAGACACTCTGTACAGGCTGAAAGTGCAAACACTCAAAGTAGACACCGTCGCTGCCTTTGAGCTCGACCGCATAATCTTCCAGGCCCCAATCCGCGCTTTCCAAAGGCAGAATTTGATTAACATCTTCAAGGAGCTTTGCAATGGTAGGCTTGTTCTCCAAAGGAACAGGCCAGATAATATTTGTCTCAGGAAGGCCGTTGCGACGAACCACCAGGCGCAGTCGTAAATGCGAAGCCATCATGAAGACATGCGCAGGTCGTACGGGATAGAGGGCGGGCGAGGTGTACAGGGCGCCTGTTTCCACACGTCCAAATGTCGCTTCTTTCTGGCCGTCTAAATGTGAGTTACAAGTTGCTGAAAATTTTGACAACGTCTACAGAGTGTCATGCTGGTCAATAGAGGGGGTTAGAGTGCCATGTCGTGGATTTACTCTGCATCAAGAGATGCGACAGCTAGAGAAATGTTATCGATTTGTGACGCGATTAAAGCTTGAACATTTAGACCCGCGACAGCGGGCCAACGCGCTAGCAGAGACCAGTTCAGTTTGCGCCAATGGACCCTGGAAAGCGGCAAGAACTCCATCGATAGTGGGGTAACCACTATCATGGCACTCGACGTATTGTGAGTGAGCGGGTAACTCGACACGAACATTGCTTTGCCAAGTACGGCGAGCCATTAAAGACTTTTTCCGTACATCTCCCACGTATAGACAATCAAATTTCTGCGTATTGATCAGGAGCATATGCACCTGACTAGTCAGACTATAATGTTCGAGTACTGAACCCTATGTTTATACATTTCTTTATGTGCATGTGCTTATGATAAATCTATCGCTATGAAGATTCTGCCACCAAATCTATATGGTCCGGCTCGTTTGACAATCCTCAAAGTTCATATAGTCAGCCCCGTGATCAGCCGTTGAAACAGCCTCGACATGACCTTTGATTTTATACATTCCCGCTCCTTATGTCATCGTCGGTCATTTAATTATTTTTTCGATTCTCGTTTGCAGGTATGGCTTCGGACAGCAACGCGACGCCAGCATGCAAAGATCCTGGTAAGATGTAGTGTGAACTGGCGCATCTAAATGCAACATGCTGCTCCAACCATTTTCGATCATTGTTTCCCAATTGTCAAGCATCTCTTGCTTTTTTTTTCCAACATGGTGCCTTTTCTGTGTGATGCCCAAATGACAGAGAAACACGTCGCTTCATTGACTGGTACGATCCATGCATATTGCACGAGATCACGAGGTCGGAGGCACTCCTCCCATATCCAGCATATGTCCCATCTTTTCAATCTAGTGAACTTGTTAGTCTTTCCTCCTTAATTATTCGAGATTCAGGAAAACATACCTTTGTCTTCAGATATCCTTCCACCTCCTGGCTTCTAAAACCACCCTTGCCTTTCCAACTCAAAGGTACCATGGCCACTCTCTCCTTGACTCTGACTTCTCTGTTGGGTCCTTCGACTGCACGAATCTTGTCTGGGTTGTTTGTGAGCAGCCTGACCTCCTCTTGGCCCAGGTCCAACAACATAGCAGTAGCTAGGCCGTAACTTCTCGCATCGGCCGGGTGCCTAAGCAGCAAGTTTGCTTCCACGGTGTCCGAGCCCAGATCTTGCAGGTTATAGGCCTTGAGTTTCTCGCCCAGGCCGATACCTCGGCCTTCTTGCCGCAAGTAAATGATGATGCCACCATTTCTAGTCTGTGAAGGGAGAGCCATTAATCGAGCCGCCTCGTCAAGCTGCTCACCACAATCGCACCGCGCTGACCATGCCGTCTCTCCCGTGTAGCACTCGGAGTGGATTCTCACCAGAGGTGGCCCATTTGGTGTTTCTGGTTGCGGGGCGGCCGTTGAAGGACCAGCCATGCCACTGCTCGTTCGTCCAGGGAAGAGTCTGCCCGTGTACGCGCCACGGACCATTCGGTCCATCTCTGTTTCTCCTTCCCGTGGCGCATCAAGACTCTTGCTGCGGATATTGTTTCCAAAGACAATGGCAAGGTGCTCCTTGTTGTCCACGTTGTTCGTGTACAGGTGCAGGAACATTTCGGTTCCGGTTACGGTCGGGATTCGTGCTCGGACGATACATTGTACTTCTGGCAATGTTTGGAGAAGTTTCGGCCGCTTGACTCCCGCTCCGCCAGAGGGCAGGGAGGAATCTACAGGAACGCTTCGGGGCTGCTCCGTCGACGGCGTTGCGGTGCCCGGTGTCGCCGGCGGGGTGAATTGAGGAGAGAGTAACGAGGGCGGAGGAGGCGCTTGGTCGTCTGAATGCGTCGAGGCAGCAGTGGATGGCCTCGGCTGGTCATTGAGCGAAGACAAGGCCGCGAGAGACAGGCCGTCCCGCTGCAGCTGGGTAGTGTTGGGTGCCGCGGTTTCTTGGTCGCCAACAGGCCGCGATCGCGGGGAGTAGAAGGACGGCAAGTCGGCCGTCTCCTCGTGCCACTGCTCTGTCTCTTGTTTCCTCCGATCCATTGTGGAAAAGGATTTGGGAATCGGCAGGCTTTTTTCACCAAGGAATTGATTGGAACAATTGAATCGCTGTTTCAGTGCACAATGCCGATTTTCGCAAAGGGTGAGATGGCGCAATCTGACGGCGAGTCTTTGGTGTCGGCGGGGTCGGGGATTGAGCAGCCGGAAGTTCGCAAGTTGTGACGTGGGGTAACGATACCGGAACGAATTGCGAATGCCTAGTATGAGGAAAGAGTTGAATCAGGCAAAGCAGAATCAGTGCCAGAAACAAAATGTGAATACATAGATAGACGTTTGGGATAGTGGAGAAGATCTCTCTATGTGTCCCTCAAGTGGTCCAAGAATATCTCATAAGATTCATCAGCTTATGAGATTATCTCCCGCGATTACTCTAGCTCTTGAGGCTCATTAGTCAGTCACTTCTATCCACGGTCGACGCCGAAGTTCTGCGCTATGGGTATGACAGGGCTATGCCAAACTGTACTAAAAACCAATGCGGCCCTGCATGCGGCAATGCAATTGAATGCGGGGAATTTCTTAATTCTTTTCGCTTCTACCAGGGTCAAACAATTTTGAACTGCAGTGGCTTCAATAGCCTGCCCAAACAGCTATTTATTCTGCTTGATATCCAGTGACGCAAGTGATTTACCTTGCGCGATTTTGTCTTCTGCTTCAATTGCTTGCACAGCAGAATATGCGCGCATGATTATACAGTCACAAGACGTGTATCAAGACAGCCGACTACCTGGCTGGCTTCAGGCTTCGGATAGACCCATCGGAATTTGGTGGCAGATCCGACAGTTACCGCCCCGGGCACATGCCGATCACGGTACAGACTCCGACCTCATGCGCCAGGCGCTCATATAACACTACCGATGAAGCATGTTACCATGAAGCGGCAGGGAGTAGATGACATCATGACATTGTGATAGATATCACTTGAATCGTCATTATTCTGTCTTGTTTGCATGGCTCAATTGCTCATTGCAGCGGAAGTCGGGATTTGCGCATTCTATAGCGCAACTAGTAGTCGAATTGAAAATGCCACGGGGATCGATCGAATTTATGCGATAGACAGTTCTGATGCACCGGTTTTGTCCTCTCAGCGGACTTGCTGTGATGAAATTCTGACAATCATCATTGGCCTAATTATCGTAGCTGTTATAAGACTACAAGTATGGACAATGACAAACCGCAAATACGATTTCATGAAACTATGCTCAGGCCCGGCTCGGTTCTTAGCCAAAGTTGGGCATCCCTAAGGCTTTCTACGTATGGACGAGAATCCACATGAGTATACCTCTATGTAATATGAACGTTTTCTGCCATAGTTACATAGATCATAGGCTTTGTATCATTACGACACACTGGCAAACCGATAAGAAACCATTAATAGAGATCACCAAGTCCTGAAGGGTCTGGACCTGAGGTCGCATGTGGTTGGGCCGACTCAATATCGAGTTCAGCAATAATCCCTGAGCCAACAATTTTTCGTTGTCCAAATAAGCGCCGCATTCTTATGTTTCAGGTATCTTAGAAGATGCCTTAAATCAGTGACGATTAGACGCCGTTTTCACTGCAATTTTAACCTACGCAAAGGCCATAGGTCGGTTCATGGGCCAATCACAACAAACCATATTGCATGAGTGTCCCAAGTAGCAATTAGCAAGTGGTGCTTTTTTCACTGCAAATCTAGCTTTGACGAAGGCCTGAGCCAGCTCGGTGTATAAGAGCCAATGATAGTAGACCATAGAGGAGTGCCGCATTTTTATGTTTCAAGTTTCCCAAATAGGAATTAGCAAGTGGGAGCTTTTTCGTGATACTTTAGAATACCGCTTGGGGGCCTTTCACTGCAATTTGAACCTACACGAAGGCCATATTCAGCTTGGTTCATGTGAGCTAGTGTACATAATGAAAGCCCACATTAAGATGCTTTGAAACCTGTCCACTACCTCAACAAAGGCATGTTCCAAGAGTCACTGGTTGGAGAGCTGGGACAGTCTATATCCCGGCGTATACAGATACGGGTAATTGGCGGCCGGCTCGCTTTTCCATCCTGCAAACACTTCAACCCTCACGGTGAACATGTTGATTTTGTCGGGGTTTGTGCAATTTCAAGCACTATGGTAAATACTGTATGACAAGCGCGCGGCCATTATCAGTATAGATATTGAGCTATATGACACAGCGCTGACATACAAAGAGTCACAATGCCGAGTTGCGGTACATTCTTTCAAGCTTGTGTTTGTGTTTGAATAATACGTTATCATGAAAAATTCGGTCAGTTGGTACAAAACTGCTTTATGTTACGTTCACTCATACTCAATTTACCATGATGATATCGATTCCGAGCCATACAAATCACATGAAGAACGAGCAAGGTCTACAGTTGTGGCACGGAACACTTCTTATTAGTGGTGGGTGTACTGCGACTATACAGCGATGAAAATATGCAGAAACCAAAAAGTGATATTGAAATTAATCTTCAGCAAGGCCTGTGTATTGAGTGGTAGTTGGTAGTTAGGCTTGCAATATTCCTTGCTCAGAACGCTCGCGGGTTCACTGCTGTTAATTCCCTTCAGAACAGCAATACAGTGAGACAATGATATGATGAGAGAAGACGAAAAGGGTAATACTATCTACAAGGCCTTCAATCATATGTCGTTATTATGATCTGTGGGTCATGGCATGCTAAATATTTCTATCATGTAATTACGAGTCTGTTGCTGATCAAGCCCACCACTATTGAGAGAACTCATGTAAATTGACAATGGCTCGGGGGAAACATTTCTTTGGTGTACGCAACCAATATGAATCAATACCAAAGGGATAAGTTCCAACAGCCTTCACCACTGAAGTAAAGATTAGAGAGGAGGACGCCACCATCGAAGTACGGAACATGAACAATTACAAAATGCTCAATAATGTGGTGATAACGTAATTTAAAAGGCCGATGTGCAATAAGAATAAGTCTTCGTGGCTCAGTTGGTTAGAGCGTCAGTCTCATATCATATATATGACTTGGTTGAATACTTCAAGATATCTGAAGGTCGTGAGTTCGAGCCTCACCGAGGACATTGTTTTGCCCTGGGTTCTGTGCCCTAATTAATTTTTTCCCCCCAATGTGTAAAAGTTTGGTAATTCCTGACAAGAAGCTCCATGTTTTCATTTGTAGTAGTGGAGCGTGTTTATGGTAAAATGGGTTAGGCAACTCCCAACGGAATATACCATGGTCGGCGACTACTCTGTACCATCCATTTTCACCTATTTGGCAGTAAACGCAAGTTTGCAACAATGCCAGTGCGCAATGTTATCTCGAAGATTATCTCGAAGGCTCTGGTCTCAATACACCTCACTCAAATAGGCACAAAAAAAATTATACACACTGCATCTCATCAGCAGCTCTTCAGCAGGTTGGACCAGCAGTGGATCGAACACCGTAAATTTCGCATATTGTGATGTGCATGCAAAGCGAACCCACAAGCCCTCTAACTTGTTGAAGAGATTATCCTTTAAGCTTGATCATATTCTCTCTCTATAATGGTTTGCTTAGGCTGCCATTTCCCCAAGCGGACAGATAGACTATACACAACCCGCAACTAAAACAAAAGACGAGCACGAATCTTCTAGAATGCTTCGAGTAATCACTGGAAATTATTAATTATATTCATGTGCCTATAGAGCCGCTGTAGGCATTCCAAGCGATGCCATAATCTTCTTGAGCATTTCAGGGTCGTTGAGGTCATCCGGCTTCTGTCCATTGGCCATTTGCTGAATCTGCAGCTTGGCACCAAACAGTCTGACGAACAAGTTATCTTCCTCAACCGCAAACTTGGGAACGCCAGGCACCTTGCCCGACAGAATCAGCACAGGCAGGTCGGGCTCTTGGCAGGCGGCACGTCCAATGCCGACACCGTCGACACCCTCCAAGGCCTTGACCATGCCGTCCACGGTCTTGAATCCACCCGTGGTGTAGACCTTGAGCGAGCTGACGGCCTTGGAGATCTGCTCCGAGAACTCGATAAAGTATGCCTCACGCTTGCGCGTGCTCTCCTTCTTGTGCCTGAAACCGGTGGACTCGTAGGTTCCTCCACTCGTCTCAACGTAGTCAAAACCGGCCTTTTCGAGGGCTTGGCACAATAGAATTGCCTCCTCGGGGGTGAAACCCTCCTCTTGGAACTCGACCGAGTTGACCTTGATACCCAGAACGAAGCTGGGGCTAACCTGAGCCTTGATGGAGGCGGCAATCTCGAGGATAAGACGCATGCGGTTCTCGAGGCTTCCTCCGTACTGATCTGTCCGCTTGTTGGTGGTGGGACTGAGGAATTGTGCCAGCAAGTAGCCATGGGCAGCGTGGATCTGGATACCATCGAAGCCTGCCTTTTCAAGATAGACGGCGGCATGCGTGAAGGCCTTGATGACGCCCTCGATATCCTCCTTGGTGGCAGCGCGAGGCTTGGCATAGGTTTTTCCCATAGTCGGAGTCACCAATTGCAGGTCGCTGGCGCTGATGGGGTATTTTTGTATCGAGTCGGGTACCTGACGTCCCGGGTGTCCAACCTGAGGAATAATCAAGCTGCCATGCGCCTTGCCGGCAGTGGCAATGGCCTTGAAGCCCTCAAAACGTTCTCCCTCAAACGGGGCATCTACAGGGACGATCATGTTGCCTGCAGCCTCGAGGTGTCCCGGGTCAATCATGACGTTACCGGTCAAGAGCTGGCCCCATTTTCCTTCACCCCATTTGCGGTACAGTTGCGCGAGGTCCTTTCCAGGAATACCTCGTGCCGAGAGATCTGTCTCGTGGTAGGTGGCAAGACCCTCGGACATGGCGCCATTGAGGAAACGGTTTATAGCAACTCGCTTGGAGATGGGAAACTCAAGGGGTTGACCCAAGGGCGATGGGTCGACGCCGGGTGTTCCAAAGTATTTGTCGGCCATTTTGTTGATTGGGTTTGGTTTAAGGGAAATAAGATAATATTGTGCCTGCTCAAGAGAGAAGTGTTCCAGTAGATGGCATTATATATTCGTGAGATATCTGTGGTGTAGAGGACCTATTCTAAACACGGTGAATATCCCTTCCCGTTCCTCCGCCAGATTTCAGTCGCCACGGCCGACTCCACAGTTGAGTTCCACGCACAACGGGGCGACAGACGCGGCTAGAAGCTGCCATGACTGGCATCAGAAACTCGGCATCAATATACGGATTGTACCGACACTGATAAGAACCCATGAGTCACTGGCCGGCTGACTATAAATGCCTGGGTGAGCATCCTTTTCTGGTATCATTTCGACTTCTGGCGCTTTGCATTATGCGTGCATTGAGGCACCTCGCAAGGGTCTACTGAACGATTGTATGAAAGGCTCATGGTGCCATGTCTGGTGTTGCAAGGGAAGCCGCTCGCTAATTTAGAGCATCACAGGGGTTGCCGATCTGAAATTCCGCAACAGTTCGGAGACATAGCAGAAACGATTTATAAGCAGCCCCTGCTAAAGAATCTGAAAACCCAGCGGTCAGGTTGTGTACACAGTTGAGCAAAGGTGATTGGTCAAAGGTCGGCTAGTAGTTTGACCGCGCCCCAGGCACCAGTGGGCAATGCCGAGGTTTGCAGATTTTACCCCATGATTCAGACGCCGGCATGCAAAGCGCATTCTTGAATCGAGCAATATGCTATACATATTTGCGGAACAGACCCGCCTCAATCTACATGTATATTTTTACTCTCGGCCTGAAGATGCTTCGCGCATTTGGCCTAGTTTCATGGCTCGACTCTTTTTTTTTTGTGTCTCCGATGTCTGGCTATTATGCGCAAATCAGAACTCCAGTTGTATTTCTTTTCGCACGTGGAATTGTCCTGCCGAAACGGCTCAAATAAATGTATGCCCAACAAGCTAGTAGTCGCGGGACGTCAGATGTCGTACATACAATGAATACACCAAAAAAGAAGAAGAAGGAAAAGGAGGGAGGGAGAAAGAGAAATAAGGGAAGCAAGACAGAAGTAGAAGCATAAATAATTAAATCATTGTAGCACGAGTCAAAAGTTTATCTCAGCCTATCTCCCTTCTGATTGGCCCTCTCGCTAAATCTGGGCGACTCGGATTATGGTATGGGTTCCGAACCTAGAACACTATGCCTCTTGGATAGCAGCAACGAACGTACCTGTGGCTGGATATGACCAGATACCTAGGTATTCAGTCAGCCTCGTATTTGGCGAGTTATCCTGTTCCACCAAGCATTGGCTAACAGAGAAGAAAAAGAAAGAAAAAACTTACACACATTTCCCCATTATGAAAATTCTGGGCAGAACGTTAGGCCGGCCTGTAACAGAATCCCACTCTCCAGATAGGATGAGGAAGCGTGACACGGCCACCATGCAAGGAAAATCAAGGTTAAATGGACCTTCCTGTGCAAGAAAACGCCAAGACGGTTCATTTATAGCGCGCTAATGCGTTCATAAACGTCGAGCCATATCAGAAGCTATCCAGTTGTAGTAAATTCAAGTAAAAGTCGGAGTTAATGCTTCGGCCGACATATGGTGGCCATCGCTTGCTAGGCGATCCACTTATACCCGGTAACTGATCGTCGCATGAATAGTAACTACGGACTTCAATACCTATCGAAATACCTCCTTGTGATCGCTTGATGCAAAATAATCTAGGGTTCGCAGGCGATGCCGATGAAGGGTTTACGTATGCTTTGCGGAGCGCCAATTTGCGGACTCGGCATTAGACGATACATGTAGAATAAATGGACTCGTTGGATGTATAAAAGACCATAGTGATACCACTGACCGATTCTGATTCAAACATTCAGCCTTCATGAGCAACTAGAAGAACACTTGCTTGATTGCTTTCCCAAAAAGTCATCATGAAGTCCTCATTATCTACAACCCTTTCAAGCTTTGCCTTGGCAAGCCTCGCATCAGCATTGGCACCGGGCCTGGAACTTGCATACTCCTTGGAATTGCCTACACAAGGAATATTCATCTCTGAGACTGGTCGAAAATTCCTGTCGCAACGGTATTCAACAAGTCTTCCACCCATCACCCAAGAACTTCTTGCAGACAACACCACTGTCCTATATCCCAATGCTGAGTGGAATAGCTACAACTCCAGCGACCCCAACTCTGACCCGGCAACCACCTTTGTGAGCATTGACGGTGCACGTATCGGGCCTGATGGACGTTACTGGCTCGTCGATGGCGGTTCATCGGGTGTGAACAAGTCTACCAAGCTGGTGGGAGTTAACCTGACCAACGACGAGGTCGACAAGATCTACTACCTCGACGACATCAAGGCCTCCAACAGCGGCATTGACGATGTTCGCTTTGGACCCAGTGGTGATGTGGCTTATCTGAGCGACACTGCTGGAGCGCTCTTGGTTCTCAACCTGACGACTGGTGCTGGTGTGCGAGTATTGGCAGATGATGATTCTGCTGCTGCTTGGTTTCCCATGATGTACAATGGCACCCTGGTGCCAGGTTACGGTGCTGCAGGCTCAACCCTTTCAGTTGGCTTGGACCAGATTGAAGTTTCCCCAGACGGAATCTACCTATACTACCAGCCTTGCAACGGTGGTCTCTACCGCGTCGAGACTGCCTATGTCGACGCAACCCTTACCAATGCCACCCTGGCCGCCTCTCTCGGCGACTACGCCACACCATTTGCATTGACTCCCAGCACGGGTGGTTCAACCATTGACGGCGATGGCAACATTTATGTCTCTGACACCAACCTCCTGGCCATCTGGAAAGTCACTCCCGAAGGTCGAACCACGATCCTCGTTCAAGATCCTGCCCTCGTCTGGACTGATCTCATGTGGGTCACTGCCGACAAGAAGCTTTGGCTGCCCGCTTCTCAAATGCGTCCCGGTAGCGATGGATTGATGGCCGAAGGACCAAACAATATCTTTACGTACCCAATCGACGCCGGTCCATCTTTGATTGACCATGCGTAAATGTTGATGTCACGGATGAGAAAGTCTGCATGTAGATATTGAAAATAGATTTCAGATTCAATAGACAGACATCATGCCCTTTGGAACGCCTTGCACCTATTACGGCCCGTAATCATCACATCATTCAGTTCCGGTAACATAGGCTTTATGCTGTAGACAAAATCAATTATGCGTGTTCAATTTTTCATACGGTACAGAAAATTATGCAGGGGAAACAATCTATGTCAGTCAGCCAATTAATCTTAGCCATCTCACCATGTAATTGGAATCCATGTAACATTGCCAGGCTTGATTGGATACAGCTTGCAGCCTGGGGCAAGCACGATAAAGGTGATATATTATTTTTCTTTGAAACGTGAATTTCTATGGTGTTCAAGAAAGACGCGATATAAAAAAAGAAAAGAAGAAGAAAACACAATACCCATGAGCGATGGCTATTCACAGCCTTCCGCGAGAAGGAATGAATCCATTGATTAATCCAGGGTCATCGCGTCTTTTCTACTAGGCGTCATGGTTGAAATGTAATGGCTTGTGTTCACCTAAGCTTTTTTAAGTTGGCCAAAGCACTGGATGCTGCCGTCGACTCGGGAACTTTCAATTTTTTTTCCACATCATGTACGAATGTGCCACAGAATGGATTGGTACATACATGACAAGACTTTACTGAACGGCGGAAGGCCACCAAAATAAGCCGCTGCATCTCTCTGCTCTCGTCGTTGCACGCTTCGTGGCCATGTCTCGTAACATTTTGCGATGCTGACATCATTGTGCCGCCAGCACCATGTCGTGGAAAGGACAACATACATAGGTAGGTGATTCACTAGTTACGCAGCCAAGAGACGCCATCTTCAACTCCGCTGGTTTGGCCGGACTTGATCAAACCTCAACTCCGGGTCTTTTACACAGTAGAAGGCAATACTCACATAACTATACCTATATCTGGAAGTGGGTAGTAGGAACCCCACTGCCTACTAGGTAAGGAATATTATAAAAAGCACAACAACATTCGCAAGCAATTTCCATTTAGATTTTTCAAAGTAACTATTTCCCCCCTTCTACGAGTTACCGGACAGGGCCTTGTCTGCATTAGCAGCCCGGCAGTTCTGAAGAGTAACGTTTTTATTAGGTTGAAGGGGAACGTCCACCCTTGTGGGGATGTGTACGATTCAACCGTAGCTCCGAAGCCAACTCGGAAATAACCAGTGCTGTAAGTGGCTTGCTTATTCAATCATCATTCCAGACTCTAGATGGTATCCATCTGGATAGCATCACAATGAACTTTGTCGAGAATCTTGCAACGGCATTAATAAGCAAGAACTCGATATATAAAGATTTGAGTGTCTTTAGTCTGATATAGCAATCATTCAGCAATCATTACACCACAATCACGCTTCTCTTGCCCAAACAAGCTTCCCCTCTCACTTTCGCCACCATGCCTTCCGATATCATTTGGCCGGACAAGTACTTGCCCGGAACCACAGACAATTACGTGTCCAACGAGATATTCGTCAAGGGCATCACGTCCCAACAGGTGTGGGCCAAGCTCGCCGATATCACAAAGTGGGAAACATACTACGAAAACGTCGGCCAAATCACACCCCCAAAGTCTGGCGTCTTTCTAGAAAAGGACGATTTATTCAGCTTTTCGACCTTTGGCTTCCCGCCGCTGCAGTCGCAAGTGCTCGAGTCGGTGGCCCCCACGGCAACGACCCCGGGTCGCCTGGCTTGGCGGGCGTGGCAAGAGGGCGACGAGGACAAGTTTCTGGATGTCTACCACGCTTGGATTGTGGAGGATATGCCTTGGGGGGTCGTCCGCATTCTGACCCAGGAGTCGCAGATTGGCAAGCCGGCTGCACAGCTCTCTACCACGAAGCCAAACCCCATGCTATTGGGACATCAGGATTGGCTTGATGGTCTTGCCAAGGCCGCAAAAGAAAGCTCATGAAGCGAGGGCATTCTATTGGTGAATTAGGGATCAAAATATATGTCTAGGGTGTGGAAACATTATCAGCTCGACTTGTGAATGACTATACCGTTGATGCTTGTGTTGGAATTTACATGATCCTGGTCGATCGGTTCTTTGAAGATGAGCATGCCTCAACAGCTACATCCCAGGGCCAATAAACAGTCATACTGATCCTGAAAACATGAATTTAATGACACCAAGGTGATGATTGCCAGAACCCTGAAATGTGAAAGAGCTACACCCTGTTGATGAGAAGGTCTAATAACAAAGATTGACTGACAGCAATGTGTTGAAGACATGCGCATGGCGCAGCTAGTGAACATGCGGAAGGAATAAAGAATATTAACGTTAACAATATGCAGCACAACTACGGGTATTGTTTACAGAAGCTCGTGGCTTGCCAAGGCAAGAAAGTATGGAATGGGCAGTGGGCCCTCTGAACAACAACTTGGAATCAAGGACTCGGGGACCCTACTTGAGCTACCGCCAATATCACAGCTGGAGAAATGATTGGTAATGTGATCATCAGCCGGGAATTGACTGTTTAATAGACAACAGCAATGTTAGTGATCATTGATTGCATTTGTTTCCCCAACGACTGTCATCCATGGAAGCGACGACCAGCAAGTTCAAGACAGTGACAGAAAGACATGAGAATATGATTCATGGAGCATCAGTTAAGGAACTCTAAAATGATCAAGTTCTGATCCTTTTTTGCTATGCCGAGTCTTAGGGCAGGCACCGAAATGTGGTAGCCAAGAGTTGACACCCATCTCCTTGTCCATGCGAAACGAAACACTGGACATATTAGAACTTGCAAACCTTGGGCTTCACCTCATTTTCTATGAAGAAACCATACAGGCATAAATGATAATAATATTCTCTACAGATCGGGCTGTCCATAGAGCCTGGTTGACATGGTGCACAGCATGGCAGATGAGTCGTACTGATCTCATGCAGATTGGGGGTTCACGATAAATGGGGCCAGCTTTCAACCTCCAATTATAGCAATGGAACGAGTATATATCATGGGAGAAGTCATACATCCTGGCAGCCACCCTACTTGATGGAGCGCCAGTATTGATGGGTTCGATGCAAAATTCGAGTCGATTCAAGGTTTGTCATTGTGATTGTTCAAGTGTAGATGTGAGTGTTTGTTCTGGTACTCGGGAGTGGAAGAATACAATCGTTCTAGTCGTTTGAACTCATCGTCGCAGCTGATAAGATTATACCGTGATTCGGAAGGGCGGCTGAGCCGAAATGACAATTAATTGTGAACATGGCTTGCCTATTTCTAGACTGGTATGATGTCAAAGCAAATCCAAACAGCGGCATCATTTATTTTTTATAATCTTTCGTCTTGTTGATCTCAAGACCGCGCGGCCAGGAAAAGCAAAGCGTATTGCTTCACTTGTCTAGCGTATATATAGCATCACGCTCTCCACACAAGCCATTGCTCGCCAATGACGACTCTTGACTCGCGTGATCTTGCCCAAAAGTTGGACCAGACTAACGGTTGGTCTTACCGAGGGGGGAGGGGGGAAAATAAAGCTGCAGCACGTATCAAAAGTCTGTCCCAAACCATTGAGTGGTCGATCAAAATGTTGCCAAAAAATCAGTCTCCACAAGCCATGTTCAGGGTGCCGTGCTGTCCCTTTTGAATGTTCTGGCGAAAAATGGGCGGCACAGTTTGGCTTGTTGGTAACGAATCTGGTGTACTGTGCAAATCACACGCAAAAAGGTCTACCAAGCTTGCAATGTTTCTTCCTCCCGCCGCCGCTGGCGATCAAGAGCGGACATTGCAAGGGTTTTCTGTTCTTTTCAACCGCTGCTGCAGACTAATGTAGGAGCAAGAGGCCCGCGCAAGGCAAGTTGAGCCCCAACACGTTGGCCTGGTTGGATTATGCACCCATGACTCGTCAATATCGGCCCGGCCAAATCGGACGCGATGCGCTGTCAAAGAAGAATGCAGCAACGAGAAATCAAACGACGCAAAGCGCGCCAACCCAATCTTTTATTACCAAGAGTCAAAAGCTGATGCACTGGCTTGGTGCCTTTGTAGAAATAAAATTATCACCTCAGGTAGGAATCTTCATTTTTCCCACAGTAAGCAAAACCGGGAGACGACGGACCAGTGGCCATGCCAAACATACGTTATCTTCCGATCTGAGCCTCATCCGCCCCAAGTGGCTCCACCGCCCCGGCACCTGGAGAAATCTCGCCCCCTTTTGGGTATCCCACTCAATTAGCAAGCAGCAGCGGACAGCACCAGCCAGCCAAAAGCCTCTGTGCTGCTGCAGCAGTGCATCATCCCGATATTGGACCCTCGCATTTCCGTCCAATTGCCCTCCACCTGTTCTTCTTTGTTCTTCCATTTCTTCAGTTTATACTTTGTGACCTTGACTTGCTGTTACTATCACAAGGATTGAAAAAATCTTCTTGCCTTTCCCAACATTCTCACCTATGGAAGCAAGCTTCCCTCAATTTAGTCTGCTGCCCGCCGAGCTTCGGTGCAAAGTTTGGCGGTATGCATTACCTCAGCGGACCGTCTTCTTCAGGCTGAAGATGGACATGGACGCTTGGAACTGGGCTTCCGAGTCGGATTGGTGGGCCCATTATGTCCTCACGGGAGACCACAAGTCAGCCACAGCTACACAACCTCCGCTACTCCTGGTCAACCACGAGGCCAGATTCGAGTCGACAAAGGCCTACAAACAGCTGGCCATTGACAAGGCGGTCCTGAAAAGGTGCCTGTCGAATGAAACCGTCGTGGACCATAGCCTGGAGCGTATGCGGAACCTCAAGAAGACGCCGCGGCTCAATGTGGACAATGACATATTAGAGTGGGCGCACGTGAAGCGCTGGAGCAGGAACAATCCCATGCGATGCAGCGCCCTCTTCCTGGCAGCCAGCATGTCTGTTCAGCATGTAGTTGTCGAATACGACCATTACCTCCACACATCGCTCTTGTCGTTGGCGTTGAGTGTCATGGACGTTGAGAGCCCCCTAAAGAGCTTGACCATCAAGGTCTTTGATGCTTCGGTACAGAAGCAAATTACCTATCGTATATCTGCTGTTCCCGATCACGTCCCAGTCATCCGGGATCAGCAACAGCTTCCGAGCATACTGCGGCGCCGTCACGTAGGCATGCTGCCGTGCTATCGATGGCCGTCTGACGCAACGGAGAATCTCAAGCCGACAAGCCTTGATCGGTCAGCGGTGATGTCATTTGCGCAGTTTTTCGAGCCCGGCACGAAACTGGATACCAATTTTGCCATCTTTCGAGTGGCTTCAGACGACGACCAACCCAATTGTGAAGGCTTGGTGCCGTCTCCCGAGGTTGTACGGAGTTGGCGATGGGTAGACATGGTCGATGAGCAGGACCGCACCTCGTTCAACATTAGCCTGCAGAGCGATGTTGCTTTGTTCATGCATCGCATTTCGCTCTTTGAACAATGGGATCATAATGACCCTAGACGGCACCGGATTGACGTAATCCCATTCCATGGCATTTGCAACTCGCAGCATGGTCTCCCATAGACTTTGGAAAGAAAGTGAGCAAGCCCTGGCTGGCTTGCCAATGACGACGCAACGATTTACTTGGAAGTTGGATACGAGGCATTGATCATGTGTTGCGGGATAGACATAGATGATACCCCTGTAAACTAGAGTTCTGCTGTGCAGGTTCGCTAGACTTTCTCTTCTTTTCCCTTTTTTTTACAGTTTGATTTTTGCATATTTCGCCATCTTTGGTGGTGACAGTTGGTTCAGCATTTCATGGATTTCTTCGACGCACTTGGGTAGCATATCGTCGATTCTGGTTAAAACGCTCTGCGTGATTGCTACTTACCATATTTGAATACCGCCATGAAAATACCTAGAAGAGCTTGTTTGAGTGGCCGCGTCATGAATATAACAAAAAGATTCGCCATTTAAACCAAAGTCGGCGGCTAATCAGTTCTTGCAAGTTCAACATCGCTTGATTTAAGAGAGCCCTTGAACCACGTGTTAAATTACCGCGAATCCGGCTTGAAAACTTCTTTTGGTGTCATCTATTTCAAGCAACATTAATGACGTGATGGACACAGCTGGCAGTGGCGGGTCGACTTCTGTGGTTTGCAAATCGAGTTCATTCGAACAACGTCGGTAAGAACGATGACACGGCCTTAGAAGTGCCGAGATCACACGTTACAGCTCCCGCAAATTGTCTGTTGCCAATGCTTTTGGGTTGGTCAGTCAGCTCCTTGGTCAGCGCACATCGGAGATTTCAGCCAAAGTTTCATGTTCGTTGGGATAGGTTGAGGCAAAATATTGCCTCGATGCAACGGGTCTATAACAGGCGTTTGTTAAGAATTGCTTATTAAACGATGCGGACTTCATTCGTGATTGGTTGTGGCTCATCAGCCCCCAACAGCCCTATGAGTTACCCATCCCGCCTCCATTGCCGGCTGTGAAAAGTATTAATAAATGTTGCCGTTCCCCGCCTCAGACGCGTCAGCTCAATCAACGTATACATTTTCAGCCGAGCACTTGTTCAATTCGCAATAATGACCACGCCTCAATAAACCGTAAATTTCATATGGTCGGCGTCCCGTTACGATCCCAAGTTTTTGTGACTAATTCTCGTAATTCAATATTAGACAGAGGCAAAATAATTGGCAATCTATCCCATAATGCATTACAAAGGTCTGGATGGGTTGAAACATAGATGGTAATGTATGAACCCTTTGGGCTTGCATTTGAGTTCAAATGAGAGTATGCGCCAACGTGGAAGAACATGAAGAGTTCGCTATACTATGAGGCATCCTGGCGTAATGATATAATAGTCAAGTGACACGGCTAAGTCGTGTGTGTAATCATCTTGGATAAAATGGTTATATTTACTACCTAGAATAGAAATGTATAGAGCTGACCAAGATTTGACTTTGTATCGCAAAAGTTTTCTGGCTTCTTATAGTATTTCCGTTTCGAATACAGTATTTCCTTCGAGCGGTTATATTGTGATTATGTGCCAGTCTGATCATTACGCAAGCAGAAGAATATATCCTTTTATAGACCAGCTATAGCTAGATGGAGGTTTCATTAAAATCTAATTATCGCTACGTTTCGTTGACCAACAAGATTATTATGGCAATGTGACCTATTATTCAGAAACATGGAGTCCTTGATTGCCTGTCAGGTTAGATTCAAAAAGGTCCGAACATTTCAGAATTTGGTCTGAACAGGCAACTGTATCTACTAGCGAGGCTGATAATGACGTAGAAGGACTCAAGATGATCAGCGAGTTATTATGACGGATATTGAAGTCCATATTTGCCATGATTTGATGAGTACAATATGAAATGGTACCTTGGCAAGATTATCCGCGATGTGATGCTACTGGCATTTCAAATTTCGATAGATCTATATAAGAAGTGTATGGGACGCAGTTGGGACGCCATGTTCGAGTATCACAAACAGCATTCACACGTGGATATTTGATCACTCAATTCCTTCTTGACCACCAGTCCTTAGAGACAGACAAAATGAAGTTTTTCGTTCTTACTCTCGCCCTTGCGGCTATCATTTCTGCCGCTCCATTGGAAGCTCCTGGTGCTCCTCTTCCACCAGCTCCTGCACCTGGCCCAAATGGCCCATCTCCATTCCCGGGCGAGCCACCGGCACCGGGACCGGTGCCACCCTCGGGGCCGCCACCTCCACCAGGTGTTAGTACTATCCCACATTCAATATCCCCTATACCCCATTAGAAAGAGTTGACGAGATAATGATTCCTTCTGATACTCGACAAAACCCAACTTCTATGAAGATATTATCACTAATCGACCATCTAGCCCGGCGGCCCACCCCCTCCTCCTGGTCCGGGAAAGCCCCCGAGCAAGCGTGACGACGATGTAAGTTTTAGGAACGAAAGTTATAGTATTCGAGAAAAATCAAAGAGGGAAAGACAGTAAGTATCGATGGCTGACCTTGCCACAACCTCTCTAGGGACCTAAGCCTGGGCCTGAACGTAAGTCCAAACTCGTTGCAGTTCATACACCATGACTGACCTATATATACAGCCCCCAAGCCCAGCGATCCAAGCCCTCCACCACGTGAGTCTAAAATTATTCCCAAGTCCAGTAGAATAATGGAAGGTTGATGCTTTGTAACAGCACCCAAGCCCTCTGGTCCAAAGGGACCCGAGCCCCCGAAGCCCAGCGACCCGGCACCCCCTCCGCGTGAGTTCCTCCCGTAAACCAGATGCCGCCATCGTACTAAATCAATCTACCACTACAGCTCCTCAGGAACCCAAACCTCCAACAGCTCCTCAACCTCCCTCAATCTAGGAAACGCAAGGACTATAGCACCAAGGGCAATGGCCTAGGTGGCGGTGAAGCCATACTTGAGTATATGTTCGGAGCAGCAGTTTCCATTGCGCCTTTTCACATTGCATCGACATGATTGGTTCTATGGAATGAAAATTATTGCCTTCGGACCTACGTGGAGGATACTCTATTATCATCATTCGAGCATGGTACTTGGCTCAAAGTCCTGTCTAGGCCTGGACAGCCTGTCGGTCAAGTTTGTTGAACTGGTATTCTTCACGGTGGTCCTGCGTCGTTGTTTTTGTTAACTCTTACTTATTCTGGTTCTTATAGCCAGGCATCACTCTTTATCCGTTGAACAATAATGTCAACCTTGACTTGTCTATCCAAAAACTACTCAATCGTATAAAATCTACTTCTAATAGAGCCCAATATCTGTCTTGTAATTTGGCCATCCTCCGTTTACTCCAC